TAGAGGTTTATTTATAGCAATTTGTAAATGTGCACTAATATGGCAACTTAGAGTCCTGAATTCTAACCACAACAAGTTTTGTTTACAGACAAACATTCTGATAAAAAGCAGACACTGCCACAAAATTATACTTATAATTTATGTGTGCATATGTAACCTGTCACACTTTAATTGTTTTTTGGGGTAATTATATTGTCTTAATTAGTAAACATACTTTACATAATATTAATTTCTTGAATTATAGTGCTAATTATTAAATCATTTATACCCAATTTGTTTATTACATTAAATTTAAAATAAATGAGCTGATTGATGTTGGTATTTAAAATTGTTTGGCTAATTATATAACTTAGGATGTGCTCTCTTCTTTTTTTTTTTTTTTTTGTGATTTTGTTTAAATAGTAGTTGTGTGTGATGTTATATATATATATATATAAGTAAAGATTTTCATTATAAATGAATAATAATAAAAAAAATAAAAAAATAATAATATAGGGTGTACTCTTTGAAGTTTCATGTGAAGTTATTTTATCGTGTTTATAATAGAATGGAGTATGTTTTATATTGCTTCTTCATTTTAATTTATTTTTTTGTTATTGTTAATTTTTTGGCAAAATTTTATATTATAAGCGACATTTTTTTTTTTTGTGTGTTTTGTTTTGGATATTTAATTTGAATTTTAGATTACATATTATTTTGATTTGGTATTTTGTGGATTTTTTAAAAAATATTTTTATGAAAATTATGAGAGTTGAATTTTTATTTTATTTATTAAAAAAATGAGGTAATTGTTTTGGATTTTGAATTTGATTTTTTTTCTTTCTTAAAATAGTATTTTCATATAATTTTTTATAAGAAATTTTATGAAAAATCATTGAGAATTTAATAGTAAGAAAATGAAATAAAATAGCGTGTTACTTCCCTTCTAACATGATACTATTTCCATTTCCATTTCCATCTCAATATATATATTTTTTTATTTTTTTATTTTGAAATGATTTTCTATGTATTATAATTTTAATAGCTTCTATTCTTTTCTTTTTTTTTTTGTAACTTATGATAGTTTTGTATTTTTTTTTTATTGTTAGGGATTAAAAAAAATAATAATAAAAAAACTGCAAATATTTTAGACATCTTAGCTCAAATAAAAATGGAATTTTGTTGAATATCACAATATTAACCACCTTTGAAATAAAATATTCCATAATTTGCATGTAATGCACTTTTAATTTTGGTAGTTTACTAAACAACATGGCGTCTATTATTACATTCCACTAAAGAAAAGTGCTCTCTGTACTTTAAATTGCTCTGGTTTCCGAAATAATAGTAACTATTGAACAAACAAACACTGCCTTACTTCACTATCGTTTTTAGATTAGATGATTTTATGTGCGGTATGAATAATTATACGTATAAAATATTTTGTATTTATTTTTATTATTATTTTTTGAGAATTATAATCGAAAAATAATGCTAGAAAAAAAGAGCAACTGGTTTGTATAAATTATAATAAGAGATAATTAGATATGCTTTTTTAAACCTTACATTTTGAAATTATTATTAAAAAAAAATAAAAAAAATTGAATTTATGTTTGTGTTTGTTTGATGTTTTTTTTTTTTTTTTTATATGTCGGGTATGAGAAAAACTTGAACATATATTATATATTATGTGAGTGCATATATATATATTGTTTTCTTAATAATAATTGGGAAGAGAATCATGTAAAAAAAAAATAAAAATTACATAAACACACTCTCTTTATATATTTTAAAAATATTATTTTCTCTGTTTCAGAACTATAGTTTTAATTGGATTGAGTACGAGATTTAAAAAATATTATATATTATATTGATAGTCGGTAAAAAGTATAAGTAAAAGACTTTTTTGTCCTTGTGGATGTATTAGTGTAAAAAGTAGTGGAAATTGTGTAATAAAAATAAAAAAGTAAGGGTAGTTTTATGGTGATATGGTTATTTATGAAAATAAGATTATTATTTTAGGACGGACAAAAATGATAAACAAAACTATTGTATTAGGACGGAGGGAGTACTATTTAACTTTATAATAAAAAAAAATGTGTTTGTTCTGGAATTTTCATTTTTTTAATAATAAAATTTTGGACAGAATTAATTTTTTGATGTGATATTTTAAAATTTTAGTTTAATATAATGAATAAAAAACATAAAATTTTATTTAATATTTTTTTGGGAAATTTATTTTTGAAATAGTAAAATAAAATGTAAACCTTACAATATTTCAATTCTTCTTTGCAAACTTTACATTTAACAACAATTTAATCTTAAACATGTTCAATTTTAAAATATTAGGCTTGTTTTTTTTTTCTTTGTATTTTTAATTATTTTATTATTATTTGTTTTTTTTAAAAAAGTATTATATCTAACAATTATTCTTCTTAAAAATTAATAATAAAAAAATTAGACAATCAGAACAAAATATCATATATCTATGTAAAACAAAAATATATATGTTTGTCCGGGCATATATATATTATAAAATTATAAATTTATACAATATAATAATACTAATTTGGGTGCCAATTAGTACTCCCTCAGTCCCAAAAATTGTGCAATATTTCTTTTTTGGTATGTCTCAAACATCCTGCAAAATATTTTCAAAATATGAAATAATTAATTATATTTAATCTCTACTTCACACTTTATCCCATCACATCACCCAAATAAAAAAATAAAATATATTTTTTTTTCTCTATGATATCACCTAATTTTTAACTTATACTACTTAATACTATTTACCTGAAAATTCGTGCCCAAAACAAATATTGCACCTTATTTAGGCAGAGGGAGTAATATTTACTTGACTTTTCATTAATTTGCTGATGCCATGTTTTCTTTTTGGCCACATTGCGCTCTCAAACTACTTAAGTTGATTGCGCATCACTTTACCCTATTTTGATTTTATTTATTTATTTATTTTTATATAGTTTATGTTTTTAATAAATGTATAAAAGTCAAAATAATAAATCCATTTAAGTACTCCCTCCGTCTCAAATATTTTGCAATATTTTTTTTTGTTTGTCCCAAACTTGCTGCAATATTTTCAAATTTAGAAATAATTAATAATATTTTTATACATATATTAATATACACTTCACTTTATCCCATCACATCACTCAAATAAAAAAATAAATAATCATTTCTCTCTCCAATCACATCACTTAATATTCAAATTATCTCAAATTACTATACTTAATACTCCCCACCTAAATTCTCGTGCCAAACACAAATGTTGCACAGTGTTTGACACGGAGGAAGGGAGTACTATTTTTATTTTTGTTTTTTCAAACCATGCTAATCCACTCAAATTGCTATTAAAAAAATAAAAAATAATATATAGTAAAATTTTTCAAGAGAAACAACTTTCGATCTGGGTTTTTTTTTTTTTGTCATACTTAATCCATTGCGACTAAGAACATGTATAAATGTATATGCATGTGCTACAACATTTAAAAAATTCTAATAAAAATTTGAAACCTTTTAAGTAGTAATTATTCGAATTATCCAAACAAAATGAAAGTAAATCACAATAAAACTAAACAAATTACTTTATCTAGAAAATTACGAATTTAAAATATAAATTCTCAAGTAGGTAAATAAGAAAAGAAATATCAGCCGTCCAAAATATCATTTTAATATCTTTACAAGATAGACACTTGTCCTTGTTTTATACTAACATTCAAAGTAGTCTGTTTTTGTAATAAATTTAAAAATAATAATATTTCATTAATTAGTGAAATTATGTAAAATAATTTTGATATTTTTGTCATTTATATTTTATGTATAATAATATATTTATAATTTAAATAAATATTAAAAAAGTATTTTAATATTAGTGAATATTTACTTTTATTATAATAAATAATAAATATTTTTACGTGAGACCGATGAAAATAATAAAAACAATACTTTTAATTAGGAAAAATATAACATAAAGATCCTAGTAGTCTAGGGGTTGGACTTGTTCTCGCATTATATTTTAAGGATTTTGCAAAATTTTACTATTATTTTATTTAAAAAATATCAAAATTAAACTCATTTTTTATTTCTTATGATATACTAAAAGAATATTATTATTATTTTTTATTAAAAATATCACATTAATATTTATTTATATCGCATCAAAAAATTATTTTAATTTAACATCTAAATTCAAATCCCAAAAAACACAATTTACAACATATTTTGTTTATAATATGAAATATAGAAAATTGTATAGATAATATAAAATAATCAGTATAATATATATATTTCAGAAATGTATTGGGTTTTTTTTTTTGAAAAAAAACCTCTATATTTAATAAAAAAAAAGTCATGTTTTATGTTTTGATATGAGATAATGTGATACTTATTTATTAATACTATAGAATATATTTACTGAATAAAAAAAAGGAGTGTATTTGTTTGTTTGTTTTCTTAAATAAAAAATATCATCATTTAATTCAATTACAATTTTCTATCAATATTTATTAATAATTAATTTTTATAAAATATTATTATTTTTCATAAAATAAAATAAAAAATAAAAGTACAAAAAACACACTTAGGTGTGTAGAAAAACAAGAACAAAACACCACAAATTATAGGGATCCTAATTATGATGATTCGTTTTGTTTTTATTCACACGATACAATACAATACCATACAATATAATATAATATAATATTATATAAAACTAATTTAATTAACATTTGCTCCACAAAAACATTTACATTTACATTTACATTTACATTGAATTCGAAAAGAAACAAGAAGCCTCCCAACTCAATTATTATGCTCGCCCTCGATCTCTGCCTACCATGTCTTATTTCCTTTATTCCCACTCATCCCCCGAGTACTCAAGAAATTAAAATCCAACCCCAAAATCAAGTTTTCAATAATTGCTAATTTGACCCCAAGGTTTCCCAAACCCCTTTCACTAGCAAACAAAAGCACACCACTATACGACACTACACCGCTCTCTCTCTCTCTCTCTGCGAGACAGTTTCTCTCTGCTTCACCTCTCTCTCTCTCTCTCTCTCTCTCTCCATTTCTTTCTCTAAACTCATCATCGGATCTGAGTTCCCCCAAGGATATAGGCATAGCCCCTCGTCCCAATACTGTCCGATCTCTGCGTTCCCCCACACAATCACGCTCTCCGAGCAGCCGCCGCGCCGTCTCCACACTTTCATCCGTACGTACATAAGTGACCAGAAAGGGGGGGCAGTTTATCGGGTCAAGGCCCGGCCCGGATGGATCGGGCATTGTGAGGCGGAGGCGGAGTCGGAGTCGGAGGTCATTGATACATACGATGAGCAAAGCCGGAAAGGAGGAAGACGACGAGGAGGAGTGTTTCCATGACTCGCTCGACCGACTGCTTTCCTCTGCCAACACTTCCTGCTCTGGTTCTCCTTCCAATTCCGACCCCGATGAAGACGTCCTCGATCTGACCACCAGCCCCGACCGGACCGAAGCCGTCCCCAAATTCCCCTTGGGGGTGTCTCGAAACTACGACGTTTGGATCTCCCAGCCGTCGTCGGTGGAGGAGCGCCGCGTCCGCCTCCTCCGTCAGATGGGGCTGGCTCGCGATCCTGCCCTTATCCGCCAACACCCCTCCCTCTCCTTCTCCCTCTCATCCCGTCGATTGACCTCCCTCGGTGAGACATCTTACAGTACTAATGATGATGGTGATAATAATATTAATAATAATAGTAATAGCAATCATAGTAATCGTAACAATACATTGAGAATACTTGAGAATAGTAGTGATTGTATTAATGGTGATGATAGTATTAATCGCAACGGTAGAGTGTGTGGGATTTTCCGATCGAAGTCAGATGGAAATTGCAGTTCGTCTCCCAAGTCTTCCCACGTTCAATCGACGGTGACACGAACTCATGTAAATAGTGGCGATGATCGCGGAGACGGTGGTCAAAATTGTCCCATGGAGAGATCGAGCAGCAGCGATCAGTTGCCTCCAAAGGTGAAGATTAGAATGGATTGTAAAGCTAATGGCGTATCGCATGATGCGAAGACTGAGGAGCTGGATGTAGCAGATGATGTCGCTGCTGCTGCTGTGTGTATGATAAAGAATCTTGACAATGGGAAGGAGTTTGTGGTGAATGAGGTTGGGGAGGATGGAACATGGGAGAAGATCAAAGAGGTCGAAACCGGGCGCCAGCTAACGATGGAGGAGTTTTCATCTGAGATGTGTGTCGGGACGTCGCCGATAGTGCAGGAGTTGATGAGGAGACAAAATGTTGAAGATGGGAACAGGGAAGGTTTGGATTCGAGTTTTGATGGGAGCTTGGGTAGTTCGTCAAAGATGAAGAAGAGGGGAAGTTGGTTGAGGAGCATAAAAAATGTCGCAAGTTCAGTTACAGGTCATAAGGAGAGACGAAGTAGCGACGAGAGGGATACATCGTCTGAGAAGGGTGGGAGGAGATCAAGCTCTGCAACAGATGACAGCCAGGATGTTTCCTTTCATGGGCCTGAGAGAGTTCGGGTCAGGCAGTATGGGAAGTCGGTCAAAGAGCTTAGTGCTCTGTACAAAAGCCAGGAGATACAGGCACACAAAGGCTCGATTTGGGCGATTAAGTTTAGTTTGGATGGTAAATATTTGGCAAGTGCCGGTGAGGACTGTGTGATTCATGTGTGGCAAGTTGTGGAAACAGAAAGAAAGGGGGATTTCCTTTTGGATAAATTGGAAGAAGGGAATCTCAATCTTCTGTTTCTGGCCAATGGATCGCCAGAGCCCTCATCAATGTCGCCAAATTTAGACGGTCATCTGGAGAAGAAGAGAAGGGGAAGGTCATCCATAAGTAGAAAGTCTGTGAGTCTTGAACAGATATTGGTGCCCGAGACGGTGTTTAGCCTCATGGAGAAGCCTATGTGCTCGTTTCAAGGACACTTAGATGTCGTGCTGGATCTCTCATGGTCCAAGTCTCAGGTTAGTCTCACCTCTTTCATTAGTATGATGTTTCACTCATGGAAAAGTAGGCATTTTGAATGCTTAGACTACAATACTATGCAAATCGTCTTTTGTAGCTTATACTATTGCTTTCTCTGTTAGGATTTCTGTGCGCCGGTGTTGCAATTGTTTCTCATATAAAATGAACAGCAGGTTGTGTTAAGGATTGCATCTATTATTGTGTGGTGGAAAATCTGAAGAACAATTGTTTGACTAAATAAGGAAATAAGAGGACAGCAATATGTAATGTTGTTTCCCCTTCCATTCCATGAGTATGGACTTTACAATGTACAACTATTCAAAATCGAGATCAAGAAGGGAGCACAACCAATAGAATTATCTCTTTGATAATGGTTACAACTAGCAAAAGAAATGTGATATAATTTTCTTTCATGAAATTGAAATGTTGCTGAATCTGGACAGTTCATGTGCTAACTTTTATAGTAATGCCAAACAGTTTCAAACAGTATTATGCTGTAGGTCTATTAAGCATCTATAACTATGATAGCTTAAATGCATGCATATATAAAATCACGTGTAAATTGTTGCGCTGGAGTATATGTGTTTTGAGAAGAAATGTGACGTGTCGGATTCAAATTGTAGTATCATGCTCTGGTGACTTATCTATATACGGGTGTTATAGCAATATTCGTGGTCTTTTATCCTTTTCAAATCCCTTTCCACAGTAATGATAATGTAATGAGGAATGCTGCTTTTATGATGGTTTGGCTCTTTTTTGGGTCAATTTTTTTCCATTTTTTTGGCTGGCTATTTGGTTGAAATATATTTTTGTTGTTTTCATTTTTTTTTTTTTTCAAATAGAAAGCTGCTCACACTTTTCTGTCTTCTTCAGCAACTGCTTTCATCATCAATGGACAAAACAGTGCGGCTATGGGATTTGTCGACCAAGACTTGTTTAAAGGTTTTTTCACACAGTGACTATGGTAACTATCCTGGTTCTCCATTCGGGAATTTTTTCTAGCATCTAGAGAGAAAGCATCCTTGTGTGAATGTTGAGCTAGATATTGGAGCTTCTGATTTACGTACAAATTTCAAGTGCTCTCCTTAAGCAATGCATCTTCATAGTTGCTTAATTATTTCCACATGGTCCATCCTGGTCAGCATTGATAAATCTGCTGAAGTTAGAATCCTGTTAGGTGAAATGGCTTTTTGGAAGGGTTTATGGGTGTTTGCAAAATGCCACTAGGAATAGTTGACGGCCAAAGGTTTATTTGAAGGGTCTTTGGAAAGACTTTAGCGTGATGAAGGACAAGATAAAAAACAGATGGGAAGGATTGATTGATTGCAAGTGGTTCTTGGAAAATACCATTGAAGGGTTGATTAAATGATAAGCTGCATCCTGAAATTATAAACTTGAATTAATAAGATAAAGACCTGTTCCAGATAGGTGTATCGTAGGAATCTCATTCGAGGTTCTCTGTGCTGATCATGGCTAGTTTATTTTGTATTCAACATTACATGCATGCATTCCTTGTTAGGCTTTCGAACATCACAGTAACAATTTGTTAATGGAAAACAGTTATAAATCTGTCTTAAGTCCTAAATTTATTTTAACCACAAGTATACAAATATTGGAGCCATTATTCTTGTTGCCCGTGAGGAGGTCAACTAATAGGTTGGGGGTTATGGTCACTTGATAATATTGATTACAACAGAGTGTCGATATAGGCAAAATCATGGCAAGGGAGTGAAATTGCTCGCTGGCATCTTTTGTTGATGGTGCAAGGAGTTTATTCGCTGCATTAATAGATTAAATGTAACTTTCTGAACTTATATAGGGCACTTCTTATTGATCTGCTGTGATTATTTGCATTCCTATATTAACCTATGTATTCTAGATATTGCTTGAGTTTTGCATTTTTAATATACTAATAGAATGATAATATGAATCTATATATTAATCAGTTCTCTGGATTTTCCTTATACAGTAACCTGCATCCAGTTTAATCCAGTCGATGATAGATACTTCATCAGTGGATCCCTAGATGCCAAGGTGCGGATATGGAGCATTCCCGATCGTCAAGTTGTTGATTGGAATGATCTGCATGAGATGGTCACTGCAGCTTGCTACACACCGGATGGGCAGGTTAGTCATTGATATATATATAAAACAGAAGCCTGTTGCTTTTAATTTAATGAAATTATTCTTGATTCGAGCGTTGTTTTGTAAAATCTTTGTAGGGGGCGCTAGTTGGTTCGTATAAGGGTAGCTGTCGCCTATACAACACAACAGGTAATGTTTAAAAGCTTTATTAAGAAGTAAGAATATTCGCCATTGAATATCAACTTACAATGCAAACACATGTTTCCAGAAAATAAATTGCTGCAGAAAAGCCAGATTAATCTGCAGAACAAGAAGAAAAAGTCTCATCTGAAGAAAATAACTGGTTTCCAGGTAAACTTGTTCGTCGGCCATTTCTCACAGGCGATGATCGATCCCTTGTTCCACTTGTCTTACTGTTTCTGATAGTTTCGATGGCGCAGTTTGCACCTGGAAGTACTTCAGAAGTGCTGGTCACATCTGCTGATTCGCGGATCCGAGTCATAGATGGCGTCGAACTAGTTCATAAGTACAAAGGTAGTTTGAAACTATTTAAACAATATCCTTCACCTGCTAAACAATTTACAAGAACTTGATGTTTGATAAAGCTGTGCGCGGAATCTTCCACAGGATTTCGTAACACGAACAGCCAGATTTCCGCCTCCCTTACTTCCAACGGCAAATATGTCATCTCTGCCAGTGAAGATTCTTACGTGTACATCTGGAGGCATGAAGGTGCGTCCCATCCAAATAGAAGTAAAGGCGTGACAGTGACTCAGTCCTACGAGCTCTTCCATTGTCAAGACGTATCCGTAGCAATCCCTTGGCCAGGCCTCTCATCCGAAGCATTCCAAGACACATTTGTCAGAGGGCAAACCTGCTCTGTCGATGATGTTGTAGCCGAGAACCATCCTACAACCCCAGTCGAAGAAGCCACTGGCAGTGAAGGCTCGCCGCTCCCATTTGGGTGCAGTAATAGTAGCCCGATCAACGGTACACTTTCCAGCGCAACAAATGGCTACCTCTTTGATAGAATCTCGGTAACATGGCCGGAGGAAAAACTACTTTCGGCCACTAAGAACCGGAGCCCTCAGGTCAGTGTGGATTACTCGAATGGGATGATATTCCAGAACAGGTCTGCCTGGGGTATGGTCATCGTGACTGCTGGCCTTCGCGGCGAGATCAGGACCTACCAAAATTTTGGGTTGCCCGCACGGATCTGAATGCCCAATTGACTCTAAGAGCGAACAAGCAAGCAAATTTTGGGTTGCCCGCACGGATCTGAATGCCCAATTGACTCTAAGAGCGAACAAGCAAGCAAGCAAACACGCACGCACTCCTTGTGCCCGGAGCTGGCGAAATCTGTACAGGTGTGGAGAGGTTGTAATATTAGCTAGTTTCTCTCTCTTTACGTCGTTTTTTTTTTCTCTTCTTGTGCTCGTGCTGGTCGGACAAGGATCGTTGCCGACGGCGCTGGTGAAAAATTTGATCGATGGGGTGGGGTGGGAAGTAAAAAGAAGGTGCTAAAGCATAGCATTGTTGGGTTGGGTTAGAAATGGATTTGATTACTGTAATTGGTCTTTTTTGTTTTTTTTGGGATGAGGGTTGTGAATGTAGAGTTACGAGTACCACGGGGATGAGGAGGAAGGAGAGAAGCATTGTAATCTCTCACCAAAATTCTTTTATCAATTCATTCAATTTCATTGAGGAGGAAATTTCCATTTGTATCCTATCCTATTCTATTCTAGCACTAGCTGAAGCAAAATGCAAATCTGTATTTGTATTTAGCCGATTGTTTTTGTTTTGTTTTGCAATCTGGGAAGTTCTTATGGTTAGATGAATATATAAAGCCACCCCCCCTCTCTCTCTCTCTCCCCATGCCTTAAATTCACTCTCCCTTTCACACTTCCACACGCACATCCATCTATTATTATTATTATATATTTTCGTGTTTCTGTAAATTAGTACTCCATAATAATTATAATAATAATAATAATAAGAAGAAGAAGAAGAAGGGGGCGAAATGGACCTTATGTTGCTGCTTTTCATCCAGTCAGTGTCAATGGTGACGGCAGCTTCCATGATTGAGACTTATATATATATATAAGTAAATAAAAATAATACCACGGCTAATAAATTATACCAAAGTGATTTACAAGAAGCATCCTATCATCTATCCTCTATAATCCACGGCGCCTTGCTTTCTTCGCCTTCCCTTTCTTCTTCTTCTTCTTCTTCTTCTTCTTCTCCTTCCCCCTGAAAAGAAAGACAGACAGAGAGTATGAGAACATCAACATCAGATTCAGACTCAGATTCCAACAAGAACCAATATCCGTCCCTACTACTACACCCACTTGTTACGACCACAGATATTCACCATTCAAACTCCATTCCCACCAAAAGAACTGGTATATGTTCTTCTGTGTTGCTTTCATCATCTCTCTCTCAGTTTTCATCATTTATGATTGTGATTTTGCAGGGACGACATGGACGGCGGGGGCTCACATAATCACCGGTGTGATCGGCTCCGGCGTGCTGTCGCTGCCGTGGAGCATAGCGCAGCTGGGCTGGATTCTCGGGCCTTTGTGCATACTGTTCTTCGCTGTGATCACAGTTGCCTCAGCTTTCCTCACTGCCGACTGTTATCGCTTTCCCGACCCGGAATCCGGGCCTCTTAGGAACACCAGTTATGTCAAGGCTGTCACCCTCATCTTAGGTAAGAAGCAAGCATGGTTGTGTGGTTTGCTTGTTCAGATCAGCTACTACGGGTCAGCAGTTGCTTATACCATCACTTCTGCTCTTTGCTTCAGGTATTCCTATTACTATCATATCATATCATATCATTTCATATATGCTTCCTAATCCTCCATCTTCACTTTGGGATCTTACTTACAGTGCGATACAGAGGTCGAACTGCTACCACTATAATGGCCATGCCGCGCCTTGCGAAAATGATGACAAAACCTATATGCTCATATTTGGCATCCTTCAAATATTCGTCTCGCAGATACCCAATTTCCACAGCATGGAGTGGCTATCCTCCGTTGCTGCGGTTATGTCCTTCTCTTATGCCTCCATTGGGCTCGGATTAGGCGCTTCCAAAGCCATTGGTGCATCATCCATCCTCTTTCTTCTTAACATACACACACATATATATATATATATATATAATATGTATGCATATCAAAAAATCTGCAACAGGTGATGGAGTTATTAAGGGAAGCATTACTGGAGTTATGGATTCTCCCGGCAGTCAGAAGCTATGGCTGGTTTCTCAGGCAGTAGGCGACATTGCTTTCGCCTATCCTTTTTCCGTCCTTGTCCTTGCTATACAGGTAAACAGCAATAGATTTTCTTTCACATTGTAGAGTCGATGGGAACGATAAAACAACAAGTTTTGGAAGAACTATAACAGGTCTAATTCTTACATAAAGAAAACTTACAATCTTGGAACCGGTCGTGCACACTTGTGGTTGTTTTTTCTTGAAGGATACGTTGAAATCTCCGCCACCTGAGAACAGGACTATGAAGCGAGCATCAGTAATATCTATTGCTCTCACAACGTTTTACTATCTTGGCTGTGGAGGCTTTGGGTATGCAGCATTTGGCGATCAAACGCCCGGTAATATCTTGACAGGTTTTGGCTTCTACGAGCCCTACTGGCTCATCGACTTTGCCAATGCATGCATCGTCCTCCACTTAGTCGGAGGCTACCAGGTATGTATGTATGTCCAAGATCATATCTACACTGATGTTACTTTACACTATAAGCTGAACAAGGTTCGATTAAGCTTAATCAGTTCATTATTCAATACTACCCTTTTTCGACCCTCTCTTCAGGTGTATTCTCAGCCGCTATTTGCAGCAGCCGAAAACTGGATGGGGGAGCATTTCCCGGACAACTCATTTGTAACCAAAACCTACATTCTAAAACTGCCATTGTTGCCTGATCTGAAGATAAGCCTTCAGAGGGTATGTTTCAGGACAGCTTATGTTGCCTCAGGAACTGCTATTGCAGTAATTTTTCCTTTCTTCAATGAGGTTTTGGGAATTCTTGGGGCACTATCTTTCTGGCCCTTAGCCATATATTTTCCAGTGGAGATGTGTCTGAGGAGGAAAGGGATTGAAGCCTGGACAACGGAGTGGCTTGTCCTAAGGGGTTTTAGCTTTGGGTGTTTTGTGATAGCATTGTTTGCTTTTGTGGGATCTGTTGAAGGGGTCATAGCTGCACTTTTTGGTCCTGTTAAATAATCATTCATTCGGACCACAAATTATTGTAAAAACATTGGGTCAGGTCAGGTCAGGATGGATGGACAAATACTAAACAAATGTATATATCTATCTATGGTTCCAATAAATTCAAAAATATCTTAATGTCAGACAAATATCTCCTACACTACAGATTCTAGAGGTCAAACATTGTTAGTCCCGAGTAAGTCCCTTTAACGTCACTATAGTCTGTGTCCTGCCATGGAAATAAAAATAACAGCAGCATAGGCACCCCCCGAACTCATCACTATTCATTTAACTATTTTCCTTTTTCTTCTTCTTCTGTAAGTACATCATGTCTTCTCAAATTATGCTGCTTCATTCATACAGAAGAGGTTAGTCCAATTCTCCATTACTACCAAGAAGTCTTCTGCTCTAATTACTTGTCTGCAAATCATTCTAGGGTTCCTTTTTTAACCGTGATGAGCAAACCCTCTATTAGCCCAACATCCTCCAACTCTGTCCCTGTGAAAACACAATCATGTCTTTTACATTTTCCCCATCTTTATTTCTAATTCAATTATCATCACTAAAGTTAAAAACAAATCCCCAATTACCCATTCCCTGTTCTTGATCAGCGTAATCGTGGCATGAAATCAGTGCATTAAGTAGGTTCTAGTTCAGAAGTCACATACCTTGATTTACAGCTCAGGCAGTGACCCAGCCTCCTTGTGATTTGGGGGATATGTGTGATCATCCTATTCCCGGCGAGCGATCAGGCACCGTGTGGACTGCTCTGGCCCACATCATCACCGCCGTGATCGGATCCGGCGTGCTGACGTTGGGATGGAGCTTGTCCCAGCTCGGATGGATTGCCGGCCCCTTCACCATGCTCGCATTCTCATCGGTTACCCTAGCCTCCGCCCTTCTACTCTGCAATTGCTACAAATGGAGTGATCCCAACACTGGCGTGTTGTACAGAAATGGGTCATACCTGGATGCTGTCCACAGGATTCTTGGTAAGTGCAAAATAAATATGCAAATCTTAATTTGGATTCCATTATATATGAACTGAGTGCAAAAGGGCACGATCTTGATAAAAAAATTCGAGGCAACTTTTCAGAAAAGATATTCGATTTAACTTGACTCAAATTACAGCTCTACCTGTATTGTATCCAGGGAAGAAGAATGCATATGTGTGTGGTGTTATTGTTCGGATAAATTTCATCAAGCTGGGCATTGTCTACACTATTACATCCTCCCTAAGCATGAGGTATTTCTGCAGCTTTGTACATTGCATGTTAATGGAATCAATTGTCACTCAATAGCCAGCAAGAAAAGTAATAATTCTTTCAAATGGAGCAGAGCAATTCAAAAATCAAACTGCTACCATAAGCTAGGGCATGAAGCTTCTTGCAACTATGGTAACACCTACTACATGCTTATATTTGGACTCATCCAAGTGTTTGTGTCTCAAATACCTGATTTCCGGAACACCGAGTGGCTCTCCGTCACAGCAGCAATCATGTCCTTCGCCTATGCCAGCATCGGTACAGGGCTTGGTCTGGCCAAAGTCATAGGTATGTATGTATACATGACTAGAATTCGAAGACAAATGCGATGAGAATAACTCGGACTTGTTCTAACCTTCCTGAACTGGTTTCGCCACAGAAAATGGAGAAATAAAAGGGAGCATCTCAGGAATGCCGGTTGTTCACGCTGAAAATAAAGTATGGTTGGTCTCTCAGGCACTTGGGGACATTGCTTTCGCTTTCCCGTTCTCGGTTATATTCCTGGAAATAATGGTGAGCACATTTCTATATCTGCACTGCATAATGTAAGCAATGGCGAAAAACTAATAGTCAAGCATTATGTTCGAAGGATACACTCAAGCCTTACCCGGTCGAGAAGGTCACCATGAAGAAGGCATCGATAATGGCAGTTTGCATCACATTGTTCTTCAACTTATGCTGTGGAGGATTCAGCTATGCAGCTTTTGGTAACTTCACTCCCGGGAACCTCCTGAGTGGCTTTGGGTTCTACGAGCCCTACTGGCTCGTCGACTTTGCCAATGTCTGCGTCGTCCTGCATCTTGTGGGAGGGTACCAGGTGTTCACTCAGCCTATGTACGCAAGCATCGAGAAGTTCTTTACTGAGAAGTACCCCAACAGTGCATTTGTTCACGGCCAGCTGAAGCAAATGCCGGGCCTGCGACTGAATCTCATGAGGCTGTGCCTTAGAACTTCTTACGTCGGATTAACAACAGGGTTCTCGATGCTTTTCCCTTACTTCAACCAAGTTGTGGGAGTCGCAGGCGCAGTCAACTTCTGGCCGGTGGTTGTGTATTTCCCGGTGGAGATGTATCTGGCGCAGAAGAATATCGCTCCTCGGACGAGGAAAGCCATCCTTCTTCGAATCTACAGCTTTGTAACATTGGCTGTCATTCTCTTTGCCTTTGTTGGCTCCATTAAAAGCCTCATTGCAGCTCGGTTCAGCTGAAATCAAGAAATGTTTTAGCTCGCGCTGTGTTATCTAAAAATGCGCATAGAATTCTCCAAGAATAAATAAATAAATAGATTTTAGGTGAGACGATCATTGTGACGAGAGAAACAGACGTAACAACATATCCTTGCAAGAGTCGAGTAAGCTGTACATACAAATACATACATATATATATAGAGAGAGAGAATGTGTGTGTATATGATATGATTAAATTCCGACCAGACCCTCTTGCAGGAAGCCTTTGCAATGTATGTCAAGAATGATTACTTTAGCATATATGACAAAGAGAAGCAGCAAGCAGGAAACATGAGGGGGGGTGACATCAACCATGCCCTTCACGTCCGAATCTTAATTTTAAGAATGGCAATGCATCGATATTCACTTCTTCTTCTTCTTCTTCTTCTTCCCCAGAAGGCAGATATGAATGATCATATCTGTACACCACCCAACCAGTCAGTCAACCAGAGAGACAGAGGGTTGGGGTAGGGGGAAGGGGGGGGGGGGGGAGTTGACCGGGCGTCTTGGGGGTGAGCTACCGGCCTTTCCCTCACACGCTCAATGGCGTTGAATTCTTTAATGAATTCATGCACTTTTTATGCACATTGCCACTGCTGTGCAGTTCCCATATCAGCCCCCCAACATTAACCAATTCCTTTCTATTTATTTTAGCCTCCCTCCTCCTCAACACACTACACTGCTGCAACCAACACGCCCACGCCCACACCCACGCCCTCATTTTGCCACCAGTTTTTCATTTATGCTATCCGATCCAATCCTATCCCTTCCTCGTCCTCATCATTTTCATATTATTAATCACTTGTATTCATTCGTTACGGAAATAGAATATATATAAGCAATTTGAACACCAAGAATTTGTAATATAAGTGCAGAATTGGATGGGGCGCGTACCGTGCTGCGAGAAGGAGAATGTGAAGAGGGGGCAATGGACTCCCGAGGAGGATCAGAAGCTCTCATCGTACATTGCGCAGCACGGGACGAGGAATTGGCGCCTCATCCCCAAGCATGCCGGTTTCTTCTCTAAACTAATTTGATCTGAGTTTTCAATACATTTATATACATGTGTGCCTGTGTGTTTGTGTTGATTGATTGGCATTGGCTTTCAGGTCTACAGAGATGTGGGAAGAGCTGCAGATTGAGATGGACGAATTACCTACGCCCTGACCTCAAACACGGCCAATTCACCGAGGCGGAAGAACAGACCATCGTCACTCTCCATTCAGTCCTCGGAAATCGGTAATTCTGCAAATTATATATATGAGTATAAATTGATATATATATATATATGTATAATTGATAGACTAGTAATGAATGAATGAATGAGAAAATGTGATTCGCGCGCGCTTACCAGGTGGTCCGTAATCGCGGCACAGCTGCCAGGGCGGACGGACAACGACGTCAAAAACCACTGGAACACGAAGCTGAAGAAGAAGCTATCGGGAATGGGGATCGATCCAGTCACGCACAAACCGTTTTCGCACCTGATTACAGAGATCGCCACGCTGCCGCCGCCGCAGGCCCCCAATCTGGCCGAGGCTGCCCTAGGCTGCTTCAAGGACGAAATGCTCCACCTCCTCACAAAGCGGAGGATCGACATCCAGCTCCAGCAATTCACCGCCGTCAATCCGTCCAACTCCACCGCCATCGACAACAAAGACGAGACCATCGAGAAAATCAAGTTCGGATTATCCAAGGCCATCAAGGAACCGGACATGCTGCAGATGACCAAACCCTGGGACGCCGTCGGGACGACGTCGGCGTACGTCGGCGGTAACTTCAACTCCTTCCCAGGATCATCGGACGCCGGATTCCAGTACGAACTGGCGTCGCTGGGGAACGAAGGGGACGCTTCGCCGTGGGGGCAGAGCATGTGCACCGGGAGCACGTGCACCGCCGCGGAACAGCGCGGCAGCGGTGGGAGGGTCAGTGAGAAAGCCGAAGGCGGACACTTGGACGAATCCGGTTCGAGGAAAGATACCAGGAATGGATCGAGTGTGTTCAACCCCGACTGCTCCTTGTGGGACCTACCGTCAGATGATCTCATCAATCCAATAGTTTAACGGCCAGGATTTCGCGGAGAAAAATTCACTTTTTAAAAGACAAAAGAAACTGTAAATAAGTGAAGACTGCCGTACGGAGGGTAACTGTTTTGTCCCTTCGATTTCGTCCCATGTAAAAATTGGAGCACATGAGAAAATGATCAGCAACTGAAACAAGCAGACAGCACTGAATAAAACAAACATTTTAGCCCTCACTTTGTTACATTTTTTTTCAAGTCTTTGCACAATTCTTCTGTAGATTCGCAGGACAATTACCATAAAGATCTATCATCTATTCTTTTTAAGGGACAAAAACAATGATAACTAAAACCCTGAATTCGGGCTCAAGCCTGGCCTTTCTATGCGCTCTCAAAGCCGAATACTCGGAAAACACCTGGGCCGACAGAAGAAAGAGATGTGGGATGGTCAAAACAACAAAAAAAAAGGTTTATTTCATGTCAAGTTTTGTAGAGAGAGGTACCTTCATCGGCCTGGTATTTGTTCTTGTCGTCTCCGGCGTAGGCAAGTAAGTTGTATTTGGGATTCCATTCCACGCTGTTCATGGCAGCTCGGCAGGGGATTTGGTGGGCTGGTCGCCCTGTTTGGACATGTGACTGTAGAAGAGTTAAGTACAGGAAAACATGACTTTCGAATTTGAAGAGCAGTACGAAGAAAATGTGAGAGATTTGGAGGGTGCTCACTATGTCAATAAACAAGTCCTCGCTGGCAGAAGCAATGTATTCCCCAGTGTGGTTGAAACTTATTGTCCGAACAGGCCATCTGGTTTAATATATGATTTGAGAAAAACTTTGTTAATCAGAAATGGTAAAATCACCTTAGATCAATGGGTTAAAGATAATACGAAAATAGTTTTTCCATGCCTCTCGGTGGAGGAACTTACTCAAGTTTTGTGAATGTACGGACACAGAGCATCTCCTTGATATCCCAAAGGCTGACTAATGAATCAGCACTCCCCACAGCAAAATATCTGTGCAAGAACAAACAGTTTTTGGCATCTTCAAAACTTTCAAGTATCAGAAAGCATAGCACATAAAATAGACAGACTTCTTGGATTTAATTGGACTTGGTTTTTAAACAAACAGGAAATTAATTGTTATAAATCATCAATAAATAGCTAACTCTCTACCCTGTTTCACATTAAAAGGGGTGAGAAATAGATTTTAAGGCACCTTCCTAGTGGGTCGATTGCAATGCAATAGCAACCGGCTGTATGAGCCATGAGGGTATCAACAGCTCGAAGGGTTGGATAAGCAAGTACTTCCACGGTGCCTGAGGTGGGGGAAGAACCAAGAAATGGGTTATAATATAGTCCAGCACATTCAAACAGAAAGACAAAACATGCACATAAAAGCAGGAACTCCTTTATGGGATTGATTCTCACCATTTCCGGTAGTTAAAAAGAATAAGTCACCGGTAATGTTCCAAGCTATCTCATTCACCTGACAACGAACATCTGAAGAATCAGATTGGGAAGGTAAAAACTATTCAAGACTTTAAAATCTAATTCTAGCATGTTCCACATGATGTGCTCCATGCATCATTTTGATCTTATGTTAGTATAACAAAGAAAGGGGGGATTCACACTAGAATTCCTCTCTAATATAGTAAAAATATCAAGCAAAACAAAAACATATGTGAATGCATAACTTGTCGGTTACAAAAGTTGGATACCCAAGTTCAGGGTTACATCAAGATCAGCACTTGGCAAAACAGAATGAAATATATAGCAAAGTGTTTCTAACCTATATAGGCTGTTATTGCAAGTTCTGATGACAAATTACTAAGCATCCTTCTCTTACTTAACTCGACAACTGTCAATAGATACCGCTCAATAATCTTACCTCATAGTTGAACTTGCGTTTATGTATGGGTTTAAATTTGCGAACATCCAAGATTGTTAACTCATCGTCCTGAAATTTACAAAATAAAAAATAAAAAACTTTAAAAAAGACATGGTGCCAACCATCACGATGACTAAATAGACAAAATATTGTAGGGAAAGATAATGCACAATTTGACAATATACTAAGAGAAAAATAAAAAATAAAACACTAGTGACATTGTTTACCCTATTACCAACGGCTACATGAGTGCCATCAGGTTTGTAGGTGATATTTATATTCTCCCCACTAAGTTCTGCTTGCTGTGAGCATTTCCCACCTACAAATCACAATGAATATTACAGAAAAAATATGAAAATCCAGTTCCAACTTACATTAAAAATAAATAAATAAACCTCCCAAAAGTACTATACTTCAGCATAAATTTGTTCAATGACAAATAATTAAGTTAGCCATGAAGCATAGGCATTTATAGCCTAATGGTGTGTGCAGTGAACAGACATTTATAAGTAAAGAGTAGGTTGATGCAATAACCATAACTTACTACGAGCATCCCACAATCGGACGGTCTTGTCGCCTGATGCAGTTGCAATCAAATCAGCATGCTTTGGATCCCAGCATAACTGATCAACACTGTCAGTGTGCCCTTTTAGCTCAATATCTTTAACTTTACCCTGAACAGCCACATAACACGGTGATAAAAAACCAGAAAACAACTAACAAAGAAATTTCTCAAGACTGCAATATCTCTCTCTCTCTCTCATACACATATCAGGACCTGACAAAATCTTAACACCGTGATTATAAGTTCTTCAAAACAAGGAAATACATAGTACACACCCGTTAAGCATGCCATGGAAAACCTGCGTTCCATCTAAATGGAAAATTATTATTTTGGTCTTCCAAGCAAGGCCACTCCACTTTCAATTGCACTTTAAAAATTCATAACATTATTTCCCAAATCTGGAAATTCCGATCACATATCATCTCAATTTTAAAAATCACACTGTATTCCATCACCGATCTTTCATCATTGTCATATAAAACACAAACAAAAATGTTTTAAATTGGTATGTGTAACTGACAAAAAAAAAGAGTTGATTGCCCTTTCGTTTGCAGAAACCAAATATCTCCCTACACAGGAATATATTTCATATTGCCATAATCTCACAAATCAAGCTTAACATTCACATCAGAAGCAAGAAACAACACAAAACTCCACAACCACAAAAAAAGAACAATTGAAGGAAAAATGATCCCCAAACGGAACCCCTAATTTTCACATAAGGCACATTCATTGTACTGGATAAACTTCAGATCCTAATAACCACATCGCCAAACGAAACATATAAGAATTAAAAACAAACAAACAAACATAATACATCAAAAACTTACGTGTCCATAAGGTTCAATGTGCCAAACTCGTGCCGTCTGGTCGACGGAACCAGAAGCCAATTTTGTTCCCGCACAATTCCATGCCACTGAATGCACCTTAAAGAAATAACATTCAATTTTCAATTCATAGACGAAATCGATAAATTTGTATAAACGCCCGAGCAATAGGGTTAGGGCATGGAGTACCTTCTTCTTGTGGCCTTGGTACTCTCTGCTGTGAAGGGTTTTGAAGGGTATCGTTTCCTCCATGGTTGCAAACAAAGCTCCACTATCCCTGTTTCGTTGCTTAAGCGTAGTGTACTTCGATTTAAAAACGCGCTTTTGAAATCGCTTTAGTTCATTACAATGCGATGTTTTCGTTAAGGAATTTTTAAATTACCTTTAAAAGTAGAAATGCTTATTAATGAGAAAAGGAAAGTGTTGGATTATTTATTTTTATTTTTATATTAAATTAAAATTTAATCTTACATTGATACATCAAACAATTATGCAAATCAAAATCTCCAAACAAAGACACCGTATGTTACCTTACAGCATTTTTTCTTGATCCTGTTCCTGTTGTCTTCACTCACAACGAACATTTACAAGAATGTCTTGTTACAGACCAATAGAATGTAGCAAGTTTGATGCACCATAACTAATTTAACTCAGTTCCATCATTGTAAAGGCTACCATAGACATGAAGTTTCACAAGCAATTCGAGCTAGACGAATCAAACTATGATCGATCTATGGTCTACTTACAGGGCCAACAACCAAAGTACTATGAGCAGTGGATCGAGACTTGCTCGAAAAATTCAGATCATATCTTCACCTCGTCGTCCTCCTCCTCCTCATCATCATCGCCTTCTTCGATCCCAACCCAATGAGTGAATGCAAAGAGAAACTCCTTGATGTTCACAGCTCCATTCCTGTCCCAGTCCATTTCTTCTGCATACAATGATGAGAAACATATTAGAACATGCTATATATATGTGTGTAGCGTTTAGTGAGACTGACCAAATCTTTTCATGGCAATTCTCCCGGAAGATCGTTCCCCAGAAGCGGTTTCATTAATAGCATCGATCATCTCATCTTTGCTAACATAACCATCCTTGTTCTTATCCAAGCACGTAAAGGCATCGACTAGTATTTCAAAAGTAGCCTCTAGATTTGGCATCGCTATCTGAGTTTCCAATCGATATAAGAAGCACAACAAGCAACATTATTATATGTTAACTGGCAAAAGAAATAGTATGACAAACCGATCTTGGTTGCAGCCACCTGATCTTTACTGCAAAAATGTAAGCTTGTAATACATCCCAAATCTTATTCTTAAAAAGGGAAGGGATAAAGGACATGCAATGATTGAATGATGTATGATAAGTATGCAATCACTTATAAAGATGTGCGAAAAAAAATTGAAATTGTACTCAGGATACAGCATGTTGAGCAGTCGGGCCTTCCTTCAGAAGATAAACGAGACAAAGAAGAACAATAAATTCATTGAACGTAATTTGCATATCCTCGTTTATATCGCATGCCTGGAAGAGGTCATTGATTTCCTCATCAGTGAAATTGATCTCAAGCTTGCGAAAGCAACTCTTAAGCTCTTGATGATCTATTGCACCGTTTCCATCCTCATCTATTCACACAACACACAAATGAACTAATTATATCACAATAATGTTTTATATAAATTTCATGGACAGAGGGATCTTGCGGGCTACTGCAGGATTATTTGCAAACTCTTTTGAAAAAGGTCAAATATACCAATTCCCGATTTCAAATATAGTTTAACTTCGAATTAATACTAACTAAAGTTGAAAACCAAAAAGTACTCTTGCAAATGCTCATTTGAAGTCTCTCTTTAAGGCATGTAAACATAAAACTATGCAAACAACAAATGAAGTAAATAAAAGTATGTGCATGCTCCTTTCGAAGAATAGTTACCGAATTCATGGAATGCAGTTCTGCACTTCCTAAAACTCTCATCAATCTTAGGGAATTTCAAGATGATGCTGTTAAAGGATGTCGTAGAACTCCCTCGGCTTTCTCTCCTGCGCACTACCTCATTAATTTTGGCCTCGAGCTTTGTCTCGGTCACTGAAGCCTTAGCAACAGCACCTCCCATTGTCCTTGTGATTATGAATCAATAGGCAGAAGAAAAATATGAAACTTAACGAGGTATGCATCTTCCTACTAAGTACAAATTAAAATGTGCAGAGTAAAACATATTAGCAGCAGAAACAGGAAGATGGCTTCTGTTATAGAAAGGATGTGAAAAATGTGAAGAAGATGAAAAACAGAGTTTCCATGTATTCCCCCCTACGACAATCCGTAATTCCCTAACAACCATCAATCAAAATGCAAGTTTCGATTCACTTGAATATGCGATGAAGTTGAATCATCGTCACATAAATCAATGCAATCCAAAGCTTATCCACACGCAAACTATTCGAGACAGGATTATCCAGAACCAAACAACACACCGAGCGCCTATTTTGAATATCAATTCCTCTCCAGTCCCCGTGGGAATCAAGATCGAAGAGATTCTATTATTCTTCCAGGTTCACAATCAATCAAAAGAAAAATCAACGAACGAACAGGTTCAACAAAGTAAAGAGAATCATTCCAGCAAATTAACTATCATCGATTGAAATCCAAAATTCTCAGAAATAAAAGCTAACGTGGAATAACTTAGAAACAAGACAAATCTGTAGTGTATTCGCGATGGACAAGCATAGAAACCTCACCTGCAGCGTAGAATAACACAAAATCCGCGAATTGGAAAGCTCAATCTTCGTCTAGCTGACAGCGAACGATATCAAAATGAAACTTCTCTGCAAAAGACACGCATCAGCAATCTTTCATCGGACCGATTTGAACGACGAGTGCTGGCCATGGGTAATATTTTAAATTTTATTAAATAATACCGATACATAAATATATTTGATTTTATTATTTCAATTTACAAGTTACAACCTCTTTATTTATATATATATATATATATAATAATAATAATATTTAATTTTGTTAAGAGTGTGAAATGGTATGATTCATATGAAAATTTCTAAATAAAATAAATAAGCATAAATCCTTTTGTCCTTTGAATATCAGAATATATGCTTCTTTTTTTAATTATGAAAAAAAAAAAAAGAAATTTGCGCTTAAGTTGCTCTTTCTTTTTTTTTTTTTTTTTTCCTTAGTTAAATTTCGTACATTACTAAATTTAAATTTAACAAAATATTTTAACATTCACTTTTTTTCCTATAATTCTCACTATATTTATTACATTGTATTTTTCCATTTTCATTAACTATTAAATAAATTTTCAAAAATATTATTAGTTATAATTTCATTTTTATTATTTTTTAATAAAATTTTAGTTTTTAAAATGCAATTTTATAGGATCGGAAGGAGTGTATTGTATTTTATATTTTTTTATTATAAAACATAAAAAAATACTACTAATTACTTTCTCTGTCCAATCTTATTTTTATTTTTTCAGTTTGTTTATTATATTTATATTATTATTATTGACAATACAAAAAAAATAAATTTTTAATTTTTAAATATTTATTTATAACAAATATCATTATATTTATTTATTTAAGTCTTTTTATTTACTAATTAATTTTTAAAAATACTTTTTTTTTAATTTTTATTTGTCTCTAACTCCGAATAAATCTCAATTGAATTTTTTTTTTTTTTTAATAATGTAGGAAGCCGCAGGAGTAGCTATTGAATCCTGATTTCAGAATCACATGTTCAACCTCTACTCCACCAGGACATCGGGACTGAAATGGGCTATTTATTTATTTATTTTTTATGACACGAGAATCCGCAACCGGTACTCAAAAGTGCACATTAAGGGTGTGTTTGTTTGAAGGATTTTGGTGGATTTCCACTATTCATCCAATTTTTTTCCCCCAAAAACATCAAATCAAACACTTATTTTTCATTTTTTATATTATACTAAAAATCAATTTTACATTCAAAACATCACATCAAACCCTATTTATATCACATCATACAACTATTCAAATTCAAAATTTTTACTATTCAAATCTCAACTCAAAATCCAAACCCCCAAACAAACACACCCTAAATAAACTTTCAGATTGAATCTAATACTCTGCAAACTAGGCTCAACGGAAAAATCACATTGAACGAACGAACCATGCGTGGCAGGTGACCTGATAGAAAAAAGTATTACTCTACTAGTTGCCCTTAAAAATATGCATTTGATTTTTCTAACAAATTAAGAAATAATATTCACTTTATTTAAATGAACTTGTTTTACTGTTTTTGAAATATTTTATCATTTATTTAAAATTATAAGTCAAACTTGAAAAAAATATAAAAATGATAAAAATATAAACCATATTACGTAACCTTGGACGGTGAATTAGTGATCCACCTGGCGCCCGGTGGGATTGAAGTTCTCGTGTCCGTCGGATCGGATCAGATCTGATTCACACGATTCTTCCACTACTTTCCTACTGCACAAATGCAATTAAATAGATATTTATATGTTAAATTATCTTAAATTTTATTTCAATACTCTTTTCGTTTTATATAATTTATCTTTATTTTTTATTTTTTTATCTATCGCATAATTTATTATTTTTATTTTTTGAAATATAATTATATATTTTAATTATATTTAAATTTTAAATTTTAATTAAATTATTTAAATATTTTAATTTTAATTTATAATTATTTTTACTAATATATTTTTTAATTACTTATTGATTATACCTTATTAAATTTTCGTATCTACAGTAATACATCCAAGTTATGATGGAGTAATATTTTGATATTCTATTTTATAAAAAAATAAATAATATATTTTTATTAAAAATTTACGAGTTTTAATTTATAATTTGATAATAACTAATTAAAAAAAAAAAAAAATCTAAACATTAGAAAATATTATATATATATATATATTTTAGTACATATTTTTAAAATATTAATTATTATTATTATTGTTATTTTATACAATCAAATTTGCATCATGAATAAAAACAGGCATGCCACCAAATGACCAAATTCGGGCTCACAATTATTGGGTGGACATTATGGTACTAAGATGTCTTATTCCATTTGGATATGATTTGTTCGTCCAAATATAATGGGAATTTTTTGGTTTTAATACTTGCAAATTAGGCACTTATACCGGATATATTTGTTACTTCAAATTTGAAATACCATTTTCTAAAAATATACTCCCTCAGTCTCGTAAGCTTTTTGCATGGAGTTTTAGAAATATTAGTATTATATTGAGATATAGTTAAAAATAAAATAGAAACGACTAAAATGACCTTATTATTATTGTGTGATATAAAGATAATGGTATTTGTGTAATATATTGAAAGTTGTAAGAGTATTTGTAATATTAGGTAGATAGTACATTTACTTTAAAAAAAAATAAAAAATAAATACTTTGTTACGAAACCAAAAATAGAAAAATGTATACTTTTTTTGAGAAGAAGAAGGGAGTATAAAAATACTGAATCCAAAGGTGTTCAATATAAATATATATATATATTATTTTAAATGGTTAATTATTTTTGTTAATAGAGTATATATTATATATTGTCGGAATTATGTGCATATATTAATTTTTTTGTTAATATGGTAAAAAATCAAGTCAATAAAATTATTTTGAGTGAACATATTAACACTAAATTACTCTCCATTGTTTATGCAATACTTTTTGAAGATTTTGGCAATAATTATTTTTTAAAAAAATATCAAATCAAATATTTAGTTTTATTTACAAAATAACATATTGAATATTAATTTTTATTTTATTTTATTTATTTACTATTTTAATATCTTTTGTAAAATTCTAAAACTTAAAAAAATTATACATATATGAACACAATGCATTCCAGCACAATTTGACTCATTATTGGATTATAAATTTACAACTTTTACCTTCTACTGATCAAGTAAACAGTGGGAATATCAAGAATTTGCTTATCTTAGAAATTTTATAATTTTTTTTTAAAAAAATAAAAAATAAAAAAATAAAATATTTGATGTTAATATTTTATAAATAAAAGAATATATTTTTATTACATGATCTTGTTTTTTTAGTAATTTTTATTTTTAAATATTTTTTGTTACCATTCAATTCTACTTTACTTTGGAAAAATATACATTTCTTTTTCACGTAAAAATTATATCAAAATATCATATAAATAAACACAAACAAAAAATACAAGCATATCCAAATACATATTTTTACATAAAATGTATTAAAACAAAAAAAACTATCCATAACACTGTGGAAAAATCTAGATCAAATACAATCTATGTATTTAAATATATTTCGAAAATGTTCAGTAATTTTAGCTACTTTGAGTATTTTTAATTAAAAAAAAAAACTCTTAATAAAATATTTTCAGAAATTTGGCCCACTGTAGTGTTTTGGGCTGCAAATTTTGAGTTGGATGTGTAGGAGAAGGGCCGAAGGATCTTGGCAATGGCAGGTGCTTTGATACGAGAGTGAGTTCCACGCGCTTTTGCTACACCGCCAATGAGGAAGAACCGCGATGCGATGCATCTAATTATGGTGGGTGGGTGGGTCGATGGATGCATTCGTAATTCCGTCCCTCAGCCCTCCCCCTTCAAAAAGGCAACAAGCACCTCCCTCTCCTATTTATTTCTCCAGTCTTCGCCTACTCCGCCTCCACTGTACTACACCTCAATTTCCGCCCAGGTATCGTAACCCTAATTTCGTTCCATGCCTATCCTCGGTTTTTTTCCCTCTCCCTTCTCTTGATTTAAAATTCGGAGTTGATCGATGATTTGGTTGTTTGATTATTAGAGTTTGGAGTTCTTGTGGTTCTCACGCTACGGTTTAATTGTGCTTTTGGTTTGTGATTTCTTCATTTCCGCATGCAATCTATATACATATGTGTGTGTGTTTATGTGTGATCCTCACGGTGTTTGATCATCTATTAGATTAAAAGGGGGTGAAATTTTAGGATTAGGGTTTATGAAGTAGCATGTTATGTGGTTATTTGGTATGCCTTGTCACTTGTAAGAGCAGGATTTTGATTTACTGGACGTGTAATTCGAAAGGGGAATTGATATACCCTAGGGTCGTTGATTTGATCAAATTTTGCTGGAAATGGATAGCAAGTTTGCGATACTTTAGGTTTGGTTGTGAAAATTGATGTTATATTGAACACTGGCTTCTGACCATTAGGGTTTGATCGAAAATAGCATCGTTATATTTATGGTGTATTAAGAATGTTTGTTGTGCTTCTTGGTTTAGTATTGGAACAGGGCAGTTGTTTATATCGAGAAAACCCGGGCACGGGCACTTTGTTTCATACAAGGAAACTTTGTAATGGTTACTCTTAGTGTTTATTGGATTGCGCCTACTTTTGTGAACTTTTATGTGTTAGTTAGATGATTGATTTTATTTTTCTGTTCGTTTTATATTTTGATCTGTAGGTAGTTACCCCTGAACAGAAGGTTTGATGGCTTCCAAGAGAATCCAGAAAGAATTGAAGGATTTGCAGAAGGACCCTCCTGCCTCCTGCAGTGCTGGTCGGTACCATTCTTTTGTCGAAATCTTGTTTTCCTTGAAAATTGGGGAAGTACACAGATTGTCTAAATAACGGGCAACTATAATAACGGTCAACCGCACATTCTTAGTATATAAAAATTGATTGGATTATACGAATCGTGAATTGGGAATCATTCAATCCACGTGTACACTTGCAGGACATGTTGGTTGATTCTTTAAATATGTCTATTATCGTTGGACACTTTGTTTTTTGACCTCAGTATTAAATTTGGAGTGGAAATTCCATTCATTGATTTTGTATGTTCACTCTCATCGTACGATTGCTGCATTTAGGACCCGTTGGTGAGGATATGTTCCATTGGCAAGCTACGATCATGGGACCCGCAGACAGCCCGTTTGCTGGGGGAGTGTTTCTTGTCACCATTCACTTCCCACCTGATTATCCCTTCAAGCCGCCCAAGGTAACTTGCGCTTAATCATATCTCAGCATTGCGTAGAGCTACAAAATTGACGAAAATGGATATATTCTTGTGTTTGCTTGTGCGCTGCGCAGGTGTCTTTCAACACTAAGGTTTACCATCCAAACATCAACAGCAACGGCAGTATTTGCCTTGATATCCTGAAGGACCAGTGGAGCCCTGCCCTCACAATATCAAAGGTATATGTTTCTATGTTTTTTACAGTCCAAATCAGTTTGATTGTAGTTTATTTCATAGTTGTTGATAGTGCGCTATAGCGCGCTAATAGCAGTGTAAGTAGCAGAACGATGCGAAAGTCCGCCGCCACTTTTATGCAATAGCGTCATAGTGGCTTTTAGCGAGGCTGAGCACTTTTTAAATTGACTAATATATTATAATTTTTATTATGAGTAGATTTAGATTTTATAATATATATATCTATATATTTGGTAAATATTGATTTTATACTATTATATTATAATATGCTATAGCTACTCTAGCTCTAAATAGGAAAAGAATATTGTTCAATGTGACAAACATACAATCAAAGAACTGAATGAGAATAATGAAAAAAGGTGAAGAAGGAGAAGAATATTTATACTATAGTAACAGTGTAGATTGTGAAAATGATAGAAATTATTTTTCGGATTTTGAGAATAGAAGTAAGTTGTGATCTAATTGTTCTCAATTATATAACTATGTATGAATGATAATCATGATATTAATTTATAGAATTTTATTATGCAATTTTATTCTGATTTTGTATATATAATTTTTATATTTATATTCTTAAATTTTTAAGTAGTGGTTATCTTGCTATCTGCTATAGTAGCATTTTAGAGGTTGAACGCTAGGTAACGCTATCTCTGAGATTGATAACTATGTTTTATATATTTATTCCCTGTCAATGTTATAAAAGTCTACAATTTCAACACGATGGATTATTCATGGCCTGCAGGTACTTCTATCTATCTGCTCCTTGTTGACTGATCCCAACCCCGACGATCCTCTGGTGCCTGAGATTGCGAACATATGCAAGACTGATCGAGCCAAGTACGAGGCCACCGCTCGATCCTGGACACAGAAGTATGCGATGGGTTAATATGCTGTGACTGATTCATATCAAGCCATTGTATCTTGGACTAGCTAGTAATAATAAACATTGAGAACGATGGAATCGTCTTCGTACCTTGTCTGCAAATCTTGGCCTTGGATGGTAATAAATCTGTTTGCAGTGCTTTTTAAATATGTTTGTTTTCTATTTGTGGCTTGGTGTTTTGATATATGCATGTATATATATATATTTATATATTGTTATGAATTTGGGGCAATGATTATTGAGGCCTGAATCCAAAATTATTTTTGTGTTCAGGCTAAACTTTTGTGGCTCCCTTACCTGGCCCGGCGTGGCCTATGATTTTTGAAATTGTTTCTCCATGGTTAGATTTAGGACTTGAATCTTAGCCATCGATTCTTTATTAATCCTACATATATATTTGGGGGTGTGGGTTATTACTCACACATTCTTACTTTCTTATATCGATTTTCTCTTCTCTTTTTGTTCCTCGTGATTAAGGTATTCTTGGATTCGATTTTGTTAGAGGTTGGGGCTGTGAGTGTTTGATCGTATTGTTTATGATCCGGGTTTGGGTTGGTTGGTTTGTTTGTTTGTTTGCGATTAGGTGATTTTAGAGGCTGAGCCTCGCGTGTGCTTTGTTTTCGAATTTTATGCATGTTTTATATTCTTCTTTTGCTTTCAAGTTTAATTTGATTTTAACAAAAATTATCACTAAGAAAATGCAAGTGTAGGGTGACTTAGGGTGTGTTCGATTGTAAGATTTGTGCAAAATCTTTCTATTCATCCAATTTTTTTCCTTCGAAAACATCAAATCAAACACTTATTTTTTATTTTTTTATATTATACTAAAAATTAATTTTACATTCAAAATATCACATCAACACTACACTTATTCATATCACATCGTACAATTATTCAAATTCAAAATTTTTACTATTTAAATCCCAATTCAAAATCCAAATCCCCAAACAAACACAATTCAAAATCTAAACCCCCAAACAAACAAACCTTGTAAAAGTAGGAAGAAGTTATGTATCGTGTAGATTTACCCTATTCAATACTTTAATTATCCTATAAAAATAAATAAATGTATTCGTATGAAAAAGGAATTAAATTTAGTTAAGTCTTATGGACACATGTTTGTTTCAAATATAAATCGTAAAATATTTTTAGTTGAAATTGTGTATGATTGTGCACGAATCGTGGTCTGTGACATTGCATGTTGTAAGATTTTTTAAACTGGCTCGGTCTCAACAAAAGAATTTGTATAATATAGGGTTTGTTTATTTTGTGTTTCAGTTTGGAATAATTTTTTTTTTTTTATGTGAAATATAAAAAATTGTGTAATATATTATTTATTTTAAAAATATACTATTAGATATTTTTTGACAAAAAAGAACATACATATAACAGTCAAAGATGTCTCCATTGTCACGTTAATTATATTGTTGAATATATAAATATACATATTTCTACTATTTATTCTGAAATAGTTGGCTGTGCGTATATATAAAAGGTTATTTTATATATAATTTTATTTTCACATACACAGTGTATATACATGTTATATATATATATAAAAGATTATTTTATATATACATGCGTGTGTAGATATATACATACTATGTGTATGGAACGACGGAATAGGTCCCGTCCAGACTGACAGGCCCGGGAGGCAACTGTAGGTATTGCTAATGCCATCTTCAATCGGATAATTTTATTTATATCAAAATGCAATTGCTACAATAATTTTACTCTAATCTATAATTTTATTTTTTACTTCAAAATTAATATTCTTCAAATATTCTATCTTATATATTATTTTAAATTATTTTTTATATCTATAAATAATATTTTATTCTAAAAAAATTTAAAAAATTAATTAATTAATTAATATACAATTTTTTATTTTTTTTATTTTTAAAAGAACACAACATTATAAAAATGACATTGCTACTGTGTAACACCGTTTTCTATATAAAAATAGTGCATGACTAGAATAAGAAAACTCCACTCATGGGCTGCCTCCATGCAACCCCGTTAGATATGGCCTAAGTCTGGCCTGACCGACAATATCTCAACCGACAGTCCCCCCACCCCCCCTACTACACACAGACACCCACATGTGTGTGTGTGTGTGGTAGTCAGTCATAATAACAGTAACACTAACAGTAGCAGCAGCGGAAGCATTGTGAAGGATGACAGTATAGTTGATTACCAAATCAGCTCTTGTTTCTCTCTCTCTCTCTCTAATCAACTCTCCTCCTATACATACATAAATATTTAAGGGTGTGTTTGTTTGGGGTTTTGAATTTTAAGTTGGATTTAAATAATAAAAATTTTGAATTTGAATAGTTGTACGATGTGATATAAATAGACGTTGATGTGATGTTTTGAATGTAAAATTGATTTTAGTATAATATAAAAAATAAAAAATAGGTGTTTGATTTGATGTTTTTTTTGGAGAAAAATTTTGGATGAATAGTAGGATTTTGTCAAAATCCTACAACGAACACACCCTATTGATTTTTATAGAATACTTACAACAGGATTGTGTGGATTTATGCTAAAATGTAAAGGAGTAAACTCTGACAGCAAACTGACAAAATACTTTATTCGGTGTATTACCCAAACTGATCATTATTTAAATATTTTTTTCTTTATTTATCTATTTTAACCATCGCATTCGTTCATGGGCTATTTTAATTAAGGGTGTGTTTGTTTGAAGGATTTCCACTATTCATCCAATTTTTTCCCCCCAAAAACATCAAATCAAATACCTATTTTTTATTTTTTATATTATACTAAAAACAATTTTACATTCAAAACATCACATCAAACCCTATTTATATCACATCATACAACTATTCAAATTCAAAATTTTTACTATTTAAATCCCAATCCAAAATCCAAACCCCCAAACAAACACACCCTTAACGTACTTTAGATAATCACGCAAAAAGTTAAGGCCGTGTTTGGATGGACGTTCCGTACGGCTCTGCCTCGGGTAAATCGAAAAGGGAAATTTTGCAGGCACGCCATGTCTGTTTCCATTGAAGAATCATGGGTCTGGGTCTGGGTCTGAGATGGTTGTGAGTTAACTTAACTGTATTGATGTCACTGTCTCGTCGATTGATGATTTTGCCGCTCGCATCGTCCACTTTTACCGCGCGGTTTATAATGGGAATGAGAATCATGGCAATGGATGAGGAGGAGGAGAGAAAGATGATGTCATCTATTGCACACCAAAAGAGGACGGTACACGTAAGAGAGAGAGCTTATACAAGCACCAGCGGTGGCCGGTGAGTGAAATATATATAATCTTATATATATTGTGTGTGTAGAAAAGCTGAAAGCTTCAGAATTTGGCTGAGATTGGGAATTGGAGAAAATTTCAATCTGGTGATTGTGAGCATCGAATTTTTCGTTTTACGTTCAATTTCGATTACCGGAGAATTCTGCAGCGCAGTTTCTGAGTTTTTAATTTTGGGGCGAAAGCAATGGGATATGCTTGTCTTATTGCAATCCAATTGATATAGTTTCTAGGGCTTATGCAGGTCTGTCTCTGTTTCATTTGTTGAGCGATGCATTTGATCTCTGTTCCTGTTCGAATGTCTTGCTGTGAAGCCCTTCTCTGATATATTCCTACCATCAGATTTTACCTGTTTCTTCAATCTGATTCCATTGCGCCATTACAACACTTGCAAGAAGTTAAGGACATTTGGGTTATTTTGGTGTAGTGAATTAGAATTAGATTAGTTGTTCTTAGTAAATGCTCACCTTCACTGTGAAAGCTGAATAAACTGCTATGGTGTGCATTGTTTGATTACTTATGTGAGTTATGTTAATTTCATTTTTACTGTGCAATGAACGTTGTGATCAATTCAGACACTAATCCATTGGTTTATTGACAATGTAGCTTAATTTGTGAAGCTTTTGTTCGAAACTGTTCGCTTATATTTCGCAATCAAGTTGTCTGTATGCTTCAAAATGTCAGGTTTGTAGCCTCTTTATCTTTCAGTGGAAATGTCATGTTTTTATCATCGCCGAGGATTGTTGTCTTATCTGAGAGAGCTTACAGTGAATGGAGCCTAATATGATAGGTCAAGAAGCATTAGAAGAGTACGATGATTGGAACAGGAAAAGAGATGACTATGAAATCTATGAAAATGAAAGGAGATCGAAAATCAAACCCTTGAAGAAGCGGGCCACGAATGCATCAAACAAGTTCACACATTCTCTTAAGAGAAGGGGAAAAAGGAAAGTTCATTTTAGAATGCCTTCAATTTCAATAGAGGATTTGCGCGACCCTGTGGAGGAGAGTGCTGTCTGTGACCTATGTCAAAGACTTCTCGACATGGATTTGTTGCCAGTTCAGTATGATGACTACCATACACTGCTCCGGTGAGTATCCCATTCCTTTCCCATTCCTATCGATAACTTTTTATATTTTTAGTCCACCATAGGCTTTATGAAAGTTTCAGATTTCCTCTTGCCACGACTTTCATGTGTGCTACTGCTTACGATGATTTAAGCTTAACATTATTTGATTGTGGAACGCAGGTTTTTAAAGGCGAGAGACTTCAACATCGAAGAGACCATCAAGATGTGGGAAGAAATGCTTAACTGGAGGAGGGAGTATGGAGCTGGCACCTTTCTGGAGGTAATGATACTCGACCTAACTATTTTGGAATCAAATGCTTGTTGATTGTCTAATTTTTTTCAGGAATTCGATTTCGAGGAGCTGGAAGAAGTTTTGGAATATTATCCACAAGGATATCATGGCATTGACAAAGAAGGCAGGCCAATTCACATACAACGGCTAGGGAAAGCCAACCCGTGCAAACTAATGCACTTCACTTCAAATGAAAGATACTTGAAATATCATGTTCAGGAGTTCGAGAAGTTGATGCATGAAAAATTCCCAGCCTGTTCTGTTGCTGCTAAGAGACTGATCCGTTCAACAACAACAATATTGGATGCTCATGGCCTGGTCTGTTGTTTACATACTTAAAAGAATTTGGTCGCTTTCAAAGATAATGTATGATGTAACATCTGCGACTGCAGGGAGCTAAAAGCTTCACAACAACAACAGCTAGCCTGTTGGAAGCCATGGTTAAGATTGGCAGTAGTTACTACCCTGAGGTACTTTTTGCTACTCTGTTGCCATTTCCTTCGATGGCCACATAAACTCTCTTATGGTTTTTATTGTATGCAGACACTGCACCGAATGTACATTGTCAATGCTGAATCAACCTTCAAGAAAGTTCTTTGGCCGGCCGCACAGAAGCTTCTAGATCGTAAAACTATCGCAAAAATTCATGTAACAGGATAAGCATTGTCCGCATTTTAGGGGCATATGCTTAATTAGCTGCCTTTTGTTTTCCATGCCTTCTACTGAAACTTTTTTTTGTTGATAATTTTATAGGTTTGGGACCGTAATTCGTTGAAGAAACTACTGGAAGTAATTGATCCAAGGTTTGATCAACTCCTCTCGCCATTGCAATAGAGGTTATTGAGTGAAAAAGTCGTGTAATGGTTGTGTTTTTTTTTTTGTCACCAGTCAACTGCCTGACTTTTTGGGTGGATCCTGCACTTGTAATGTTGTGGGTGGTTGTCTGAGGTCGAACAAGGGTCCATGGAGTGACCCAGAAATAATGAAGGTATATTTTTCCCAAACATTGTTCTTGTAGTGATATTAAAATCAGTAAATTTGTTAACTCTTTGTTCATAGATGGCCTACAATGTGGAAGCATCATCAGTGAGGCAGATCATCGACATACCATATGACCAACAGAAGAAGAATGAGTTGTGTATTGAAATCCGACCTGTAATGGTAGGTGGTGTCTACTATTGGGAGTTCATTCATTAATTATTCTCTCATGACAACCTTGTGGGTTCATCAAATGATCAGGGAATGCGCTGCAAAACATCTGGAGTTGGATCAGTGTCCAATGCAGATAACCTTTGTTCTCAAACCAGACAACATTGCACAAAGATTTCACTGCTGAATCCAGCTTGCGAAGAAGTAGACATATATTTACATCTATAGAATAAAGATGTTATGCTTGTACTTTGATTGATTAATAGGCCGTTTGCTTCTTGCAGGGCCGAACATCGGATTCATGTTATTACAGTTGTGATGAACAATTTGGTACAGACAATAAAAACTGGAGCAGCGAAGCTGTCAGAAATACAAATGGCGATACAAGATTGACGAAAGGTTTGTTTGCTGTTGTATCTTATCCCTCTTATTGTATAGTTATGTAAAAATACAGTTAGCAATCTGTCAACAAATTTTGATTTCAGGTTTCCGGTTTATGACAAGAACATTAATATCTATTGCAACCAAGCTTTTCGCATTTGTCCGGACCCGGAGAGAAGCCAACAATTGTCCTCCCAATCAAACCAGCTCAAATGGCTGCTTGTCTGTGGGCACGGGCAGACAAGCTGCCGTTAAACAAGATAATAATCAGATCCTTCCATGTGTACAACAGCGTCTTCAGAGATTGGAGAGTCTGCTAGATGAAGTTGACAAGAAGCCTGCAAAAATTCCATTGGATAAGGAGCTATTGCTTTGCCAGTCTCTGGAGAGGATTAGATCCATTGAGTTTGATCTTCAGAAGACGAAAAGGGTATGTATTGATCATACATACTTTTATATATCGACATGTTACAAATTAGTTCCATTAATTGATTCATGACTTCAGGCAGTGAAAACTACAGTAAAGAAGCAGGTGGAGATTGCAGAGTTGCTACTTGAACGGCATATGCAAGATTCAGGAGTCGGAGTAAGTAACATTGCTTCACAGTCATTCCTTGTTCCAAGACACAACAGTATCCTATCCTATCCGGCTCATTTCTGTTTTTTGCATCTTCTGTTTTTGCAGCAGCAGCGCTGCCAAAAATCGTGCTGTTAAACCAACCTGCACTGAGGATGCTTACTTCTCCATCGTCCTCCACAAGCCCCGCTCTATTGGTATATATATACACACACATAAACACTTGGTTCCATGATAGAATAATTGTCACAAAAATGATCTTACAGCATTGAAGTGAAGTGGGGTTATTATTATTAATGTAAATTAGAAGATAAAAAGAGTATAGCTAGGAGGAATGGTTGGTTGTACTGTATAGATGATGATGATGATGATGATGCTGTAACTGTAACTGGAAGGGGATGCTAATGGTGGGTGACAGTTAGTTGTAGTGATTAATCTCAATAAAACCATATATACACATAGTACAGTAGAGTACAGTAAAAAGCAGCAAGGGAAATGAATCTCTTTCTGTTCCTGTCCGCTGTTAATTGTGGTGTTGTATTGGGTATTGGATAGATATAATGTAATGATGAGATGAGATGGGAGGCCCCTACCCTACCCTACCCTACCCCACCCCCAATCCCACTTGATGGAAAGAAAATTCAATTCTGGCATATCTGGTTCTTGACATTGTGTTGAGACTGTAGAGCAGTGTCCCCACAGCAGTGCCATGATAGATCATTCCTCCTCACAATCTCATTAATTACATCATCAATTGGAAGCGAGAGAGAGAGGGAGAGAGAGAGAGAAAGATGAAGATGAGAGGTGAGAGTCAGTGTCCTCCATCATCATCATCATCATGAAGCAAAGCAAAGTTGATTTGAATCTGATCAAGGTGAGTGGATCTGTGCCTTCCTTCGCTTCCCTGGTTTTTGGATGAGACTGAGATGAAGTGGCGGGGCGTTGTTGTTGTTGTTGTGTGTACTTCCATCTCCATACTCTTTGGATTCTCCTTCTTCACCATTTCCACCTCAGGTACTCTACTCTACTGTTGTGTATCTATTATTTTGCTCAACTAATTCATTACTTGATTATTCAGACATTGGTTAGCTATGCTTTGTAACAATTACTGCTATTCATTTGTTGGGATTTTTTATGAATGAATCGGGTGAAGGTGAAGGTGATGGTGATGATGCAATGATGGTGTTGCTTAGATCAGAATCATCAGCAACAGGTGTGAGTCAGAGGAAGCTTTTCCAGCTCAAGAAATGTGAGTTCTTTACTCTAGTCTTCACTGTAATTACTTGCATATATATAACCTTATCTTGAGCGGGAAGATGAAGAAGATGATAATACCAATTCAAATTTTTTTGGCTTCACTCCTCTCCTTATACATATATGTATGAATGCAGCATGTCCCATAAACTTCGAGACACAGAACTACACGATCCTGACGAGCCAATGCAAGGCCCCCGATTATCCTGTCGAGCCATGCTGCTCGGCGTTGAGGCAATTCGCGTGCCCCTTCCGCAATGAGTTGAATGACCAAACCAATGACTGCTACAAAACAATGTTCGATTACATCAACGGACCCCATAAATATCCCAATACCCTATTCACCGGTAACTGCAACGACAACAGGTTTGGCCTCAGCTGCCCGGCCTCAGCACCGTCCCCGGGAGTCGGCACCACCCATAAAGAAGCTGATGCTGCTCCAAAACATTGTGTGCAGCAGCTGCTGGTTGTTCTAAGTTTCAGTATAGCTGCTGTCTTTATGTTGTGAAACAATTCATTCTTTTTAATGATGATATGATAATATGGATTTGTTTAATATTTATACAGAAACATAGCAAATGAAGCAGAAATCCAAGGATTTATTAAAGCATAACATTAACCACCAACGTTATGTTTATTCAAAAGATTTCTTGCTTTCCAGAGTCTCCTACAGATAGATTGCTGCTTTTCTCTGCAGCACATATATAGATAGATATAGATATATATATATAAAGAGAGTATATGTTTTATGTCTACGTTTTGTCAGAACATCGATCAGTCGAGGCGGAAGCTGGAGGACGAAAAAACATAAGGCGAAGATCTGAGATGACGACCTGCAGGCAGTGGTGGCGCAGAATTCGGATGAACTGCAATCGATCCTCCCGGATTATGATTCCATGTAACCATTTGCGATCCGCTGTGGAGACTCGGCGCAGTCTGATAGTCATAGAAAGGATGACGATGATTCACATGTCTATATTCGTAAGCTGACGCGGCTGAAATTCGAACATCTTCGCAGCTTGATGCTCTAATCGATGCTAAGCTCTCGTCATTTGCTGGTGAGTCGTCAAGAATGATTATTTCGTTGCACTGCTGTAAGCTCGAAGAAATAGTCGCAGTTCTAAGCTGAGAGATCGGAGCTGGAGCTTTCTCGACTCCATATCCAGTAAGAGTACTGTTCTGTGGTCCAAATCGACAATGCTGATCTGAGTATTCGCCACTCTTATATGTAAACGGTCGAGGATACAGATAGCATTCCGGTGGCCTGAAGCTGGAACCGGCGATAACACTTGATCGAAGAGTTGGATGATCATCCGACCACATTTTTGATACTGTAGGCGCGATTTGGGAGGATCGATCTTGATTTTCTTCCGTTTTCACGACCATTAAGTTCTTCCCCATCAATCTGAGTACAGAACTCGAGCTAGACGGCGTGGGAGGCTCAGAGTCGCCGTAAGCTGGAAACTTAGCATCCAAATTGCGAGAACTAACCGTGTTGGTCGGAGGAAGTGTTGATTCTGATCTCGGGTTAACATCGTAAGGTTTCTGGGAAGGGATAGGCTCAAGAAAAGACACGGTCTGTCGCCCCCGCAGACGCTCCCAGTCGTGATGATCATTCGAAGATCCATTTCGCTCCTTCCGGGAGCAACAACACGGCTCGCCAATCTTGAATGCGCCATCCGGGCTCGCTTCGCGCTTTAAAACCATGTCCGCCATGAGCTTCGGCTGCTGCTCAGTTAGCTCAAAGGGAACACAGCTTTCTTCAGAGCCGTTGCGTTGAGAATGATCACGACAAATGCCTACGACCTGTGATTGCGCAGCAGCAGCAGCAGCAATAGAGTTCGAAGCAAACGATGTCGCAGAAACAGGAGAATCCGACATATCCACATCAACCAGTTCATGCTCGTCGTCTTCAGAAGAAAGTACCCTGCAAGTAGTCAGCGACGAATTCCCATGAAGTTCTTCCGAGCCCATACGCCCGGGACTTGGCAGAAACGAGCCGGGAGGGCTAGGTACAGGTATTGGATCGACGTCAACACAGTAACTTCCCCGAGCTTCGCCTGCGTCGCCTTTGCTAACTTTCTCTGCACTATAATTCTCCTCATTGCCAAGATCAGACAGACGATGTTCCTGGTAAGCTTTAACACAATCTTGCGAATTCATCTTCGGATCATGCAGACCGGGATGTCGCACAGATTCAGGATCCGAGGAATTTCCAAATGCCGTAAGTGGTTCGCCACCGAGTACTTTAGAAGTTGGCTCACAAGAAACTTCATCGCGAATCTCCAACTCTTTCACCGGATTCAGAACATTCGATTTATCCACTGGGGCATCGACATCTTGGATTTCCAAAATCTTAGCACTATCTGTCAATAATTTACGAGAAGCATGTTCGATTTGAGAAGCATTTTCAGCTGCATCTTCATCCGATGTGTACACCCGATGCATCCTCCTCCGTTTCTTGTAATCTATGTTCTTCGTGCGCGACCTTTCTAATTGCGAAACCGATCCATGCTTTGCAGACAAGACATTCTTCTTCAAAGGCGAAGATTTCTTACCACCCGGCGAACTTGCATGATCCGAGACTGTTTTCTTTACAGACGAAAATTTCTCACCCTTGGATGAGATGGCATCGCTGTGTAAGATTCTTGATTCGACGAAAGAACCATTGCCATTTCCGGCTGGACTGCTACTCCTCATTTTCTTTCTAAACCAAGAATTAGTACTACAGCGCTTACGAACTGAGGGATCATCTTTCGTAGAATGCAGATCATGTTTTGGGAGCTTCAGATTGTTTTTCCTACCACGACCGTCAAGATATGCCAACGAGGAATATCCGTGTCCCTTTTCCAGACAATGCTGTTTGATGTATTCATCATCAGAAGTGGACTGGTTTTTCTTTCTTTCGACATTTGTATCACATCTTCTCTTGACAAACTTATTACCTACCACTGGCGAACGCCTGCTCGATGTTGAACCTTTTGCAATCTTGTCGAGACACTGATTTCTGTGGTCTGAATCGACCTTCCTCTTCAGACCAGTTCTCTTGGACCCCGACCACTGTTTTATCATTCCAAAATCATCAAATTTCATCTGATCACGCGTGTTCGAGAGCTTGTCCCTATGAACAAGTTGCCTTTTTTTCTTAGCCGAGAGAGGCTCTCTTCCTTCGCTCGTTTTGACAAGCTTTGGAGGACAAAGATCATCGCCAAACTTCGATAAACTGCAGAGCTTTGTCCCATCGGAGTCGAAGTACACAGCTGCACCGCCACCTACAAGATTCTTCTCAGAAGAAGATGCACCATTCTTCTCTTCAAGACACACCTCTGTATCCTCAACTAGGATGTCCAAATTCGACGCCCAGTTTGTCCCATTTCTTCGGTCCAGATCCTCCAAAGTACAGGGGACAGCTGTTGCATATATTTCAGCCATCGACACGATTTTCCTAGGCTTTATGTTAGACTTCACAGCTTTCGGATTCTCTATCACTTTGACCTCTGGTTCGCCGGACAGGCATTGATCGATGTGAGCATTCAGAGTAGTGTTGGAGGAAGATGAGAATGTCTTGCAGACCGGACACACTTGCGAAACCATTGTTTCCGATGCCACAGAAGTGCCAACCGATGAATCTTCGCTCTGCTTTGGCTCTGCAGCACTGATCAACTTCCCAATCAACTTACACTTCCTAACTGAGGTTTGCAAATTTATACCGTCCTTGTTTGAAGCCGGGACACCTAAAGGTTCTCGCTTTTCAGCCGAGGATTGCTCGATGTATGGAGCTTTGATAGCAGGAACTGAATTTAAACCAGAATCAGAAGGGCTAGTAAAGGCTAATGGATTCCCATTTTCTTCTTCAACCTCAATGTGATCGATATCCAAGTCTAGTTTTTCGCAGGCATAGTTGGAGGAGACACACAAACGATGATCACTGAACTCTGTTGCATCAGCCGTGTTAGTAATTTCGACAGAAGAATCGAAAGGAGGTAACACATCCTTCACGCCATGCTTAAGACAAAGCTGCAAATTTTCGGGTGAAAAGGGCCAATGGTTTTCGATATCCTTTCTTCGAGCATTGAAGACATAGTCTCTGCAATAAGAAGCAGTTTCATGAATGGTTCGAATTGTACGTGTTCATCAGCATGCTATCATATTATATATAGACGAGAAATGAACATTAGTACAGAAATTTAAGTGCACAAGAGACAACTATAACAACAAAAAAACATCATGGAAAAGGAAAGGGTATAAAGTAACTTTTGGCAGAGGGAATTGAGCCACAAAAAAAAGGAATTCAAGACTGGATAGGAGATGAAGATGAAATTACATCAAGTTTGGCTTCATACAAGAATTGGGCCAAACTTTTCTACAAGAAACTAGGTGCATAAAATGACCAAAACCACATTGATTGCCCAAAAACAGGTCGAGAAAACAACTTCATTTAAACAACAATAAAAAGAGATTTACATCAAAGAAAAAAAAGCCTCTTTAATACAGAAGATCATTAAGCTAGATAAGTCAAGAACTTAAAAAAATTCTAAGTGGTGAGTCCAAATCTTGGGCTAAAAGGATCTGATCAAGCAAGAAACTCCCAACAAAGAAAAGATGAGGGTCTGTGAAAGAGAGAGAGAAGGAGAGGGATGTGGTGGGGTGGGGGGCAGAAACCAATCAAGCCATTAGAAAAAACAGTCAAAAAAGGAAGTTGGAGTCAAGAGAGAGAGTATGTGTGTACCTTATGGAGAACTTGGGAAGTGGGATGTTGTCATCAAGGCCTGACTTGCTCAGATCTAGCTCCTCCTCGGCAGGTTGCCGGCCACCACCACCACCACCATCTCTACAAATATTGCTGCTGCAGCTGGCACTTTTCAGTTGGGATGTTTGAGAAGAAGACAAGGGATTTGGTGGAGGGTTTTCACTGGATAACATCTGCTGATACCCTTTATCTTCCTTCTTGTGCTGTTTACCAGACAACAGTCACAAGAATTCACACAACCTCCTCCACAATACCACCACCACCGCATAACAACAGCCTCTCCAGGCCCCTTCCTCTCTCTCTCTACCACTCCAACTCCTCTTGAGCTGATCAAAACCAAGTAAGCCCACTTCGAGATTGCAACTTCTGTTTGTCACAATTTTTTAAGCATCTCTGCAAGGGAAATGGTAGAGAAGAATATGTTAAAGAGCAGATAAGTTTGAAGGGAGAGGAGAAAAGATTTACAGTACAGTACACTTTTGGATAGTTGTAGCAGATTCTAGATCTTTCTACAAGGGTATCTCATGAACTCAAAAAATCAATGAATTTCAAGGGTGGTTGTTCATCATCTCTCACTACTACTCTTTCCTCGAAGCCCAATTGAGAATAAAAGAGAGAGAAATGGCCTTGATCAAACCCTCAACGGTTGTTATTTTATGTGGCTGGATCAACAGGAAATACAAGAATCTGTTGAAGCTTTTCCAGATGGGAAACATGTTAGTGAACTCACTGACTTTCAAGAATTTTAAACCCAGAAAAAATAAAAATAAAAATCGGGATGATTCATAATAGGTTAGACCGATGAAACCAACATATTTACCAGGATGTGTACTACAACATGGAAACAGCACAATATGAGTTCAAAATCGAAGCTATCGGTTTAATGGCGAATGAAAGATTAAAAGAGATTGAAGAAAGCCCATTCCCCAAACAAGAAATCTTTGGTCAGTCTGAGTGAACAGTAGAGTTTTGAAGATAATCCGAGTATAAACGCACGGACCAGATTTGGTTGGGGGTTTGAATGATAATGGAAGACTTAAGAGCAAAAGTCATCAAAGACGCAACAAGCAACAAAAACGCCAACAAAATCAAGATCATAAAATAACAGAAACCCCGAGTGCAGTAGATCAAAAAAATTGTTCAAACAAGCAAAAATCTGGAACCATAGTAGATCAAATTAATCGAAGAAGATATAAAGGAAAAAGAAGCTAGCATAGGTGAAAGCATCGAGACCCAAAAACGAAAGCAACTAATCGTCTAACCCTGAAACTTCAATAAAAAGGAAATTTAAAAAAAACAAAACACATAAACCACACATATGAATCTACAGACCTGCGGGATTTGAATTCTTCATCGATTTGGTGGAGAGCAGAAAAATGAAATTGAAGAATGAGAGAGAGGGGAAGAAATAGAGAGAGAAAGAGAGTATCGTATGCATATATGGCAAGTGAAGAAAGAAAGCAAGAAGAGGAAAACTAACAACACCTATCCCCACTCAGTACTACTCACCCATGGAAATGGCACATCAACTCATGAAGAAGCATCAGGTTCTTTCTCTTCTCCTCTCTTTCTCTCTCTCTCTCCTCTTCTCCAAATCAAAAAAGCAGGTCGGTACAATTAATCCAATTCCCCCACACGATTCACCTCTGTGAATATGCGTGCGATGTCAATAAAGCAAAGCAAAGAAATATTCTTGGACACCCAAAGAAAGATAAAATTAAAAACCACCAAAATTGTACAGAGGAGTAGAGATAGAGAGAGAGAGGGGGGGAGAGAGAATGGATGGGAAGCAGCCAAGCAGTGGCAGTGTTGCCTTCTACAAAAGCTGTCCTATCCTATGCCTACCCTACACGTCGATTTTTCACACCTCCACCATTTTTGAAAAAACTAAATAAATAAAGAAGCTGCACAGATTTCCTCACCTATACCTCCATTGTTTATTGAAGAAATTTCTTTTTCTTCTCACCGATACAGCCACCAGCCATGGCGTATGCGGTTGTTCAAGTTGTCGGCTTTGGCCTCGTTTTTTCAATGAAATTGTACACAGATCACTGTGCAGTGCACTGTTCCTCCCCCAACCCCGCGCTAGACGACAGCCAAGATGAGATTGATTCCTGTCTACTTGTTTATTAGTTTTGTTGTTCGGCCCGCTTTGCGCGTCGAATTTTCAATTTCCTTAATAATAATAACAACGATGATGATGAGGATGATGACGACCATGATGGGCTGTTGTCAACATAATTAAGGCACATATTATCGTTTTATTTTAACATCTCGGTTTAAAAACTTTTAAAATTAACCAAAAAAAAATTAAATAATCGTAATATTTTATAAAAATAAATAAATATTTTCTTACAAAAATACAATAAATAATATCAAAATTTTTAAATGTATTTGTAAATTTTTTTAAAAAAATGTGTTGTGTTTTCGCCTCTTGCTTTCGCTTTGGAGAAGCCACGCCAATTGGCTACCCAATTGACTCTTTTTTAAAAAAAATTAAATAAAATTAACATATTATGCCGTGTCTGCAGTGTCCATGTATAATAATAGTATAAAATTTATACTAAGTCCGTCAGTTTTGTTTGCTTAATTTAATTTTTATTCAAGTTTTCTTTACTCAATCAATTTTTTTAATTTTTATTTAAGTTTTTCTTACTCAATCAATTTTTTTTTCTGACATATTCACATCATATATATTACATACGGCTATATTCTATGTGTTTTTTATACCTTAGCTTTTTCTATATCTTTTTATTGAATATATTTTTCTAAGATATATTTAGAAAGATTAAAAAAAAAAATAATGTGTAAAATACTGAGTATTAAGAATTTGCTTGATATGGATTTATTTTTAAAAATATATTATATTAAATAACTGCTTTTATTTTTAAGGATTAAGGTATTGTTTAATTTGGATTTGAAATTTAATTTTTTTTGTTTAAATAATATTTTAATTTTATATTTTGAGAGAAAATAATATTCCTTCGGGTTAAAGATGATCCTTTATAGTTAGGGATATATATTTTAGATAATATAATTTAATAAGTTATTTATAATAGTTATAATATTATTTTTTATATAAGTGGTATTATTATTATTTTTAAAATAAAATTGATACATATGATAAAAAGAAGTTTAAATAGGTATTTAAATATTTTAAATACTATATTTCAATAATATAGATATAATACGAGTATTATTTTATAGATAATAAAATTTTATATAATACAAATAAATAAAAATTATATATATAAGTAAAAATAAAGGAATGTTGAATGAGTCTCATTTTTTAAATTTAATTAAATTGATTTATATTTGTTAATATTGTTAAATTTACCAAAAATAGATCATATTATCTGGGATAGATAAAAATAAAAATAGATCATAAAAAGTATCTGAAAAACAAATACTCCCTCCGTCCCTAGTCTTGTTTACCATTTTTGTCAGTTTCAAAACAATAGTCTTATTTTCATAAATAACCATCTAACCATAAAACTATCCATACATTTTCATTTTTATTACACAATTGTCACTACTTTTTACACTAATACACTCGTAGGGGCAAAAAAGTCTTTTATCTATACTTTTTACCAACTTCCAATATAATATCAATATTCCTTAGTCTGTTTGGTTCAAACGAGGGGAGAGGAGTGGAGGGATTCTAATAGAAGGCAGGAGAAAGAATATTAAAATTGTAACAGTGTGTTTGGTTCATATGGAAGGGAAATGAGGCGATGCAAGGGAAAATAATATTTTTATGTTTGGTTAAGCAGGTGAAATAATGAAAAATATAATAATTTTACTGTTTTACCCATGTGCTATATAAATAAATAAAAATAAAAGTATTTAATAAAATTCAATTAATTTATTTATAAAATGTGATACAAAATTTATTTGTCTAATATAATAAAAACAATAATTACATTAGTACGTCTTGGAAGAATCAAATACTTTATACATTAGTTATTTATTAAATTTACCAGTAAAGATAAACAATAGTGTTACGTATAAGTAATAACATTATAACAAAAATTATATAAACTAAGTATATTATAAAAATATTTTATATTTTATAATTTATAATTTTTTAATATTAATTAAACTATTTAATTATTTTAGCTTAATCTATAATTATTTTTACTATATAATAATTATTTTTACCAATACACTTCTTAATTACTTATTAATTATATTTAATCTAAATTCTCGTATCTACAATAATATGCTCATATTAAATGGGAAAAAAAGTAAAAGATTAATATTATAAATATAATTATATGCTAATTTGTAATTTATTAAAAAATTATTATAATTTAATTTAATTAAAGAAATTAATTAAAACTATTTCAAAATATATAATATAATTTCAATATATATTAATATTTATTTGATATAATTAAAAATAAAATAAATATATACTATTAAAATTTTAAAAAATGTTATAAAATTTCTAATAAAATATGTAAATGGTATAATAGATAATTAGATAAAAGAAAATTTTGATAAAATCCCCCTCCTCCAAATTTCCCAGGAGAAAAAAATTTAGAAGAAATTGACTTTCCTCCCCTCTCTTCTAAAAAAGTTTGAACCAAACACAAATTTTTTTATAATTCTCTCCCGTTCCCTCCCGTTCCCTCCTAAACCCTCAAACCAAACAAACCGTAAATCTCGTACCCAACGCAATTAAAACTATATTTATGAGACGAATGGAGTATTAATTAAGGGCATTATTCTACATCTTGAAGCAAAACTCAAATATAAGTTAGCAAATGAGAATTTATTAGTTTAGCTTTGTCAAATAATAACTCTACGATTTAAAACGCAATTCAACGACCGCGGACAAAAAATTAACACACGCGAAAAAGTGTCAGTAAAATAACCGTCCCGTTTTATTAAAAATGTATATAAATTTTATTGACAAAACCAAGAGTTTTAATCTTAAGCACATGTAACAAAAATCAAGTGATATATGGCAATCTATTCGAAGGGGAAATGAGAGATATTTTAACACAGCCAATTATTTCTAACCAACAATGTAACATTCTTCATATTAATTAAATGAATGTATTGCAATTCAATAAATTTTCAATAATATATGTGACTTAGCATGACTTTTATTGCCTATGTTGCTTATAGCCTTTTACGATTCTACAAGAATTTATCCGATGCACACTCGATAAGTAACAATTGCAAGTCCGACGTTATTAAATATTAATTTGGTAATATGTATGTGATTTAAAACATTTTATTATTGTGTCATTTAATATAATATTAATTTAAAATAACATTACCATGTGAACCACGATTTTTTATGATAATAGGAAAAAAGAATTACAATATATATATATACACACAGAGAGAGACGTAAAATGAATAAACTTTTCATTGAATGCAAACAGCATATGCACGTGTCGAGACATAAAATTACTGTAACGCCCAATTTATTGCTTATTAAATTAGGCCTGCAGCGGCGTCAAAGAAGAGGGATTTTCATTTATATAATTAATTAACACTTTATAATGTAACGGTTGCAGTTTTTAGGTGTTACTAATAATTGCATCTTTAATATAAAAAATAATATTTTATCCTCACTCCGTCCAACTAGAAAGTATACATGTTTTTATTTTGGTCGTTCAATTACAAAGTAAATATTTTATTAAATATTTTACTTTTTTTTCACAAATACTCCTATTTTACGTCACATCATTACTTTTACATCAAAAGTAAGGGCAAAAATATCATTACACTACTTTTAACTAGCCACTATAATTAAAATACTATTATTTCTTAAACACCGCGTCAAAAGTAATTGTATACCTTTTTTTGTGGACGGAGGGAGTATTAAATAATATATATTATTAATATATATTTGTTTATATTTTTTTAATAATATTTATAAAAATTGTTTATTAAAAAATACTTAAGGGTGTGTTTGTTTGGTGGTTTGGATTTTGAGTTGGGATTTGAATAGTAAAAATTTTGAATTTGAATAGTTGTATGATGTGATATAAATAGGTGTTGACGTGATGTTTTGAATGTAAAATTGATTTTTAGTATAATATAAAAAATAAAAAATAGGTATTTGATTTAATATTTTTTGAAAAAAAAATGAGATAAAATAATGGAAATCTAATCCAATCTCCCAAACAAACACACCTTAGGGAACATATTGACATTTCAATAACAATGGTTACACAAAAACAAGGTATAAAAATTGATCATGTTTTTTTAAATCATGACTTTCATCTAATTTATTATACATTATTCGTATAATATGATTTATTTTATTGCTATAATTTGTTAATTATTAAGTTCAGTTTGGCCGAAGGCCACTCAAATAGTAAAATTGCAAATTTTTACATCATTAAAAAATATACATATATTTTGATAAATTTGATAATCATATACTATATGACAGAAATATTCAATTATTTTTTTTTTTGTTTTTTTTTATGTTATTAATCAGTAATAATATTTTTTTTAAAAAAAATAAAATTAAATCAAACTTCATGAATTTTTTTTTAGAATGTGATTATCCGTATTTGAAAAGTAATATTTCAATTGTCATATGTAAAAGTATGTCTTTAATGTTATGTATTGGGTTAATAATAAATCAATTTAATTAAATTATATGTATTCATTCAAAAAAAATTTATTTCTATTTATTTTTAATAAATAAATACTTTTATTTACATTAAAATTTTTTATTTTTTTATAAAATTAATTTAAATTAATTATAAATAAATATATAATTTTATTTATATTATATAAAATTTTATTATCTACGAAATAATATTTATATTATTATAATATACTTTATTGAAATATAATGATAAAATTATTTAACATATATTCTAATTTTTTTTTATCATATATATTAATTTATATTTTTAAAATACCAACAATTTAGACCAATTTATAATTTAGTGTTTTTTTTTTAATTTGTATTTTCTATTAGTATTTTTTTATTATTATCTTGATTTTAAAATATTTTGTGACTATAATATTCTCCTTTTTAGTGTGAAACATGTTTTTGAAGAAATTATTTTTGATATTTATATTCATATTAACACTCGTTTGACATCTTCAACGACAAATAAATATTTGGGCCCACTAAGTATTGTTGTAACACAAATTTAATAAAAATAAAATAAAATAAAATCATTCCTGTAATTTTACAACTGTTTTTTATTCATCGCCACTTAGTATCAGAACAAGAACAACTGTTATATGAAATGTACGTTTAATTTTTAAAATTAACAAATAATCTGCCATCAATTTGTTTAATGATTGATTATTATTATTAAGGTCAAGCCCTGAAAATGCATTCGGGTTCTTCTTCCTTCCTTAATACGTATATGCTTTTGTTGTAATCCCCAAATTTGATTGCCGTTAGCAGTTGTTGCTCTGGCGCCGGAGCTCCGCACCGACATTGCCATTCGAATTCGAGGCTTTGACTTGGGCTGATGCGTGCGAAAGTATAAGAAGAGGATTTGTGGTGTTTAATGACGGAACTAGTTGTTGTTTTGGGATTGGGGAATTGAAGGAGTTCCTCCGAGATTGATTCATTCGTGCCGTGAGAAGAAAGCGAAGATTCCCGAACCCCCTGGTGGTGTATGCAGAATCGGTTGTATTCTCTGTCAGGGGAAGTTTTTATGAGAATTAGGGGGGCGGGGGCGGAGAGATGTCGTCGGGAGGTGAGTACAACGATCGCGTGGTTTTATTGCGCTCCAATTCGTCGGGTTCCGACGGGGATCTGGAGCGAGGAAGCGGGCAAACCCCAGGCAGGAGCAGTAACACCAACGGCAAGGGTGCTTTTGCGTCGGATCTATTGAAACGTTTAGATCGAGGGTTATCGGCGTCGGGTCGACGATTGAGCATCAAGCTCCGGCCGGAAAGGGATCATTTTCGCCTTCCTTCTACGCCTTCCCCCTCTTCGTCTTATCCTTCATCCTCAGATCGTGGTGGTCCTGCCAATGCCGTTGCCGAAGATGATTACCTCGGAGATAGTGCACCACCGGAGTGGGCGTTGCTACTAATTGGATGCCTCCTCGGCGTTGCAACGGGCCTCTGTGTTGCAGCTTTTAACCGTGGGGTTAGTGCGATGATCTACATTATTTATTTATTTCTATTGTTTGCTTCTTTAATGTCGATTCCAGTGGCTGCAAGCTTGCAATATTTTTTCTTGATTCAGTTGGGTGGTATTTACGTGTTGGTTATGATATTGCAAAGTAGATAGGAGCTTCTTGGTAAGATGAAAGCAATAAGTTAGACAACCTGTTTTTCCTTCAATGGAGCAATAAGGAGGTAGGAATGCTGTCACTTGCAGTTTTAGACGTCAGTATGTAGTATTTAACCTTGCTATTAATGCTGTAGCTGTGCGCTCGCAGTTAGGGTTTTAGGATGGATTTTGTAACGAGGAATATAATAAAAATTTTGGGGTTTGTGTGACTGTTTGAATGTGAGTTTGAGGCTTAATAAATTATTACTAACCTAGTGGCTTTTTAATTGCTGATTAATGTGCAAACACACGATTTGTTCTATGGAATTCAGATGCATATGGTACCATACGTTTAATGTGATCATTATTACAAAAGCTGTGATAGAGCGGCACTGATATCCAATTTTGTGAAATTTCCAGATTTACAAAGTGCATTCTAGATTTGGATTTCCCAGCTTTCCTTCAACAATTGAAATTAAAGGTTAAGTTGTATTCGACTAATTTTAGTGCTACTAAGTAAAGCTATTGTGTGTAGCTTATCCTATTTACATGAGGTGGAGAAAGCTGAGAGTGAAAGTTGAACTGCCTTAACAAATATGTTTAGTTTGGAGAACTTACGTGATTTTCAGTTCTCTATCATATTGGATTGGGGATCTATCTTGTGTGGTTAAGAAGGGGTAATTGTTGCCTCTCATGTAGGTGCATGTGATTCATGAATGGGCATGGGCTGGTACCCCAAATGAAGGCGCTGCTTGGCTTCGGTTGCAAAGACTTGCTGATACATGGCACCGGATACTTTTGATACCAGTTCTAGGTGGAGTTGTTGTGGGTGTTTTGCATGGTATTCTTGAAATACTGGATCAGATAAGGTCACCCACTTCTTCTCAAGGACAAGGCTTGGACGGTCTTGCTGCAATCTTCCCTGTAATGAAGGCTGTCCAGGCAGCTGTAACTTTAGGTACCGGTTGTTCTTTGGGTCCTGAAGGGCCTAGTGTTGACATTGGAAGATCATGTGCCAATGGATTCGCAGTGATGATGGAGAACAACAGGGAAAGGAGAATCGCTCTTGTTGCTGCTGGTGCAGCTGCTGGGATTGCTTCAGGTATATTTCCTTACTCGGCTTTGTCCACATGAAGGACTACTGGCAGACATTACTTCATCTTTGCTATTTACTCTTACTTAGTGTGTTGTCTGCTATATGGTAATGTATTAACTTCTTGCTCTTCAATTATTAGTTACTTTATATTTTCTATAGAAATCACACTCTGCTTTCATATACACCACAGGTTTCAATGCAGCTGTTGCTGGATGTTTCTTTGCTATCGAAACAGTTTTGAGGCCGCTTAGTGCTGAAAACTCTCCTCCCTTTACTACAGCGATGATAATATTGGCTTCAGTAATCTCATCTACCGTATCAAATGCTGTACTGGGGGAGAAACAGGCTTTCACAGTGCCCACGTATGATTTGAAATCTGCTGCTGGTATTTGATCTGATTCTAGTTAATGTAAAATGAAATCATTTTTTGCTGAGTTGTCTAGTTATTTTGTTTCTTTACTGCTGCGTTACTCTCTGATATTTAGTGTTATGGGTTTATACATTTACGGCTTTTTGTCTTTATAGCAACTTCTTTATGCTGTAGTATAGTAGTAGGCATAGTGGAAGCATATATATACAGGATAGCCACGATGCAGTAATTGTTTCTGCCTTAATATTGAATGATATCCGAGAACATATTGACATACATGATGAGTCCTGTAGAATGATATTTGTGCTTCCTAGTTTCCTGGGGTGACTTTCACGGTGAAGATGATGTATGTAGGAGGAGCATCACTTAGCATTTGTAATTTTAAACTACAGTTTACCTATTAGCTTTATTTATCTATTACTATTAATCAGAATATGTCCGTTGCGCCCAATACAAATTCTGGCACACTTAAATCTACAGCATGACGAGCTTGTTCTTGTGTTATAGATTTCACTAATCAACTGTGGCTCTGTGATGGGATAGGTGTGGTCGATATCTAAACAAACTTTGTAACACATTATTATAGCGCCCTGTGTATTGCAGCTAGCCATTGTATTCATTGGATGTTTATCTGACAATTGAATTCTCTATATCTTTATTCAGAGCTACCTTTGTACCTTATACTTGGGATGCTATGTGGAGTAGTAAGTGTGGCTTTCGGTCGCTTGTTGGATTGGTTCACTAAGGCATTTCAGATCATCAAAGAAAAATTCGGGATTCCTGATGTAGTCTGCCCTGCTTTGGGGGGTTTAGGAGCCGGTGTAATTGCGCTCAAGTATCCTGGAATATTATATTGGGGCTTTACGAATGTTGATGAAATTCTACACACTGGAAAGACTGCCTCAGCTCCAGGAATATGGCTTCTAGCTCAGCTATCTGCAGCTAAAGTTGTTGCCACTACTCTATGTAAGGGGTCTGGCCTTGTTGGGGGCTTATACGCCCCAAGTCTGATGATTGGAGCTGCTGTGGGTGCAGTATTTGGGGGCTGTGCAGGAGAGTTGATAAACTCAGCTATTCCAGGAAATGTTGCTGTCGCCGAGCCACAGGCCTATGCATTGGTAATATCTTTTGCGCTTTAACTCTTGTCATTGACTTTCGGTGTTGGCCTTTTTCCTACACCATTTCTTATGTTGAGCCACCCTTTCTCCTGTTTCTTTGTGCTGTTGTAGGTTGGGATGGCTGCAACTTTAGCGTCCAATTGCTCAGTACCCTTAACCTCGGTTCTTCTTCTCTTTGAGCTGACTAAAGATTACAGAATCTTGCTACCCACCATTGTAAGTGCCTGCATAAGACTCCTTTCTTTGACTAAATAGTTCCAAGTTCAAGAACTGTCAAAAATGTATTAGTTACCAATATGGTCAGTAAACAATAAATAGTATGTAAGATCAAATTGGAATACAGGAGCTTCAAGGAGAGCTATGATATGACTTCTCACACTTTAAATCTTCTGTTAGTTCATTTAAGTTTATAGCAATTTGTGAGATGATTCCCATGATCTATGCTTACTTTGATAGGGTGCAGTTGGATTGGCCATATGGGTGCCCTCTGTGACTACCCAGCCAAAGGAGTCAGGTGCATCAGATGCAAAGGGTACTCCACGGGTTTACAGTCCTGTTTCGCCACATGAAGACAAAAGTGAAGATATAGAACTCTCGATCATTGGGAACTCCAGTAATCTTCATCCGGCAGATTTCACTTTCTTGCTGGAAAATATTAAGGTACAATCTTTGCTATTCCAATAGAAATGCATTTCTGGAGACGGTCATAACCTGCTTACGCCTTTTCTTCTAACAGGTTTCTCAAGCTATGTCTAACAACTATATAACTGTCTCTGAAACACAAACTCTGCGAGAGGCACTAAACCGTATGCGTGATGGCCAACAGAACTGTCTCCTTGTAGTTGACACAGAAGACTTTTTGGAAGGGATATTGACGTATGGGGACATCAGGCGGTTTCTGTCCAAGAGATCCAGCGACGTATCGGGTGGTGGCTCACTAGATGTATGCTTTTATTTCTTTATGCTTGTTTCCGATCTGTGACGCTGCAAGACATGCTTAAGCTACTTTAAATTCCTTTGCAGGTAAATACATGTACGGTTGCCTCCATTTTCACTCGCGGCATAAGCTACCGTGGGCGAGAACGTGGGCTCTTATTTTGTTATCCAGATACCGATCTGGCTATGGCAAAGCAACTAATGGAAGCTAAAGGAATCAAACAATTGCCTGTAGTCAAGCCTGCTGACGACGCCCAAAGAGAACACCGAAAGCGAAAAGTTGCAGCCATTCTTCACTATGATTCCATCTGGAACTATCTCAGGTAAACTACTCAGCTGTCACCATCTTCCTCCATTTAATTTCCTGCAACTCCTAACATTTCGGAAACTGCATTTCTGGCTGTACGCAGAGACGAACTCAGCCATCGGAAGCCAATCAACACTCAGGATGAAAATTCCGGAAAGACGACAAGCAACGGACATCATTAATGAATGCAAAACAATGCTTGTGGTGGAATAACTGAAGTGCTTTTTATACAGAAGGTCAGCTTATTTGTCCCATGGGATTGTAGACATCCTTACAAAAAAAATAAAGAACATTATTATTCTCTTTGTTGCTATGAAGATGTATGCTGTTTGTTCAGGCAATTGATTGTTACTTCTCACTTAAATGTATAATATATACGCACATATACATACATACTACATAATCTATAGCCTAAATGTTTCTATGTTTCTTGTTTGGGGATTTGGATTTTGAGTGAATAGTATTAATAAATTTGAATTGAAAAAAATTATGATGTAATATAAATATGTATTAATGAAATATTTTGAATGTAAAATTAATTTTTAATATAATATAAAAAATAAAAAATAGATGTTATAGATTTGATATTTTTGAAAAAAAAATCCGATATGAATAGTATAAATCCTTAGAGTTGAGGTATAACACTTTCCAGTTGAACATGACTTGAAAGTTACAAAGAAATACTAAAAATAAAAAAATAAAAAAAATTAATGTTGTAAAGGCTTCCTAGCATGTAACAAATTCATAACCAAAAAATTTAACAAAAGCTACAAATTTCTCCCAACAGAAAATCTATATATAAAGTAGCAAAATTGCAAATCTCTTTCACATGGGAGGTTTTAGGCTTCCTTTCTGACTCATAAGCTGCTGATAAATTGCAGAATCGCTGGCTCCCGGCTCCGGTTAGGGCTCTAATTCTGGTAACGCAATCCCCATCCCATCATTCATTTCCTGAGCCTGTGCCTGTGCCTGTGCCTGAGCTTGAGCTTGAGCTTGTATTTGTGCCTGAGCTTGATGATTTCTTTGCATATATGGATTTAGATGCGGCGGTAATTGCGGAAATCTAGCGTGGGGGACACCCAATCCAGGCAACCTCATGTTAACGAGGGCAGAGGCGGGGTGGTTTGCTGTCCTGAGCAGATTATTCTCGAACCGGATGTGGAGTTGCAGAGGGTCGGGTCGGTGAAGGTTAATTGGAATTGGGGGAAGTCGAGGAGGAAGAGCATTTGCATTTGAATTTGCATTTGCATTTGCATGTAAATTTAAGTTTGAATTTGCATTTGAATTTCCGCCCGCCGCTGCATTATTGTTGTTATGGCTGCTGTTCCGTGCTGCAGGCACTTGGTGGTTGTGCTTGCCCTCGTACGTCGTTATCACTGAATTCAAGTCGTGCTTCGCCCTCTCGATGTGCTTCCGGACATTGCATCCCGAGTGCGTGCACTTGTAGTAGCTCCTGCAACGTTCAATTTTCAATATTTTGTCGAAATGTTAAATCGAAATCCAAACCAGTCTCCGGCCCGGCTAACCTCGGATTCGGATTGCCTCTCACAACCTTCTGCCCGTACTTGCGCCATCGATACCCATCGTCGAGAATTTCATTATCGCTCGTCGTCTGGACGACGACGCGGGGCTCTCTTATCGATCGGGTAGCCCCTGTCATTTCAGCCTCGAGTCTCCTAAAGACAAAAACGAAAACGAAGAAGCACGAAAAACATCACACGACACAATTAGTCTTTTTCGACGACACGAGTGAGCGTAATTCAAGCCGGAGTAAGGTAAAATAAACCTTTTCTTCTGCTCCATTTCATCTCCTCCGCCTACGTAAACTAAGAGTGCGCTGCCATGCGCGACGCAGTTATCTTCATCGTCGTTTGAGATACAAGATTGATCCAAACCATCCCCCGACTCGCGGGCGCGGGTTTGACCCTGGAAAGCACCTCCATTGCCATATTCATGCGCCATATCGACATCCGACGATTTGTGCGCTTGCGCTCTAGACGAGCCGGGGGGAGGTTGTCGATTCGGCTTAGGGTGGGTGTGGTTCCCCCTGTAGATAATCTCGGTGATGTGACCCTCGAGAGACCGTTCGACTTTTTTCGTCACCAGACAATCTGCAAATGTGCACTTGTAGTAACTCCGGGGATACTGGCTCCCTTTCACCTGTTTCTGCCCGTACTTTCTCCAGTTATAACCATCGTCGGTGCTTGTATCGTCGCTGCCTCTCCTATCGCCATCTTCCCCGCCTTGTTCATCCTTAGGCGGAGAATTCCTCGGAACAACAGTGGAAGCCATTAATGTAGCTTCAGAAGGAACAGAAATCGCGACACCAGGCATCGGCTGTGGAGGCAATGCAGAAGAATGCACCTGCTCGAATTCGAAAAATTGCATTTTTTTAACTCTACCCTAGCCTATATCGAAATCAATGAAGATAAAGTTACTTACAATGTTCGGGGCATTCAGCTGAGGGATCGATAGGGGTTCTGTAACATCTGCGAATGCATACGATGGGACAACCTCGAAAACTTTATCATTGCCCATTGCTTGATCAACAGCGAAGGATGAGGATGTTATGTCACGATCATCAGACATAAATTTTGAATTTTGACTGCTTTCGCCGGGGATTGATGGAAATTTTCCAGTCGTAGGAGACGGGACAGCCTGTAAATATAACAAAGCCGAACACCAAACCAACTCAACGTGAGACAAGAACATTCGATGCCATGACATTGCGAAAGAGCTGAAATTCATCGATGCAAAATCTCACCAATGAATTCGTGAGGAAAACCGGAGAATCCATCAGGCTGAGTGCGCTAATATCCGAAGGCATTGTCAAAAGAAGAGACTGAACTTCCGGCCTAATGTTATCCGTAATTAACTTTGGAGCATTGAAACCGGCTCTCGCAGCCATCCTCTCCCTAAGGCTTCCTCCCACATTCGAGTCACTTGCTTCGCGACCTTCGATTCTACTTTGATTAGCATTCTCTGCAGCATTTTGAGATTCAGTCTCGGGATAAAGAAGACTCTGTGTGTTTTGATTACTGTTATGCGAACCCGAGCTAGCCATAACATGGTCGTTTCCCGGACTATAGCACCGCATCCATAAGCCATCTTGCTCTTCAAATTCACCCATCTTTCGGAGATCGATACAAGATGCTGAAAATACAATATCCAGTGCGGAAAAGCGACAATAGTCAATAGAGTTACAAGGAAAACGACAACGACCGGCATTTATTGAACTGCATTAATCAAGCATGAATAGATCGAATACCACATCTAGCGGGAAAATTACAATAATAATCCCAAATACGACGCAACCATTGCAGCTATTCAATAAGATGACAGCAGAAACTCTCGATAAGGTGAGTTGATTATGAAATGTCTACTAGAAGGATTCGTTTCTTCTCCATATCTATCAAACGTTAGATTCGAGCAATGACAGTGTCATCAGTAGTGTCATTTATTAGATAAAGAATCGACGTGACTCCAACAAACAATTGAATTAATGCAATAAATCATGATAACAAAGCTATTAATGCCCATAATTCACAGATCCGTCTGTATAATTAAAATAAAATCATTGTTGCCATGATTTGCAAACACTCACAGAGTGAATCATGTCCCAAAATCGACAATAATCAGTGAATGTGAGAGTTGTTTTAATCTTAACGTAGATCACATCAGATACAATCATTTTTAAGCAGTAAGTCAGAACCAAAAGGCTCTCCAAACTTTGAGATCTAATCAATTTGAATCGATCCATAAAAAATAAAATGTATACTCAATAGAAAACACCCCAAAATGTCAAAACCAAACCTGAACGAAAACCAAAATAATTAAATAACATCGAAAGCAGCATTAAAAAAATGTCATCAAATGAACAACGCAATCATAATCATTGGACAGACATGAGCAAAAGAATATTTATAAAATAATGCGTAGCAGACATGACATGTTAAAGCACCTGAAGAACACAAAGATTAAGAAACAAAACACCGCCGACTCCACCACTGCCCACTAATTTTAATTGCTTTTTTTTTTTTTTGTTGTTCTTTCTCAATATCAAATCTTACTATCTTCTCACTGAATGAGAATTTTTGAAAAAGAATAGAAATGCAGTGAACAAAAACCTCCACATTCTTTCTACTCCCTTCTGCTTTCTTCGATCTATGGTCTCTTCCGCCTCTTAAATCAATCTCCTGCAACGGTTTCTCTAAAAAAATGCGAAATTAAAAATTCAAAAAAAAGAAAAAAAAAAAAAGGCCCAATAGTGGCAAAAAAATTGGGGATTGTTTGGAATACATGGGAGTTTTTTAGAACGAAAGATACTGCTGCAGTTTGAGGAAACAATTTTGTACTAAAAAAAAATATAAATAAAAATGATACTCGGGCCGGGCTTCGGGATTCGGGTCTCGTTGACTGACAAATGAAGATACGCCACGTGGACTCGGGAAGTTTGACTGAAAAGTAATGGGTTTTAATAATTAGGAAACCTTGTAATTGCGGGCAAATACGTTAATTTATTAATAAAATAATTACTGTTATTATGAATTGTTTTTATTGTAGATTAATAATACTATATACCATTATTTTGTTAGTGTGATTATTAGTTTAATAATTTATTGTGCAAATTAAATTTTTGCTGGATTCCCTGAAACGTAGTCGGAAAATGTAGCACGTGTATAGCCTATATCGTTTTGTAGCCACTAATTTTGCACTTATTTAGGCCTGAAAAACTAATTGCTAATAAATAAAAATATATATATATATATAATTTAATTTTGGAATTTTGAATTTTTTTAGAGAGAGACAATAATATAACTGCCAAACATGTCACAAGTTATTACCGAGAGTATAGAAAATAGAACTAGGACATACATCGTTTTCGGATAATACTTTATATTAGCCACAAATCATATAAATTAAGAGATCTGTGAAACTTGAATTAATTTAAATACAGTGTATTTGTTTTGTGACATTTATTTAAAATGATGAGTTGGAAATTATCAATAAATATAATTTTTTATAAGAAAAATTGGGAACTGCATAATAACAATAATAATAATACTTAAAGATGTCTAGCTATTTAGCCAAGAAAATATCATTAATTTATAATCATACAATTAGATGTCATTAATTATTAGTATGAGCATAAATGTCACTATACATATAAAACATTGCTATGGAAAATACATTAATTCTTCTCATAATTATCAAATAAAAACTCAAATTAAAGTGAATTTCAAATCAAAATCAAACCAACCATAAAATACCATCGTAAGCTAAAGAGTGCGATACAAATATATAAATTAATAAATAATTACAATATAGTACAAAATTTCACACATGATTATGTGTGTGTAATAAAAAAAGTAGGAGAGTGTAGATTATGTTGGCCCAAAAACTGTGGCCTAAAATTTTAATTCGGCCCAATTGAAAAAGCGTGTCTCAGAATTTCTGCCAAAACTACGTTACAATTAAAAGCGCTGCTTAAGGATTAACGTTTTTAGTTTCCTTCCCTATGGAGGAGAATTGCGACGACAAGAGACGGTGCGTTGTGGACGGCGCCGTGCCGGCGGAAGCCTGCGGCGGCGCTCCGCCACAAGATGGCTTCCCGCTCCCGGCTTCCTTGATTCTCGGTGAGATACTCCCTAGATTGGAGCTCGAGTCGCTATGTTCTTTGGCGTGTGTATGCCGCGTCCTCCGTTCCAACGTTTCTCATGCGCTTTCTATACTTCCTTCTCTGGATCTCTCCGTAAGTTCTGATCTAGTTATAGAATTTTTAATATAATTGTTACGCGTAACTCTGTTCGATTTGGATTCAATTTTTGATTATACTGAATCTCGAACTGATGTTGGGAATATGGTTTTGTTCCTTACCCCCATTTTATTCTCTCCATCTTTTAAGGCAATATTTGTCTTGTTTAGGTATGTGGAAAATTCTTATTGCATTTTAGATTGAGTGAAAATATTTAAGATTGAGAAATTGTGTATGATTGTATTGTAGGCCTTTTCGATGAACGGAGAGCTGCTTAATCACATTTTCCCCAAAATGGGAGGGGTGGAGAGTGTTTCTGTTGATTGTCTGCACTTGGATGATTGCTCAATTCTCAGCATTCTTCGCCCCAACATCCATGAATTGAATTTGCTCAAGTGTGCATTACTTTCCTATGAAGTTCTTCCTTCTATTGGAGAGAAGTGCCCCAATTTAAGGTGATGAACTTGCTCTTGAAATGCATGATGTCATGAACTTCTTTTAATTATGTGTACATCTTTTGACCAGCAATTCGGTAATTGCAATAGTGTCAAAAGGGTAAAGCTAGTTAGAAATGTAGTGATGCATATGTATGTATGTAAGCATATTAAGTTGTTAACTCCATTACTGAATTCAGAACTGTAATCCTGTTTAAACAAGAACTCATCTATTAATCGAAGGGTTTGGCATAATCTCTAATATTGTCCCTTTTATTCACAATTATCCCTGCTTGTGTTAGGAAACTTGCCCTGGAATTGGCCGGACAGAGCTTACCAGGTACTTTCAGGTTCAACCTTCTAAAAATGCTGGAACAATTTTCGGGGTTGGAGGTAAAATATATATATTATATATTTTGTGTTATATTTGTATTGAGATTGGTCGTGGCCAATCTTATTTCAAAGTGATATCCTCTGCTAAAAATGGTTAGTTACTAATTAACCACGCAATTCCATTTTGCAGCATCTATCCATAAAAAATCGCGGAACAGAAAGGCATCCATATGATTTAGGTGCCATTCATCTTTTCCTCCCCAAAAGTGTCACTTTTCTGAAGCTACAGCCTGTAAATGAGAAGGATGCTATTCTGCTGATAGAACGTCTTGGGGATGATGTAGAGGTTCTGGAAAAAATGGCCACATCCAGTATTCCATCACAGTTGCCATTTACAGGGTTCAGATTGCGAACGTTGTCACTTGTCTTGGATGTTATAACCAACAGATTAATAGCCACAATTACCACCTCGCTTAGGCTTTTAGTTGAACTGGATCTCGAAGACAGAGCGTGTTCAGAACCAAAACTTCCGCATGACTTGACTAACTTAGGACTTCAGTCTCTGGGATCTTGTGAGCATCTCACATCCCTTTCGATCGTGAGGAGTCGGGTGAACTATATCGTGTCGTTTAAAAGAGTAAATGATTTGGGGATAATGCTTCTTGCTGAGAGCTGTAGGGGCCTTGAATCCGTGAAACTCGGTGGATTCTCTAAAGTTACTTGTGCTGGATTTTCCTCTATCTTGTGTTCGTGTCGGAATTTGAAGAAGTTTGAAGTCCGGAATGCGCCTCTTTTGACAGACTTAGCCTTTCATGACATCGATGGAGTTTCGTGCCCCCTTGTGGAGTTGAAACTGTTATCCTGTAACCTCATAACCAGTGAATTTGTAGCTCAACTTGGCTCGTCGAATGCCTTGCAAGTGCTCGATACAAACGGTTGCAGAAGCATAGCTGACTCCTGTCTCGAGCACATATCGCCGATCAATACGCTGACCTCCCTGAACCTCGGCGGAGCTGACATTACCGACAGAGGACTTTCTATTCTAGGAAAGGCGAATCTTCCATTAACAAGTTTGTCTCTGAGAGGAATCACTAGAGTAACTAGCAGGGGAATTATTAGCCTATTCAGCAGTGGAGATCGAATCAAGAAGACCTTATCATCGCTCGACATCGGACACATGCCTGGAATTTCAGATAGGGCCATTCATGCCATTGTTTCCGGTGCCGAATCCTTGACTGAGTTATGCATGAGGTATTGCTTTCATGTGACGGGTATGTCTTTTAAAACATTGGCCTCAGGGAGATCCGACGGGAGGAGTTCTCTCCAAAGGCTCGATGTGTGTCAATGCACTCAATTATGTGATGAACTAGCTGAGTTGTTGCAGAGGCCGTGTTTTCGTGGGTTGAGATGGCTCGGAGTCGGGGACACAAAGAAGATGGACGACTTTGCAATGATCTGCCGAATGCGGCCGTGGCTCACCATTTGTTTCGATGGCTGCGAGATGGGATGTCACGATGGATGGCAGTTCCACGAAGACAACAATGGGAATTGAAAAGACGAAGAAGACTGGCTGGCTCAGGCGGCCGTGTTGGTGTGTGAAGACAGACAGACACGGGCGTGTTGCCGAGGTTATTGAACCCCTTCTCTAAAAGATAATGGACTTATGGTGGAAAAATATATAGCTGTTGTGTAGTAGGTAGTATCAATTGAAGATGATCCTTATTTTGTACTGTAGATTTGTTTTGTTCATGAGAAATACTGGCTGTTGGATCACTTTCATCAAAGGCTGAGACCAAACTACGAGCATTAGTTAAAATAAGCACCAAACATACCAACACTCACGTTAATAGTCAGTCCTAAGGCCATAAGTTCGAACTGATGCCAAGATTTACCCAGTGCGACTACAGGTTCCATATGTATATATATATATCTTTGAAAATAAAAAGTCATACTGCCAAATATAAAAATCAAATCAAATTCCTTCTAATCTAACTCACTCACAAGGCCCATTCAATGAAGCGATGGAGAAACCACAAGAATTTCATACAACAAAATTTACTGAATCTGGGCGTATTTATATTAAATACATGTATTGTATGTAAAACAACTCAAAAAATAAAAATAATAATTGACCGAGTGTGCCAATGCATGTAAAATTTAAGTTGAGCACTAGCAAGTAGTAACATACACGGATTTTAGCAGAGTTGAGACCTCCTCCTACTGTCCTAAATAAAATACCTCTCCTTGGCGTTCGAGTCCGAGACCGCTGAGTTGTCTAAGTTTCGGGAGTGCCTGTGCTAAGCAGAATATTATCAAGTAATTTCCATCAAAGATGAACGGGGAATCAATACAAAAGCATACACAAAATCTCAAGGAATAAAAGCCAACAATAATATAATAATAGGCTTTTATATAAAAGCAGTTCGGCCACCCCTTCGACTATGCCTCTCATACGCAGTGTTGAATTTATCCACCAACTCGTTCATTGTGCTGCCCCAAACACAGAAGAATCATATCAGATATGCTGAGCAACTTGAAGATGGGAATGGCTAATATTAAATGTAGATGATGATGAGCTACAGAATTGTTATGATGCCAGAAACAATTTGAGATAAACGCATAAGGGATGGAACAAGAAGCTATTGATTATATTAGTTTGGGGAGACATCATGTGGGACAAAATTGGATGGATCAAATGCTGATAATAATGTCCGTCTAAAATATTAAGATCTAGAAGATTAAGGAATAACCTTGTGCAGTTGGTGAACATGGCAAGATAAGTTATCAGTAATGTATCATTGTATTCCTGGAAAGAAATGAATAAAGAATGGGATAAGCAAAAGTATATGAAAAGATTCAAGATATATAAAGTTGCCGGAAGAAATATGGTGGCAAGGATGGTAGTAGAGTATATACAAGCACATAACATCGTTATGTGAAGATGTGAGAACTTGCAAAATTTACCTACCATAAAGAAATTATCTTGAAATTTATCTGATTCAATGGCTGGTAATCTCCTCAGGAGGCTAGAAGCTTGCCTCAGTAATGAATAGTCACATGGAATATCCTCTACAACCAGCAACAATGTTGTGAATAAAGACACCAAGAAGGAAATTCAATATAACATAGGGAGACAGTTGGACTAAATCACCTCGAATAATTCTGGATGGTCTAAAACATCAATGGCAGTAAAACAAGGTTATTTGTACATGAGTCCTATGATTATATGGATTATCCCAAATAATCTTTTTGGGTCAAATTTAAGAATTCATCCAGAGAAAGTGGTGTCGTGTAGCACAGGTTTTTATATTGCAAATTATAATTTTCTTGAAACAAACACATTTTCCTAGAATACATCAGAATAAAAGTATTAGCAAAACTATGGATACCCAAAAACAAAAAAACACAAAGTACCTTTCTGCATGGACAAAAGATAGTGATACAACACCCTAATTCTGCTGTTCAGCATCTTGACGGCACTATGTATGCCAGTAAGTTGAGCAGCCACTGCATATTACAGAAAGTTAATATTGAAGCCCAATACATTAATGACTGACAAAGGTTATATAGTAAGGATGAACCCAAGAAGACACTCAACATAGTGCCAACTTGAAAAATAATATAAACTCACATTGAGTTGCAGCTGAACCCCCATCTGATGGTTTAAGATGGGCAACATGATCAACAGATATACGTTCAGCTTCCACTGTCTAGCAAAGAATAAAAAAGGAGATTATGTAGCAAGGTCTAAATTGCGCCTCAAATGTTGCATGCACTGACAAACAAAAGTTTACCTCTATTGTATAGCTTGAGCGAACAAATATCAGCTGGGGCATGCCATCAATAACATGCAGTTCTTTAATTAACATGCACAACATTAAAACAATACATACTATCAACAACTATTTATTTATTGCAGATAATTGCCAATATAAAATTAAAAACTTAAAGAGTCTCATGACAAAATGCAGCTTAGCTTAATTTGTCACATATTGCTTTGCATTCATGGATCAATAATCTTAAAATCCAGAAAAGGCAACACATATGTTCAAAGACTTCAATCATCGGGAGAAACCCAAGCCATAACATTGCATTTACCAATAGGAGAAAATTGTTGCTTCAAGTAAAACACTACTGTAGATGCCAATTGCACCGCAAACCATCTGTGGAATTGTGAGATAATAAAATAACTATAATATTTACCACTTTCAAAAATCGTGACAGGAAGATCTTTCTGTGTGGGGTTAATTGAAGGACTGAGAAGAACATAAACTGGGCTCTCGTTTATATCCATCAACTGTCAAAACAAATGATCTGTCATGAGTTTCGGAACAAGTACCATTTTTATACCAACATAAGAAAAAACATTGTTAATCTCAAAGAGCAATAAATAAGGGTCAAGAGGGTCAACTCCTACAATGTTACAGCAGAATAGAATATAGCAGGATTGACGCTATTTGAGTCTTTGGCAGCTTAGAAATATATGTATATATAACATTATTATATATGCAAAATTACAATATCAGGGTGTATGGAAATTTTATAAATTAATTTCATGATTATCATTCCAACTAATAAATGAAGTCTTATGTCCAACAAAACAAAATGCCAAAATGTACTATCATAGTTAATTCGCTAACCGCTACTTTCGTAATAAGATAATTAAAGTTAATATGACCTAAAATCTGATAGATAAATTTCTTTCCTTTTCAATCTCCTCATTTATATTCTTATAATCTATAAGAATATTTCCGTCCTAACATGCCCATCCCTATCTCAACAAACTGCTACTTCTGCAAGTGCATAAACACACTGAAATGGAGCAGTGGCGGTAGATAGTCATGACACTTTGCAGCAGCGCAATAGAGACTACTATGAAAAAAAAAAATGCCTTGCAATTTAAAACAATGGAACCAGCACTTATATAATCAACTCGTTTCGATTTGTTCTTTATCGACACATTTGATAGTGAAATTTTCCATACAACCTTCCATGTAAATCCATAATAAGGGAGAACACCAAGCAGTTTAACAGTAATTCAGGGGCTAAGCGTCCAGCAGCACTAGAAAGTAAAAATATAGCAAAGAGTGAAAATAATTGTAGCAAATAGGAAGCTTCCAGCTTTAGCCACTCTTCTGTTTCATAGGTAACACTACAAATAAACCAGATACGATCGTATATGATCCCTTTTGTTTTAAAAAGGGGGAATCGCTCCAAAAAATCTAAATGTATTACTTACAGCTTTGTGTATAACCATATCGGATTCTTGCGCATCGCTCCCGGTTGAGTACCATCCCAAAATGTAAAAATTCGGAAACACCTTCTTATCTGTTCATCACAACAAGCATAAAAAATATTAACTTTCCACGCTAAACATAGACCCAAACATTTCTGATCGCATTCGCACATTAAATTATTACAAATAAAATAACAATAGTAATCGAAAGAGATGCGCACAGAGTTCCTGCTTTTTCTCGAGAAAAGCACGGTCTAGTGAGTGAGTAGACGAATCGTACAGAAGCTCGAAGCTGTTGAAGATCTCCACCGTTCGACCGCGCTGGATTCCTATAACACAGCCGAACACACGCGGCGGCTTAGGACTGGCCACGGACGATGCGTCAGCGGCGGAGTGTGTTGGATGAGACTGCGACTTGACTCGAGTGTAGTGATCGGAGATGTTGACAATGACTAGCGGATGGAGCTTGAACGTCAGGCCACTGCTCGACGACGACGACGACGACATTTTCCCCTCCGATTCGGATTCGGATTCCGATCGATAGCCACAACGATTACCGAATTTTAAGGGGGTTCCAGAACGTTCTCTTTCATCGTAGTCCCAGTCCCAGATAGTAACATGTATCGCTGCAATATATGGGCCGAGCCCAACTTAAACAAAAGCCCGTCATAACCAAAATTACAATATAGCCCCTTGACTATTTACAATTTAAAATTTTGTTATTCAAAATAAGATCAAACTTATATTTGTAAAAATGAACTCACACTGACATCATATCATGTGCCAATTTCATGTCCCCAAATGCAAACGTGCAATACAAACCAGTAAGGGGGGAAACAAGACAATTCAGATCAAACAAAGCCAGCGACAAATTAAACTCAAAACAAAATAATCATCCATGGCGGAACCTGACTACTTCACAAGCTCTGATTGAACATGGTGTTCTCCTGAGAATAAGGTGCCGAAGTCCGTGTCGTGTTGCTGGAAGAGTAGTCGTCGATCGACGAATTGATAATGTCCTGCACGGGTTTAGGCGCCCCTCTATTCGTCGTCAAGTCCATGAAATCCGAGATCAAGCCTGGTCGCGACACCATAATTTTATCAACGTCTTTGTCGCCAGTAAGCATTCGCACGACTGTTGGCATAGACGGTCGAAGCTTGGGAGCATCTTGTGTGCAGAGTAGACCGATCTTTAAGAATCTGCATGCTTGCTCGGCGTCAAAATCGCCATCCAGTGATGAGTCGACTAGCATAACCGTTTCCTTCTTCTCGTAAAGCTTCCATGTCTATTACAGCAAGAATTTGAAAAGAGTTTATACGATGATCCAAATGATCACATTTCTTGACAAGAGTCACAAATTTGATGCATCTCTCAGCAAATATATCGAATGGTTACCCTTTCGAGAATATATTGGTCCTCTGCCGGCAATAGTGTATTGGTATTGCATCTTCCGCTGACTATTTCGATAAGGAGAACTCCAAAGCTGTAAACATCTGCTCGACGTGTCACCTGCCCTCTTATCGCATACTCGGGTGCCAAATAACCTCTGCAAACATTTTAAAAACCAAACAGAATGACCATCAAAATGCTTGAAGCTTATAAGCGTTGCCAATAATTGTTATCACCAGATTCGAGCATAGTTTAAAATCGTACATTGTTCCTGCCACGCGCGTGCTGACATGAGTCATGCTGGCGGGGAGGAGCTTAGCAAGACCGAAATCTGAAATTTTGGGGCTCAAGTCTTCATCCAGAAGTATGTTGCTTGCCTTGATGTCTCTGTGGATAATGTGCGGCCTAACTTCATCATGAAGATATGCAAGTCCTTTCGCCACACCGATGCAGATTTTCACCCGCGTCCTCCAGTCAAAATGGATGCTGTTGTGGCCTCCGCCTGCAGATTAATCGATTGCACGGATCATCGGATCATTTTGTTCATAAGTAAGTTTTTGTTGAAGCAATTTAGTAGTAGTTGGATGAATATGATCAGATGCAAATACCTAGAAGCGTTTGCGATAAGCTGTTGTTCACAAGATAGTTGTATACGAGGATTCTGTGCTGGCCTTCAACGCAGCAGCCGTAAAGCTTCACTAAATTTTCGTGTTCGATTTCTGAAATCACTTGAATCTCTGTCAAGAACTCTTTCACTCCTTGATTCGACTCAGCTGAGAGAACCTTTATGGCTGCCACTTCCCCATTCCGGAGGTTTCCCTGCAAATGAGATCAGCATCCATGGGGATGATTGTAGAATTTACTCTATTGGATTTACAGATGAAACTCGAAGATATACTTGATTTACCTTGAAAACAGAACCAAATCCTCCTTCCCCAATTTTATTTGCAGGACTGAAATCATTCGTAGCGATCCTCAGTTCTTTGTATGAGTAAAGATTGACATTGGGGACTCCTGAGAGCTCCGCGTGTAATCCAACTTCTCATGATCATCCAATATTTGGAGACAATTAGATAAGAAGAACTATGTAATTGATATATCCTGGAATTTGGAAGAGCATTTCCGAAAGGAGCTGTGAACTTTACCATCATGAAGTTCTGAATCTTCGGTTGCTGCCGATCTTCGACAACACAAATAAGAAAGGCAGGTCATAACTGGAGATTCGACTGATTTCTCTCACACTTGCATCCAATCACGGTAGTTAATTCTCTGGTTCTGAAGCAAGGAGAGGGTGAGAAATACGAAGCATAATTCAACAAAGTAACTGAAAATCTGAGGCGAATTCTCAAGAGTAGATCACCTGCAAAAGATTTTCCCCAATCTAAAGGCAACTAATTTTGAATGAAATTCAAGCTGATTTCACACATGAATATTCCCCTTTCAATTAGATCATGGACATTCCACGCGTCGCGACTTGTCAGAAACGATCTGCAAGGGAAACGCGTCGAAGAAGAAGAAGCGATCAATGGAAGATGATAATTAAGACGGTACGCTCTCAACAGATTGTGATAATCGAATACTATTCAGCCATCCCAAGCAATGAACCCTAGCAACATAAACAATGGATCATACAAGCAAATCAGCAGCAAATAATGCGAAAATCAAACCAAACGAATCACCAACGAGACATCAAACCTCGAAAAATACACCAAATAGCAAAAATCTCGACCAGAGAAACAGAGGATTGAAGTAAACAAGGCCCTCGACACACGCAATTTATCCTCTGCAGCAGAATTTGACGTCCTCGGAAAGTCAATGCGGAAATTCTGGTCAGCCTTACATTGGGTGATGGAGTATTCATTTTGAACTGTAGAACCTTTTCACTAATTATCTTCCGGGGGTTAAAATAAATGATCAATCGTCCATAACTATGGTTAATATCAGCAATTGTCTGTTTAGCAATTGACCTCTCTGATGAGATGAGCTAAGTCGGCGGCGCGTAATGGTCAACCGCGGCCGGTCACCATCTACCTTTGGCTGCACCTCTTCTGTGAGCTGTGTTGTTCATTCTATGACCACGTCCGATGTAATCTGACATGATCTCAATCACTTAAACTATATATATATATTAATATATACTCCTACACTCCAATTTGTTTTTATTTTCTATTTTTACTTTAATAGCATTTTAAATTTTAAATTTTAAATTTTTTTTTAATTTTAATTAAATTATTTATTTATTTTAATCTTAATTTATAATTATTTTTTACTAATATATTTAATTATTTACTGATTATATTTACCTGTATCTACAATAATAGTCTCATATTTTATAAGACGGAGGAAATATTTATTTATATATTCTTGTGGTATATATTTTAAATAAACAATGTGATGATCATATAATATATCCATTACATAATTTAAAGTATTCCTTTTCGTATTATACAATCTATTTTAATTTTTTTATTTAAAAATTCTTGTTTTCAACATCTATATTCTATACAAAATGAAATAAGTAATATTTGTTTTATACTTAAAATATTCATCTTCAAATCAATAAAAACTAACAAAAATATTTCCAAAATACTCTCTAAAAAGTATTCATATACAAAGAGTTGATTTTATTTTTATTTTAAATCTAAATTTTACCATATAACCTCCACATTTTTAATAAAAAATACATTAATGAATTCCACCTAGCATAATTATCTGCTAGTATAAAATTATGTAACAAAATGTATGTTAAGACAGTTATGAAAAATTTATCAGAATTAATTATGCCGGTGATGGACGGGCCCACTCATAAAACAACGGGACGGACTACGTACCTCTACCTGGTAGTTATTTTTCGACATCATCTCTGCTCGGAAGAGACAGGCAGGCAACCAGCGGATCAGCCACCACCGCGATGGCCGGAGTCGTGTCCAAGGTCGCCGTCATTGGCAGCGGCAGTGAGCACAGCATCTTCAGAATTATATTCCATCTGTATTCATACGGTAAAATTAGTTTTGATCCAGCATTTGTTTTCAGTTTCTGGAGCAGTGTGCGCGTCAATTCTGGCGAAGAATGGAATTTCTGTCACTGTGTTCGAGTCCGCCAGAGGTCCCGGCGGGCGCATGTCTCACCGAAGGTTTTCCCCTTTTCCTGAATTTTTTAGGTATTCTCCAACTTTGCACGTATCGAAGAGTAATAATCGTTTGTGTGTTTTCGATGGTTTGTTCCAGAGAAACTTCGGAAGATGGGAGAGAGTTGTCGTTCGACCACGGGGCGCCGTACTTCACTGTGAATTCTAAAAATTTAGAGGTGCAAAGTATTATCAATGAGTGGGAGTCCAGAGGTCTTATCGCTGAGTGGAAAGAGACGTTTGGCTCATTTGATTTTAGCACCAAAAAGTTCGTCAATGTTGACGAGGTTAGAAATTGTTCTCTTTGGAGATATCAATTACAGTTAGTTTATCTGATATTTGCTCAATTGGGTGTGGTTTTATAACTCATATGCAGATCTTCTAGTTCACGAGTTTTTGTTTTTTTCAACTATTGTTCTTCAGTTTTCTCTATGCTTGCATCTGCTGGATTGCATCTGTCTGACTTCTAGTATTTCAAGCAGTCATCTTCCTGAAATTTGTTTTACTTCAGGAAGGATCAAACAAAAGATATGTTGGTGTCCCAGGAATGAACTCTATCTGCAGAGCATTATGCCACGAGCCTGGTAGGTAATGATAGTTCTTGGTATCTGTTAAGGTTGATCTTAATTTATTTTCCTCCTTAGGAGTTGAAAGCCGGTTTGGGCTTGGCATTGGAAGGGTGAATTGGTTGGAGGATATCGACATGTGGTCCTTGACAAGTTTGGATGGACATGATGCTGGCCATTTTAGGGGAGTGGTGACATCTGACAAAAACACATTTTCCTCCCGGTTTACAAATGTCACAGGAAAACCACCACCTATTGGTATAATACTATCATTTTATGCTATATAGTTTAGTTGGTTAAGCTGTATTTGATGTTTCTGGCAATAGTCAATTGTGTTAATCCAATTAATGCCATATATGTTTTTCCTTGCATCATTGAAGCCGTGAAGGGGTTCTCTGTTGATTATGTGGCATAGATGGTTTGATAAACTCCACTTGTTGTCTTCAAACATCTCGCCAACAGAATACATATAGTTGAGTTGATCATATTGGCTTTATTGCTTCCATTGACTATCTTGTTTGTTTACTGCAGACTTGAACTCCATTTCAGACATGGCTTTGCAAATTAAAGAAGTTCCAACTATTCCCTGCTTTGCCCTTATGCTGGCATTCGAACAGCCTCTGTCATCAGTAAGTGTGTGTGCCTCTGTTATCAGTTGGTGAATCCTAGCACCGGGCTATGTTGGTGAAAAGTTTAAAGCAACTTTCCAAAATGACTAGATTAACCTCCACATGTTAATAATTGAAATTTAATGCTGCAGAGCACCTTGCTATGTTGATAAAGCTTATGTAAACCTTGGTGATATTGTTTATTTGCAATTCCATCATATTCACTCTGTTATTATTCAGATACCTATAAAAGGCATCTCATTCAAGAATTCAGAAGTTCTAAGCTGGGCTTACTGTGATAGCAGCAAGCCAGGACGTTTGACCAGTAGGTTGGTTTATGTCTGGTATTTCAGTCAGAATCTTCAGCAAATTGCACTTTAATTTGTGGATAATGAAACTCAAATTTCCTTTTTTATGTGCAGCGAGCTCTGGGTTCTGCATTCTACGGCTGAATACGCACAACATATAATCTCTCAAGCTGGGTTCCAGAAGCCTTCTAGTGCATTATTGACAAAAGTTGCTGAGGAACTATTTGAAGAATTCCAAAGCACTGGACTTGACATCTCACAGCCATATTTCAAGAAAGCTCACAGATGGTAAGTAGGTGTCACTCCTATGCCCAGAGTTTTATTTTGTGGCTTTGTGTTATTTGGGAGTATGATTAGCATTTCTTTTATCAATGAAGTGAAAGGCATAAATTATCTCATAATAGGAATCTGACAATGAACTATAGGAAACAAAACAGTTTGGCTGTACCTTCTGTTCTCAGTAAGTATATATTGCCATCACTTGGTTAGTGCTATGGGTGAAAAAGTCTTACTGAGCTTTGAATAAGATAGTCGATGGTTGTTCAGACTTCCAGATTCAATTCACAGACTAACCAACTAATGATTCAATATGTGTTTCGATCACATTCTCAAAATGTTTACAATATCTCAATAAACAGTGGGCACATTATGTGATTCTTTTCAGGGGAGGTGCCTTCCCTGCTGCTAGCATTGCCGGAGAGGAGAAATGCTTTTGGATTGCACAGAAGAGATTAGCAATTTGTGGGGACTTCTGCGTCAGTCCGAATGTTGAAGGTGCTATAGGCAGCGGCATGGAAGCAGCTGCAAAGGTTATCAAGGGGATGAGGCTGACTCCCTTGTAGGCTTGATAATAAAGGTAACAGCTGATTTTATTTTTTATTTTTCTCTTAATGAATATATGGTCGATTTACCATCCAGTGTGTAGTCTGTTTCTATATAGTAAATGTCTGTCATTATTACATATTTGTTTATTTGGATATGATAATACAATTATTCAAAAATCATTTGGATTTTGAATTTGAATTGTTCCAATTCTATCTAGTCAGCAAATCTCAGTTGATTGCTCATGGGGATTTGGCGGTTTCCCCCTTTTACATACATAATTTTCTTCTTAACTGTTTAAAAAGTAATTAGTTAGGCGGATGAAAGTGATAGCGATCCTTTTGTTTTCCAAATTGATATATGATCAGTATCACATTTGGCATTACGTAGACACGCATGCTTATATTTAATCATTTCTTTTTATTTTTTATTTTCTTTTTCTTTTACATTCGAGTTAGGTTTTTGGATTGGATGAGGTCTTGCGGCTTTCTAGCTAAACAGAGCATGTACTATTCTGTCTTGCACACATGCTTATGTACATATATGAATACAAAAGCTCTATTGTGTGACTGACATGTCTGTGTGCTTGTGTATATACATAAAATGATAAAACCTTAATAAAAGATTCAAATGTGATTTGATGCTTGGTTTGTCCCACTTGTTCCCTTATTGATTTTGATACTTTTGACATCTACTATTCATCCCATTTCCATTGGTTACAGAAATATATCTGCACACACACATGCATAAATTGCAGTTACTTCTGAAACATGTGCATTCGGAGTCAAAGATTGATATTTTCTGTTATACTAATGCAAATTCCATTGAAACAACTTTTCACTATTCTTGGTTGACTCTCCATGCATGCATCACATTAGAATATTTACATTTTCCAAAATATTTTCAATATGTGAAATATGATCATTTTTTACGGCTGAAGAACTTACCAATTGCTCTTGAATCAGGTTAATCATAAAATTCAAGTATTTTAAACCTCACACTATATATGTGTATCCTACTGGGCTATTTGGAAACAATTACATCATGTAAACATATGTTAGAACAACAGTATTCAAGTGTAACTAATCACTTTGTGTGGTAGATTTAGATTGATGTATTGAGCCTGAGTTAAAACACTTTTTGTATATGTTTAATTTCTTATTTTCAAATGTGATTACTTATTTAGTTTTGCTTAGACAAGCTTTAACTCGAATTATAACATGTTCCAAGGAGGAAACTTTGATCTTATTAAATACAAAACGCATTACATAACCACTTAAACATATATATGCCATAATCTCATCGAATATCTCCGCTCCTAATGAGCTAGCCACCGAGAAAGACCTTGCATACATGTAATACTTGGTATTGATTATACTACAATAGGCAAAACTCCAAAATACCGTCTACATTTTGTTCACATCATAGAAATTACAAGTACTTGAGCATCGAGTGGTAGGCTGTAGAATGTAGATGTCGTCGTCGTAGTAGCATATGAACTTCTTTCCTTACACAATGCTTGGGAATCCCTTCATCATTAATCCACTGCTATTGTTGTCACAGTCCTTATAACCATTACTATTGTTGCTGTCCACTTTTGACATGATCATCAGATGATTGTTCCACGCCGCCCTCATAATCTCCTCATCATAACATGAATCGTTTGATGACGAAGAAGGATTCCAGTTATATAGTCCAAGCTCAACCGGCGACGCCCTAATTGATGATGAACTGCCGTTGTGATCAGTAAGAGCAGGGCTCGTCATCTGATTAGGCCTGAAAATGGAGAAGCAGGGCACATGCTGATTGTTGTGTCCGATTGGCACTTCCATGAATCCTCCCCCTCCTCCTTCCGGGGGTGTAGCTTTCTTGTACAAGACTCTGCATAGAACCCAGTCCTCCTGCAACCACTCACAACATTGGCCTTAGATCGCATGGATTTGAAATAAGTGAGTAAAGGTGGAGATGAGTGAGTTAGTATACCGCGGCAGGCACGGTGGGCCCTTCAAGGCGGAACTCATGCATGACCCAGTGGGTCTTAGTTCCGGCGGGGGCGCGGCCCTGATAGAAGACGAGGGTCTTCCTCATGCCGACGAGGTGGCGGCGGAAGACGGGGCGGTCTTTGCCGGTTGCCTTCCAGTAGCCTGATATGGTGGCTCGATTGGTTCTCGTCCCCGTCGAGTACTTCCTGTCCCGCTGGCTGTAGAAGTACCATTCCTTGCCCCCTACACAACCACTCTCTACACACATATCTACATATAGTCAACAATAATCTTCCCTATACATTTATTTTTGATATATATATATGTATGTATGAATGATATTACCAGGGAGATCCCAAGGCTCACAGTTATTGAGGTCGACCTGGACCAAGAGATTAGGGGTAGGGGTAGGGGTAGGGGTAGGGGTAGGGGTAGGGGAGGAGTGATGGAATCCGAGTACCCAATTGAGGAGGTAATCGCAGAGTAATTCGTCATCTCTTGGATGGAATCTGAATCCCGCTGGCAGCCTTTCCTCCACACTCCTCAACCTGCTGCTGCTGCTGCTCATTGACATCATATATATATATATATATATAATGAGATTAACGATACAGCTAGCCAGATAGCCAATTCAAACTAGTAGGTAGCTAGGTAGTAGGAATCTTAGCGTAGCTTAGGTTGCTCGATATGACTGACTAACTGCCTTATATAGATAGATAGATAAGATCATGAGTGGCACTGGGTATGCAATTGCAACTGTTACTAACAAATTAACTAGTGAGGAGTCAAAGAAGGAATTAATGTCGTGTCTAAATAAGACTACTAGCAGTAGTATCTACTATAGGATGTGTGTGTTTGGTGGTTGAGATTTGAATAATAAAAATTTTGAATTTGAATAGTTGTATAATGTGATATAAATAGGTGTTGATGTAATATTTTGAATGTAAAATTAATTTTTAGTATAATATAAAAAATAAAAAACAGGTATTTGATTTGATATTATTTAGGGAAAGAAAATGAATTACCAGTAGAAATCTAATCCAATCCCAAAAAAACACACCAGATCTGTACTTTGTGATATTAACGCCGAATGAATGCTGCTGCGTAGCAGTTTTCAACACAGCAAAATCTACCTAAATCGCCGCCAATTTCTGTGCTCTTTCCATTATTGCATCATTGAATGAAATATTTTGGGATGCTTTTATATATATATATATATATATATAATTTATATTCAGTCAATATATATTTATTTTAAAGTATCAAATCAAATTATTATTAATATTTAAAATTTATAATTTCAAATGATAAAAAATTCTTTTAGCACTGGTAATTCTTTTATAACCTTACACCTATCCCATGAATAGCAGATATTTAAAAAATAAGACGACATTGAAGTAATTAGTAGTTTAAAAAAAAAAAAAGAAAGGGAAAGAGTTGGTCAAAAGATGAATAGCGCTGAATTTGTTTTGAATTATAAGGAGCAGCCATAATTCCTATTTGTTGCAATTCGTACTAAATGTTAGGTTCATATGCTTGTTCATTTATATTTGGTTTTATTAATAGTATTTAATTTATCACTATTTATAACAATTATTTTAAATATATATCTTTTTTTTATAAACTAGTATCCTTAATAATTATTTTTACATGAATATAAAAATAAAGAATTTATATAATACACAGCTTAAATTTGGAATTGAAGTAATTATTTAATACTACTGTATAAATAGTTTTTTTGATACAATAATCTTTGAATTACATATTTTAAAATTCTAAAAAGTTTAATTACTGTAATAAGAAAAAAAAAACTAAATAAATTAAAGTATTAGTTAGAGTGTTAGTTAGAATTTTGAATTTGAAATTTGAATAATAAAAATTTTAAATTAAATAATTATACGATGTAATACAAATAAATGTTATATAATATTTTTAATATAATAAAAAAGTAAATATTTTATTTGATGTTTTTAAGAAAATATATTTGAATAAATAATAAATTTTTGAAAAATTTCCATAAACAATACCCTCTAGTGGATTGACGCACCAAGCCCAAATCCTAAACCCTTTTCCATTTCCTTGGAACACTCTCAGCGTTCTCTCTCCTATTCTTTCCATTTTCAACTTCCCGATCTCTTCTACAGCGTGTCTCCCGCCCATCTGCTTCGTCTCCTACAGATGTCAGAAAATTGTAAGTTCAATCCTTCAGTTTCGATTAAGAAGAGCAGCAAGTGTAAAAATCAACATTCTGCAGTTTATCGTTTCAATTCGATTTCGAAATCATACACGAAATTGTTCTGAAATTGATATGGTTTTTGACATCTTCATTTTCTGTGCGATGCTGATTCGCTTAAACCGGCCGAACTTATGCAACATCTCTATTATGCTGTGTAATTATGGTATTGTTTTAAATATTCTGTAAGAATTCGTTTGTTCTTGAGTTGATTTTTCTATATTAGAGTTTGAATGCCTATATAATGATTTTAATACGGTAATGTAACTTAAACAAGTCAAGCTCACAAAAATTTCCGTGCACCTTACCATTCTTTCTTTTTTTTTTTTTTTTTGATCGGAAAACCTTACCATTCATTTTGCTTTTACAACTTTGGGTTCTGCTGTATTCGAGGTGAACAGTTTTAGAATCAAGAAATTCTGAAGATAAAAAATCTCAAAGGGAAAAAAAAAAAAAGGAAGTGGTTTTTATTTATCTTTTGTGGTATGCATAGGATTGCACGGGACATTAATCTCATCAGTTGGAACTCTTGAGTTTGCATTTTACTTGGAGCTATTGGCTTAAGGATTGATCGGCTCCTTGGCTTATTGTTGGACTTTTAAGGTTATTTTTTGTATTATTGGCTTATTCAGATTTAAGGTTATTATTTTTGTGCTTGCATTTACTCGCTTTGGCACTGATGTAACTTTCTTCACTTACATGTTTTTATGTGTTGCTAGTCACCTTTAAGTAAGTTGTGATGGTCCATGGATTTTTCTCAGTTAGGAGAAGATTCATCTGAGATGCATTATTACCAATAGTTGAAGCGATAATTATTTTGGGGTACAAATGTTGTCTTTCGGATTCTGGTGCATTTTTGTGGTTATGTCTAAGCATAAATGATGATGCCGTGCATTACATGTTTTGTCTTTCCTTATGTGTATATGATTTGCTTTGTGGTTTTGAGTAAACCTTATTGCTTACTTATTTCCAATATTTTATTGGAACAGAATTTTATAGAAGGGACTGGACTGAATCAATTCCATTGGGCATTGGATGATGGCAAATGAAGTCGGATCTGAGTTTCTTGTTACCGGTCTTTCAGTTTTATTAGGATGAGCAGATCAAACGGCTACACTTGTATGTTATGGCTACCCAGATCTTCCGGAAACTCAGCCCTGCTGCTGCCAGAGATGCCTTCACCTTTTCAATCCTCTGCCGTACGAAAATCACTTCAGCCCAATACGTGGCCTCAAGAGCTCGAGATCCCACCTTTGAGAAACTCATGGATAAATACAAGAACTTCCTTAAAGTGATATCCATACAAGACCTCATTCTTGCCTCAAATGCCAAACCACCCTCTATCTCCCTGGATTTCCTAAGCAGACTCTCCCAAAGGCTTCACCTAAATCGTGGCCCGGCCACCTTTCTCCGCAACTACCCCCACATTTTCCATATCTACAACCACCCCATTAAGCTCCACCCCTTTTGCACACTAACCCCTGCTGCACTGAAAATTATCCATCAAGAAGCTGAAGCTATAGAAAAATCTCTTCCATCGGCTGTAACACGATTGGTCAAGCTTCTGTCCATGTCCCTAACCAAGAAGCTACCGCTTAGAGCTGTTTTCAAGGTATGGAGAGAGTTGGGATTGCCTGACAATTTTGAAGACTCGATTATTTCTAGTAATCCTGAAGTCTTTTCACTTGAGGATGGGAATGAGCCCAATACTCATTTTTTGGTTCTAAACGATGGTGTAGCATTTCGGGATTGCTTGATTCCTGCTGTTGAGAAATGGAGAGTGGTGGATTGTTGTAAAGAGGACTCTAGCATGGACAGGACCGAGATGATGTATAGCTTTAAGTATGGATTTCCACCCGGGATGCGGTTGAAGAAGGATTTCAAGGCTAAGGTTAAGGAGTGGCAAAAATTACCTTATGTTGGACCCTATGAGGAGATGGGGTTGGCGCATACCAAGATAAGTAAGAGCGGGGGGATGAGAATGGAGAAACGAGCTGTGGGGATTGTGCACGAGTTCTTGAGCTTGACCGTGGAGAAGATGGTGGAGGTGGAGAAAATTAGCCATTTTAGGAAGTGGTTTGGGATTGATTTAAATGTAAGAGATTTGTTCTTGGACCATCCCGGGATGTTCTATTTGTCAACCAAAGGGAAGAGGCACACGGTATTTTTGAGGGAAGCATACGAAAGGGGACGCTTGGTTGTTCCAAATCCAATTTATGACGCCCGAATGAATCTTCTTTATCTTGTTCTTTTAGGTCGCCGCGGGATAGATGTAGGCTGTGATGATGGTAAGAATGAAGACTCGGAGGTGGAAGAAACATAATGGTAGATCTGTTTCTATCCTGGATTAGAGTTATTAACGTTATGAATAGAAATGACATTATGTGATGATTGTACCGGAGAGGCCGGAATAAGAAGACAATTAATCAACGAGGGGGTTGAAGAGGAAATAACATAGAATTGAAAATTAGCAAGATGGTAACTGTATAAGGATTCTATAGAACATGAAAAGTAAGAGTTGAACGATTCCCATCCCCATAAAAAAGAAATATCTGTACACCTGCTGCAGCATTTGTTATTCTAGGACATAAAGATAACAAAAAATATAGGCTTCAAAATCACGAGAAACAGGAATCTCGAACAGATGAAAAACTTCAAAATTACATCATTGGGAGGCCAATGAAGATGGTAAAATAGAGTTAAGTCGCAGAAAATGTATATATGAATCCATGGATGTACTTCTTATAAAGCTTTCTTGATATGATATCATCACCTCAAGATGCTGCAGCTAATAACACTTTATTGTCTCCAAGCTGTCGTGCTTATGATGATCATGAGCTGCCATTTCCTCCGCCCAACACAGGCATTGATCGTTGACCAAATTCCTGTAGTACCTTTCTCTGCTGCTCATTTGTGTGAGGAAGGCTTGATCGCAAGAGTTCAATTGGCATCTCCCTGGTAAATGCTTTCACCATGTCGGATCCAATTGGAGCCGACTCCGACAAGCCTGGGGCGACAAAGGATTGCACAACAGATTCATATTTATTGAAGCAGTACTTGGTGAGTAGGCCAAAGAATGCATCGAAAGAAGCCTGCCAGAATTCCCTGTGTTGTGCAGTACAATTGCCAGCAGTCTTTGGGTCTGTCAGAAGCTCGGTTGCCCTGTCGAGCACAGATTTAAGAACTAAAGAAGCACCATCTCCCGCAGGATTCACAATGGGACACGTGGGAGTCTGCTCATTTGAGCATGCGACCGATGCAAGACAGGCAGCAAGTGCCTTAAGCTCCATGGAGTGGACACACGAGGACACCGCCTTTGCAAGGTTCACAATTACCATGGATGCTTTGGGATCAGTAGGAATGTTTCCAAACAAGAACCTCAGACTGCGGAAGATGGCCATGCAGACAACTCGAGTAAGTTCGCTCGGTAAAAGAAGTTGCAGGTACCTTAACAGTAGTTTCTGGCCTTTAGGAAGAGATACTATCCTTAAGAAGATGATTTCATCTTTGGGAGCCAACTTCACCAACTTTCCATGCTTCTCTAGCGGATCGACAAGATGAAGGGATGAGGCTAAACCTTCTAGAAGGGTCTGTCTCTTCTGTCTCAGCTGTGTTCCACCATCTTCGAGCTGATAAAACTGTAGAAACCTGTCGATATCATCAACGTCAAGCAGTAGAGAAAGTCCATCCTCGATAGTTATCCTGGCTGCAAGCATAGGCTCCTGTTCCAAAGGCTTCTCTGTATGTTTTGGTTTGGGACCAATTGGGGAGTCAACTTCAAGAAGTGGCCGAGGCCTGCGTATTGAGGGAAAGGCCACCCTTCCGAGAGCATCGACCTGGAGGAAATTGTGGGGCTCATTGTTGCCACGGGGCTTGGAAGAACTATCTCTCAAAAAAATCGGGCAGAAATGATGTCTCAACCTAGCTCCAGATGATTTTCTTGCCAGGCAGGCCTGATGGTAGTAATCGTCGATATAAGGATTGATGCTGTGAGTAGCTGCAAGCTGCATTCTGAGTATATTTTCAATCTCAGCTGGAGACATATATCTCGCTCTAAATCTGGGCCACCCATTGACACCCTTCTGCCCTGCAGAATCCTGGCCGGTATAGGAATGGTGATGTTGCCCATGTCTGCTTCTTTGTAGTTGCAGAGCTCTTTGATCCCTTGAATCTGGTGAGCCAAGAACGTCAAAACTGCTCATCATAGGGAGTGATCGAGAAAGCTGACGACCCAAGAGTTGGGGAGGTGGTCTGGCCGCATTGCTGAGCGCTGGGGGCTGAAACGGATGCTGCAATCTAGCTTGCTGGGAATGTTGGGCTGGTGGCATGACCAGCGGAGGCATTCGACCACTCTGAAGAGAAAAAAAAATCTTTGACAGCCCAGAATGATTTCCAGGGTTTAAACCACTTTGGTTCACCCACCTACATGAGAGCTGACTATTGTTCGGGAGCCTGTGAGGTAGCTGAGACAAATTTCCACCAAATTGTGGCCCTCTCGGTAAAGCATTAAATTGAGGATGGGAATTGGAGGAGGTAGAATATGAATGAAAGGTCCAATTTTCACTCTCTTGATTGATTTCAGCATCGAAAGCACCATGATCGAAGCAGTTTGGGAAATCTCCAGCTTGTGCTAAATCAGCAGCGGAAGAACCTGCATCAAAATAAAAAAGATCAGAGGAGAAAATAGATCCTGTCAGGCAAACTAGCTGAATTATCACATGAGAACCCATGTTGTTTCAAGCATAAAAACTTTTACACACAATAAGCTAATACACTCACTTTCTCGAGATCCCCGGTCTCTACCAGCTCCTGTAATTGATAACCCGTAGGTCACTTTGTTCAACTGTACACCGAAAAGTAGGTGAATAAAAATGAATGTTTACCAATATTTAAGCCCAGAAACTACATTCCAAACAACAAGAAAATGCAGGTTATGCAGATGTTAAGGAATTAAACAGGTAGCCTACAGATGAACCAAAAGCTACATGAAGACATTGCTGTTCTAAGAAATTAGTCAGGCGCCAATAAGATGAAGAGCAAGTGAATCCCTACAGCTATTGCAAACACTACCCAAAACACAGGTATTAAAATTATATGAAAATCTATTTGATGACATTTCAGGTGAAATTTTCGCCTTAGAAAACGTGTTTAAAAACTTTCCAATCTTAAATAAAGACCCCAATAAAATCCCAGCCAAAAGGGAAAGGCCAACACCATGGAATTACTAAACAGGTGAACTACATGGAGCTCAAAAGATCAGTTTTCATTTACTAAACACATACTTCATCAAGGAAAAAGATACAATTATCAGCTTAGCAGCCAATCAGCATATGAAACTTAATCCAAATAGAGACCAGAGCCCAGAACTTTACACACATGGGATAAGTCAATAGCAAGACTATAATGTACAGTTGTTCACACACACAAAAAAAAAAATTTATACACCAAAGCTTAAGTATTAACCTCTTCCCTCTCCAATTGTAACTCTTTTTCATATCCACCAGCATCAAAATCATCATCTTCATCTGCCAATCCTCCCAACTCACCCTCCTCCACCATATCACCACCAAAGAATTCATACTGTGACGCATCAAATACGAAATCTCCTGCTTAACCCAAAGAATTTATATTGTAAGACAAAATCTTTAAATACAAGAAATTATCAGTCCAAGCAAATATTAAATGTTAAAGACTGTGTATTGATGAAACTACATAAATAGTTCATGGTTAACTCCTAAGTCAAATCGACAGATTGCATTCTAAGAATAAAACAAAGCAAAGCCCCATTCATGTTCCATCATGTTCCTAATTCCACTGTATTATAACAAGCTAAGCAACTCAATCATCCATAAAACTTCTTAGAACAGTCTAAATGTAACATTCCAAGAATATGAAGATAATTCCAGTCAATAGCCATGATGCTTATGAAGCAAACAGAACCCTGCAGTTTCAATTACGAAGCTAATGGATAATTCTACAGGAAGGAAGCATTGTGGCAGACCTGCTGGACTTACACCAAAGGTAAGATGATCTCGATTCAGCAATGAGTCTGGAAAACCGCCCTCACCATCGCCCCCTCCCATCCTCAAGGTTTAGAACACACTCTAATCCCAACGCTACGCAATGAACTAATTCACGGCCTACAACTCTCTAGGGTTTCTGAAGGTCAAAAGATCCTAACAATGAAACGCGCACACCAAAAAACCAAATCGGTGAATCAAACAAAACAAAAAAAAATAAAATTAACGCAAGAAACCCCTCGACTCCCTAATCATCAAGTGCCAAGCGTCGCAAATTCATCGATGACAATTTTGTTAGTGAGAGTGAGGAAGAAACAGTGTGGACAACGTGGCTGCCTCTTGTATGCATCCAACAAATACGTACATGCGATCGATTATATACGTAGATCGTTTGCGTTAGAGAAAAGATTGCCGATTGATAGGAGCCTCGTTTGTTGTTTGTGGTTTACATGAACATTATAAATGGTTTTGCAGTTGAGGATGAGTTTCAGAATATGAAGAGTTATTGGGGGGAATACGTAATTAAATGGTTTTGCAGTTGAGGACATTCCCCAATGCAGTGGTCCCCGGTGGAGTGAAAAGGATAATTTTGAAATTATAAATGTTGATTATTTTTGTTAATTTATGTAATTCGATTTATTAATGGGCTTATTGGGCCTTCTTCTATACGTATTTGGGCCCATCTAGACTGGGCCATTATAGCCGATTCCACCAAAACCCTAATTACGTGATTATTTCAACAAGTTGAGAACCCTAACCCTTTCGCCGATCGACAGAAGAATCATCCTTCGAGGAAGATGGTGAAGTTCCTGAAGCCAAACAAGGCGGTGATCCTCCTCCAGGGGCGTTTCGCCGGCCACAAGGCGACGATTGTTAAGAATTTCGATGACGGCACGCGCGACCGGCCGTACGGCCACTGCCTCGTTGCCGGCGTCGCGAAGTACCCAAGCAAAGTGATCCGCAAAGACTCCGCTAAGAAGCAGGCTAAGAAGTCGCGAGTAAAGGCGTTCATCAAGGTGGTGAACTACAACCACATCATGCCCACGCGCTACACGCTCGACGTGGATCTGAAGGACGTGGTGGCCGCGGACGCGCTCGTGTCGCGCGACAAGAAGGTGACAGCGTGCAAGGAGATCAAATCGAGGTTCGAGGAAAGATTCAAGACTGGGAAGAACCGTTGGTTTTTCTCTAAGCTTAGGTTTTGAGGTGATAGGGGATTTGATATATACCTCTTTTCTCTTCAATTATTCTACGATTTCATCCTGTTTCTAGCGTTTAAACGCATTGATTTTATGCAAATGAGTTTTTGGCATATTGAATCCCTTATAATGCTCTGTTCTTGAAGATTTCTGGCTGAGTAAATTTAACCTAACTTTTCTCTAATACAGAATGTTCTTGATCTCTCTACTGTTTGCAAATGTGCCTTTAATATATTAATTGTCGAATGGTATGGTTCATGGATTTGTGATGCAACCAGCATTGGAAACAAATGTTTGATTATAGTTAACTAAATTCATTGGGGTCGATCGCTTGCGTTTATGTTCAAGAAATATATTAATTTCTTTTGAAGAAGATTATCTCTTGTGCTTCTAATCCTAATCTTTCATGCATTCATGTTAGGGAAGTATATATTACAAAAAAAAAAAAAATCAATTCTTCAGTAATATATATTTATGTGTTAATAATTTAATATTAGACTTTTATAAATAAGATTATATTAAATTTATAGTAAAAGCTCATGCTATAATTTATATAATAATTAAATAGAGATTATTTATCAAATGCAATTTTTAATACTCTCTTTGTGGTTACCATTTTCGTCCGGTTACAAAACGGTAATATGGGTATTTTTGTTTTTTATTTTAATATTAATATTAAAAAATTTACCAGCAAAAAAACAAACTCAAATATGGGTATTTTTGTTTTTTTTTTTAATACTAATATTAAAAAATTTATGTGAAAAAGCAAACTCAAACGTAACACTTCCAATGGGACAAGACAGATTAATAACTACCAAGGCTAATTATGATGAAGAAAGAGTAAACTATAAGTCACTTATCTTTTTAATTTGAGATTTGATTTTTTCTTACACAATTAATTTACTTCCCTTTTTAAATTTAGTTTGTAATTTTATACTCCCTCCGTCCTTCGTTTCAATACAATTGTCTTGTTTACTATTTTTGTCTGTTCTAAAACAATAATCTTATTTCAATAAATAATCATATTACATTATTATTACACAATTGTCACTACCTTTTACACTAATACACTCACAAAGGCAAAAATGTTTTTACCTGTACTTTTTATCCACTGTCAATATAATATTAATATTCTTTAAATCTCGTACCCAACACAACTAAGACTATAGTTCCAGAACGGAAGGAGTATTTTAATTTCAAAATCTAATATTTTGAATCCATTAAACCCATGAGACTCTCAACTTTATATTTCTTTTTATTGTTCTTCACTTTTCACTATTAAATTTGTACTGACTATTGTTGGCCCGCTGCGGTAGGATGTCCATATATTTTGCCCATCGAAAGTTAGGACCGGTCTGAGCCCATTTCACATGTTTGCCGTGAATTGTGTTGTTGGTTTAATTTTATTGCATGATATTCTATACAATTTAACATGCGTCTAGTAGAATGCCAAATATTCTTATGTATGATTCATTTCCTATCGTTATATCAATGACTTATATGTTCTTTCGTTTGTTACTTATATCCGGAATACGCTCATACAAACTGCAAAGCATTTAATCGAATGGAGAAATAAGAAATGCAGCTGTATATCGAATCTCTAGGGTACAAAATAATGAAAGAATGCACAAGTATGGCACTAGGAAACATATAAACACCTAACAAATCTTCGTATTTTCAGCAGCAGCAAATGTCGAGGCACCAGCAGCAACACAATGCAGCGACGCTGAAAAAAAGCACGCAAGATTTTCTGTAAGTTCTCATCCATGGCTGCTGCATAATTACAAACACATGCATATATTGTTAGCCTTTAAGATCTCACCATCCTTTCCAAAACCCGTCGCCCCTGCTCACAGTCCTCCCCCCGACCTGCTCCTGTTCGTCCGCATCCTTGGTGGGATACCCCATGGGCGGCGGCGCCATCACATATGTGCTGTTGTAACCATCTCCTGCAGGGGGAGGATACGAAGCTGCAACGAGGTAATCCCCGATGTTTAAACAAATTACTATTGAATAAAAGAGAAAACTTTAACCATTACATATATATATATCGTGCTTATAACATACCGGGAACTTGATTATTGTATCGATCTTGTTGATTCATGGCTTCTGTAGCTTATTGTCGATCTTCCGGGCTCGAAAGAAGTATGATATTGTATTTCTTTGTAGTTTGATTATTGTGTATTTATAGGTCGGAGGATGGGGAAAATTCATTGTTGGGGCGGATCTGTCCATGAACGTATGTTATGTATGAACAAAGACCGGCCAATGTCACGCGCACAAGAAAGGTATTCGGCAAAAGCGTGTTTCCAGAAACTCCAATAAATTTTATTACTATATAGTTACTTCAAATGCTATATATTATGCAACTCGGGAGGAAATTAATACTTGTATTTTAAAAAATTTTAATTTAGGAGAAAAGATTAAAATAAATACTATCAGAAAGTGCGACCGAATCTACTATGTAGGCAAATTACATTGGGCAACATGTAACATGTGACCTGGAGGTGTCGGCATTAAGCAGCCAAATATTTGAAAAGATAATGAGTATATATAATTAGACAGAAATACAATTGATTGTGATAGATAGCAGGCCGAGTGTGAGGCCCAGTAATTTCAAAGGAAGCCCAATAGATGTAAAAAAGTATCTAGAGGCCCGTATAAGAAAGCCTGGGCCATTTGTCTCCACCAGGCCCAACTATAAACGTATGCGTACGTCATTGTTTATAAATCGTATAAATATTAATTTAAGTTGATGACATTCGTTAACCTGTTTTAATGTTCTGGAGCCATGGAGGAACACTGAGCCGCGGGAATTTTCGGCATCGATGGGTATGCGAACAGTTCGATGGATTGGAGTGCATGAAGATTTGATGCTATATTTGAATGCATGTACACACTGTGCAGGACGAAGTATGATTATTATTATTATTTTTTTTTATTGGATTTTCGGGTTACAGGAGAACGCAAAACAACTCGAAAAACGGATTCTGTATCTGAAATCCGTATCCAATCGAAAAAAATCGGGTTCTCTTCGGTTTAGGTATAATGAGGGAATTGTTAAATTTGACCTGGAATGTAATTTGGTAGTTTTAACTGGAGAATAGCTTGAATTTACTGAGTGATGATTAGCAAATTGATGAATCGTTAGAGGATAGAAGCTAAAAGCACTAAGACATTGAAATATGAGGCAATATTGTCAGTTCGTGCGATCACTGGACTGTGTACTGTCATTTTTTATATCAATGTCTTTTTATATCTCCTGAGCTTATCTGTTTTTCACATTGAGTTCATTCTTATTCAGTTCATAAATTTGTTTTGATTGGCATATATAATTGGCAAATGTTGATACATGTAAAATGCACATATTCGGACTGTATATTGGAATCAACTTGCTGTACATCAACTCACATGTAGGAGCATTTTCATCGATAGCTTGTTGAAAACAGAAATAGCCATTAAAGCTGTGGCAGCAGGGCTAGGGAAACCAAATTTTCCTGACAGGGTGAGTCCTTTTACTTCACCAGAAAAACTTTGTACTTTCATCTTTTTCAAGGAGTTCATAATTGATGATTCTGAACCAAGAAAAGAGTCCTGTTTAGAAAGCTACTTGTCTCATATCTTGGTTAAGTAGCCAGCCCTTCGATGAATTGTGTGTTGTCCTGTCAAGTTTCCATTAAGTTTGCAGTGGGCTTAGTAAATTCACTACTGAGTAATGTTTTTTCACCTTGGAGTAGCTGAATCATTGCTTGTGCAGATTTGTGAAGAGAGAGCAGATTAGACCAATGAATTTAATATGATGTTTCTCCATATAAATATGAATGGTTCTCTGTACCCATCATAGTGCCTAAAATATCAGATATGATTAAATTCAATTAATGCTGATGAATACTTACAGGAGCATGCTTGCAATTGATGCTAGGCCATCCTCAATTCAGGTGGCCCAGTGATATTATGGTGTGTTGTTGCATATGACATTGTTTTCTTGTTCTGACAAGATCAGGTTTCTGAAAGCAACCTGGAAATTTTGGGCTCTCATAACATGATCAGAATCCATATATTTGTGGGTATTGCTTTGGGACCCTCAAAACAACTACAATGCCCTTATTTATGGCCATCTACATTTTTTAATGTGTTATAATGGTTAGGATGGCTATGGCATTTACTATTTGCTTTATTATTATTATTATAATGATACTTAAGCTATGTTTGCATTATATTTTAAATAAGTTCCATTTAATATGTATGTTTTAAATTTTATAAAAGTAATGTGTATAGACAAATATGAAGAGTATAATTTAGTTATACTAAATTCTGTATGCCATATAACTCATTGTGTATATGGTTTAATACAAATTAGAGTATATGCAGATGCAGTGGTATTGAATTAGAAGTAAATAGAAATAATGAAATGGTGATTATTGGATTCTGATCATTTGTTTGAGTAAATTTAATTAAGTTATTATACATATAAATATATTTTCTGCTGGTTGCAAACAATTAACTAAAGTTGGCCATTCAGTTCACATGTCTTGCTCTCAAGATTCTTTTCCTAATTCCAATCTTTATGACTCAACAAGTTGCTTCAAAATATTTTAGTCAGAAGAGTAGGTTTCTTGTTTTTATTTATTCCATAGTACCTAAATATCAGTGAGTTTGCTTTATTCGTGAGTTATGTTTTATTTTCCTTATTTTCTTGAGGCATGAAAAGGCTGGTGTACAAGTTAATGTTGGTGAAACAATAATATACTAAATTGTTTACTGCTGTGTTACCATCCAGGACAGGAATTTCTACTGTTTCTTTCACTTAAATGTTTGCATTCTGACTAAATACACAGAGCTGAAAATATGAAAGACAACCACAGTGATGTGAAATTGTGAGAGGGACCATTGGATGGTCAAGATCATGCAAGCTGAGTGTTGGGTGGATTGATTTGTGAAAGGCCCTAAATTCCAGCAATGGTGGGGCAGTGAGGAGTCCTGCAATTAAGCATATATATAGAATGCATTCATTCCCTTAATTGGTGTTGTACAAATTTCAATATTATTGATAGCTGATTCTTGTTGTTGTCATTTTCCACCACTCTAAATCCTGTGTCTGCTTCACTGTTGTAGGAAAGGGGAATGGACCAAAAAGATTTTAAAATTGTATGGCATCTTATCTCTATCTCCCTCCACTAGTCTTTTGATGGGAATTTTTTCTTGTTTTCATTATTATAACATTTTGAATTTTGTTTCCCATCAGATTAGACAACTAATGATACCTATAATAAGTCCACATTATATGGTATTAGTCAGTCTAGTTGGAAAGTTTTAATAATGCAGGGCGGTTTAGATTTTACCTACAAATTTGCCTCTGTTAGGTGGTATTAACATTTTATAATTGAATCCTTACACCAGATTGTTTATTACATTTTGATAAGTGTTGACTGCATCTCTAAAGTGTAAATTAAAAGAACTACTTCCTTAGTCCTTCCTAGTAAAGATGCTTGCTTGCTTGGTTAATACTTGGTCTGTTTTGTGTTAGTGGATTGCTGATTGATGCTCACACACGTCCATCAATTTTCAATGAGTTGGAAAAGATAAACACAAACAAACCAATATATGTAATAGATAGATATATGCAAATCCCCCTTTTTGGTGCACTTTATTGCCATTCTGATCAATGGTTGTCTTCTTTAGTTCTTTTCCAATTATGAGTCCTTATTGGAGTTTGATTCAAAGTTGCAATAAAAACAATTAGCTGAGGCTAGTCTTTCTTTATCTTGAGTCTTACTTACTCCTGCAGGAGGGAACCTAACCCATTCATGTAAAAGTAAAGTAGGCAAGTGATGGAAAGCAGTGTCATAAAGATACCAACCCATTCTTCTGCAAGATATGATGATGACTTCTTCAAGGTAAATTGGTTAATGCTCCTCACTTTATATTTTCCCTCTTTGCACCATTATATATATATTTATATGTATGTATTTTTGGATTCTTATTCTTGAACACTTTGCAAAAAAGTGGTGGAAGCTGGGTGGTTTTTTCTTCTTATTATTATTTTCAACTAAAGCACTTAATTTCGTGGTGGGCATGCATGCAATGCAATATACTTGTTTGTAACTTTTTACATCAGAGATTGTGTAATGGAGTGGAACATTAACCTTAATTGGAGTAGGGGTTTTGTGGGACCACGCCATATCCATACTTTATGGTGTGCAAGAAATAGAGAATAGTGGGGGTGGGGGTGGGGGTGGGGTTGGGGGGGTATTTCTTGAATGCAATGATGGAATAAAACAAAGGGAAATCTTAGATGATATGTGGAGCTTAGCCCTTAGCTTTGCAGATGATACCCACTAAGGCTTCCATGCTGCTTTTCCTTGGACCCATGTTTATATGCTTCCAAGCATATATTTATTTTCAGAAAAGCCCCACATCCATGTTGGCTGAAATTTGGTATATATACTGTCAAATAATAATGGACACATGGTGTGATTAACACATTTCCTTGTCCTTACATGTCTTGTACAAAAAGATTAAAGAATTTGCACAAGGCATGGGTATGGGACCTGCACCCTAGCTACTACGCCCTAGATCCTTACTTTCCTGGGCCTTTCTTTTTTTTTTTTTTCTTATTGTTTCTTTTCTTGTTTTTATAAATGTAATTTATCTTAAATGATTTAGGGATTTGAATTTCTTGTCTCATTGTCTTTTGCTATTATTATTATTTACATTGTGGAAGTAGATACACGTATTATGTTATATGCCTGAACTCGGAATCTAATTGAAATGCTTGAAGATGGGGACAAGAAACTATTAAGGGACCATTATTGATTCCACATTTAGTTGAGTAATTAACAAGTGCATGACATGTAATGTAGAAGTTTTTGTGTATTTATTAAAAGCATGTCTTTTCAATCATCCATTAAACTTTTCTTTCATTTTCAACACTAGATTATTGGATGAATTTCAAGGCAAGCACAATGGCAATTGCTTGCTATGTAGTTAGACATACACGTACACATATAATAGATAGATATCTTTAATGTGGATAAGCACTCTCTCTATATTATTTAGGTTGGGTATAGATAGCAGCATCAAATTGAGTTGAGGTACGTACTACATACAAGTTGGAACCCACAACATTAAATAATTTTTTTAAAAAAAATATAAATAATTTTGGTCAATTTTCTTTACTTCTAAAACACATCTACCTTGGTTTGTTCAAACATTTATTGTCCTTGTCATAGATGGATGGATAGCCCAACAATACATTATTGATGTAAAATATGTTTGGACCATTGATGTACTAGTACATAAAATAATGCTTGCACTCTACATACATGATACATGCATATATACATTCATTTATATTTAGTAGGTACTTTGAAAAGGGGACAAAGAAGTATACCTACATCTGGTATATACACACACACACACACACGCATAAACTTTAAAAGGGCTTGGGATTCTTTGTTCCTAAAGTTATGTTCTCATATTTTTATTATCTGTACATATTTATTGATTATCATGAATATATATATATATATTCATAAATTGTTGAAAAAAAATAAGGGATATATAGAGATAAGATAGATGTTGAGTTGTACATACATATTAGTATTATATATAAGTTTTGAGTGTGTTATTATTGATGAGATGACATAATGAGATTGTGACTTTATAATGTGTGATAGTGTTAGGAGAGCTATATGTGTTATTTTAATTTAATTTATGGTGAACAGCTAATTTTCCAATGTAGGTGGAGGAGACCTTAGCTTGTAATGTAAAGATTGAATATAATGAATAATTGTGGTGTCCGAAATTTTGGTCCTAATAATAGAATCTAAAAAAGTCCACTAAGAATAGTGCATGTAGCACCACTTTGTGATTTGTCCTCAACAATTATTTTGAATATTTTAGGACCTAACTCTCCTACAATCAACCCCCTATTTTAATAAAACTCGGTGTTGATTGTAACCTTTTATTTTTTTATTTTTTGACAAGAAACATGTGTAGTTGTGTAGTGTAAGGTTCTCATAGTGTTCTTAATTAAATTGTCTAGTTTATATAGTATACTCTAGTTGGACAGAGGATTTTGAAATAATAAAAAATTAGGTACTTGACGTGGCATTTTGATATTGATCATTTTTGAAATTTTTTTATTGGTGATGAACAACACCAAAACTTTCTACAGGAACCCTTTCTTCCTACATAACCATCAAGAGAGATCACATAGTTCACGCTAGCCCTTGTAAGTTTGAATTGCTTTCTTAAATATTGGGTAAGAAAGTAATTATAATCATCACGAGACAAGCATTGACCAGTTGAAATAATAATATTATAGTGTATTTACTTGCATAATAATATAGGCAGCTTAATGGGACAGAATTATTATTTAAATATAAATATCTAAGGTGGAAGAAGATGGTTTAGTAAAGCAATTAGTATATATTTACATATGGCTTGATACTTGCTACTGTTGAGTTATAATGTGGTTGGCTTTGGCTATAGCCAAACCTAAACAATACTTGCATAATTACCTAGAACATTATTATTATTGTTAATGCAGAATAATTAATTAAATTTGTGATTTGAATCCAAGAAAATGACTCCCAAGACTGTCTGACTGACTGACTGACTCACTTGTATGGATGAACTAAACATGTGCTCACAGAGAGCTTTATCTGGCAATCTTTCACGCACATACTCATTACAATATATATATATATATATATGTAAGTATGTGCTGTTGCCACACAAAGCAAGTTATTATTATTATTTTTTAATTATTTGAAATTATTATTATTATTATTATTATAGATACATGTTCTTCCACACATATCTTAATTGTTGTTATCCGTAAAGAATCTTTTAACGTACATGCCCTCGTTGCTCCTTCATCAATTCAGCCAAAAACGTCCAGTTCCATAATAAATACTGCTCTCTCTCTCTCTCTCTCTCTCTCTCTATATATATATATATATGTATGTATGTATGTATAAACGAGATGTTGAGTGCGATCTGAATTGTTAATCAGATAATCAAGTGGTGATTAAATTAGAGAATAAGATTTCGTTGTTAACTAATAAATAAAAATCTCTTGAATTAAACTATGATTAATTTATTAACTAAGGTATTACAATTGAACCCTATAGTTTAATAACATTGCTTTCTTTTTCAAGCACCGATCAATCGTGCGCGTGTGTAAATATGCATTGTTTATATATATTATTATTGAGTTGCCCACGACACTTGTATTTATAGCAAAAGCATCTCTAGAAGGATTTACACATTTTTATCTTATTATATTTACAATAATGGAAGGACAGCGACCATTACAAAATTTCAAACAAACCAAACAATTATCAGAATAATTTAGGCATATCACATACACATATACATACATATATACATATTACTTGAATAGTTCACATCGCAAAAGCAACGGTTTTATATAATATAGTGTAATCCTGGTACCCTGTCGGGCTCTTTGAAAGCGACGTAAGATAGAGCTCTGTCGGTCTCCAAGCCCCACCATCCTTCCACGTGCATCGCACGCGCCGCCACCGCCCCTTTAACGGCGTCGCCGCCTCATAGAGTCCCCCCTCCGAATGCGATCACTACGATGCGCGTGTATAATAAATCAACAGATTTTGTAGAATTTTTATTCTTAATTTAATTTTTTTTTAAAAAATATCAAATTTAATATTTATTTTTTATATTTCATCAGTCCGTCCGCTTTGAGGTCATATTTTACATTTTGCATTTTTTTTAAATATTTTTTTATTAATATTATAAAATATTAATGATTGTACTATTTTAATATAATAATTAATATTAAAAAATTTACAAATAAATAAATAAAATTAAGTCTAAAAAGTGGTATTATATTAAAAATATCATATTTAACGTCTATTTATATCACAATTTGAATTTTTTATTATTATTATACCCAAACAAACAAACAAACCCTAAACTTAACTCAGCTCTGCTCCATCCACCACCCAAGAATTGGTTGCAATGGATAACGACAAATGGCCTAACTGTTCCCTCTCCACTGCACGCAATGGTGACGGAAAATACAGTAGAGGATGGGTTGGGGTGGCCGTACAATCTTTTATTAGGAATTTCAAAATAATAATACTACTAATAATAATAATTTTAATTTTTTATTTAATTTATAATAATCTTTGATATGCAGATTAGCTTCGCTGCCGTAGTTTTGTCGTGATTGGATTAAGGAAGTGTTTTTTATGTTTTTCTTTTGGCGGTACTCATCATCGCGTCGCTGTCGATGACGCATCTCGGCCGTCCATTTCTCTGCGGTGCCCGTCGGTGCCATCATTGTACAATTTGGCAGTGGCCTGGCCTGGAGTGGGATGGGATGGGCTGGGCTGGCCATGTCAACAAACTCTCCTTTTCCTTTTCATCCCAACAGCGACATTTGCGCGCGTCCTACGTGTCAGCCTTTCCGCTTCACGTGTCGCTTTCATCACTCCCGTAGTTGACCTCACGCGCGGTTGGGAGCCACGCTCGCTGAAGAAAGAAGTTTCCTGCCACTTCGGTAAAAGCTTCGATACGGCACCGTATCGATCAGGAAATTTGCTCACGACAAGAAAGGGAATAAATGTAGTAATTACACTGATCGATGGATTAATTCGTCGATATGGAAATAGAAATGAAATGAACAGTTTGGTTAGTAGAAGAAAAATTAAGAAGGTTACAGAAGATATATATATATTGTACGGACGGACTACAGTCTACAGCCTACTCTGTTTCAAATTTAATTTTTAGCAACTTTTTTTTTCTGAAAAATTAAATAAATAAATAATTAATGAAAATTCAGGGGGAGAGATTAACGTGAACGCTGGCGGTTTTGGTAGAGTGACAGACAGGGCAAGTGTGGAGAGCTGACCCGCAGGAAGTACAGAGGCAGAGGTGCCTGCAAGGCAAGAGTAATACGCATGACTCCTCTCTATCGCAGCTTCTGCACATCCGATTCATGTTGGTTGGAGCAATGCATCCGGCGTTGATGCTGGTGGAATAGTTGCGTTGGAACGCTGCATCTGTTGAGGTGATCTCGGCGAATCTGCGCCGGTCGGTTTCCTCGAAGTTGCTGCCGCAGCTGGACTGTGCGTCGTCGGCTAACTCCGCCGCGTCGGTGCGGCGGCGCTGGTGGTGGTTGTGGTCGTCTTGGATTTGTGCGAGGACTTGTTCCAGGTTGCATCTCAGAGCATTTGCGTTGGCTTCGTTTGTTTGCGCCATGTCTCTCCATATTTGATTCTCGACGCAGAGAGATTTCACTTTTTCCTCGAGCGCGCAGTTTAGTTTGCCTAATTTTTCGAGATCTTCCTCTTTGGCTTTCAGCTTTTTCAGTATGTTTTCTTCAACCGCCGCGGCAATTCTCCGAGAGTATTTCTTTCGCCGGTCTTCGATTTCCATTCTCACTTTGTCAGTCTGTGAAAAAATGTTGTCGAACACGATGTTAATTATCCTAATTTATTGATCGATGGATGGATTTGATAGAAATGCTAACTTAACACTACAGTTACGTACGTGTTGAGCGATGAACCGATCGATTTCCAATTGCTGCTGTTGAATTTGAAACGAGATATCTTCTCCAAGGAAAGTAAATGAACCGCATCGATTTGTCGCAATCTGATTCTGGACAGCGCTCGGGAATGAGGAAACCATAGAATCGCTCGCTTCTTCTCTCGACCGCTTCCTTGGAACCGGAACATACGTTAGACCGCTTTCAGACTTCACAGCAGTTTTCACCGGAAAACCACCGGTAGTCGCCGTACCGTACATCGGAACCGCAATTTCCGTCGCCGTCGTCGTTCCGGACAAAGGAGCCACCACTCCATACCCAATCGGAACGCCAAACACGTTTCCATTTCCTTCAACACCACCATTCGTTGCAAACTCTCTGCAACAATCCGATCGAAAACATGAATCTCCATTTCGCTGAACGCCATCACACTTCTGGCGAAAAAAAAAAGAAAAGATATATCCAAACCTACCTGTTGCTAAGAATCTGCGTCGGAAACAGATTACGATGCCGAGCTTGAACCGCCATTTGAAACCGATATATCGTCCAGGTTTCTCTCAATCAATCACAGAGGATTTTCCGGTCTCAGCCTCTGCTGTTGAGCGTCTTTGCGCCTGTCTTTATTTCTTCTAAGAAAATTTTGAGAGTAAAATCTGAGCTCTGCCTTTATATTTATATTGGTTTGTGGACACAGAGACAATAGTGTGAGCGGAGGCATAAACGGGTATCGGGTCGGATTCAAATAATTTCGGCGGCCCGACCCGAAAGCAAACCCGTCGACTCGGAATTTCTGCATATGGTCGGCTTAAGAATGAATAAAGGCAATCAATAATACGTTGATAGTAATTTAACACTTTCCATAATGGGTGATAAAGTCAGCTTAAGGACATGGTGCTGATGTACGAAATCTTTTTTTAATTAAATTTATTGGCTGAAATTTATTTAAATATTTTACTCCATTCCTAAATCAAGAGAATAAAATTTTGGTAAAATTTATTATTATAGCTACTTTTGAACCAAAGATAAGAATATTATATATATATATATGAGGTTGAAAATAATGTAAATTAAAAAAGAAAAAGTTTCTTTAACCTATGATTTTTTATTTTTTTTCCTTGATTATTCTTTAGATTTTTATCTGTTGATATCTATTTTATTTTGTTGAAAAAAAATATTTAAATTTTAAGATATTACATGTAACATTTACATTTGTACATGCAAACCCATATTTTCAATACAAAACCAAACAATATCATTATGCCCAATACATGTATTTAATATGATTTGTGTCTACCATTTTTTTATTTAAAATATTATATTTGAATTTAATAGATTACATTTAATATATATATATACATATACAGATAAAATTAAAATAAAAACAAACAACACGATTATCATTATGCTCAATATAAATCTCTATTCATACAACAAATATATATTGACGGATATTTTGGTGTGTTCTTTTATCAAATTTAAAATTTTTTTACTATTTTAAATTTTTTTTTTAAAAAATATTATACTAAAAGTTATTTTTGCATTCGAAATATCGTATAAAATTTATTTATATTATATCATACTATTATACTAATTTAAATTTTTTATTATTCAAACTGCAAATTCAAAATATAAATTTTCCAAACAAATACACTTGTGTATTTTACTATTTTTGGACGAGGAATAAAATGATATATTTATATATATATATTATATTTTATATTATTTTTAATGTCAACTATTTGTAATTTTATTTATCTATACTATTTTTTGTCTTTATAAATATAGTTTATAAATTTTCGTTCAATAGAAAGTGAATATATATAAATAAATAAATAAATGACACTACTTATATTGAAATATTATTATACGTTACGTACAGGTCTTATAATGTAATAACTTCCCTTGCTGTACAATGTTACAATATATTTACATGAAGATTAGTCTTTGTTTGGTTATTATTTAAGTTTGACTTTTAATTACAAAAATAGTTCCATATAATAGTTTATAACAAAAAATATTGTTCATTTGTATCGAATAATGTGCAATTTTCTTTCTTTTGATTTATTTCAAATATTATGCAATATTTTTAAAATAATTAATTATATTTAATTTATACATCGCACTTTATCTCGTCGTATTATTGCTCTCTTCTATCACATAATTTTTAAATTAATAATTAATTTGAAATCAAATGTTGAATCATATTTAAAACCAAAGAAAGTATATTTTTATAAAAGGATGTTGATTTGATTTTAAAATTCAAACCAAACATACCCGATTGTTACAAAATATATTAATAATAATATAGATAAATAATTATAAAACTAGGAGTGCGTTCTTTTTGTATTATATTTTTAAATTGAATATTAGGATTTTAATATGAGAAAATATATATTTATGAAAGAATTGTGAAAATTAATTAAACTGTAAATTTTTTTTTTTAAAAAAAAAAACAATGAAATGCAATGCTAATATTTAAATAATTGAGTTATTACAGTTTGCAATGTTAATTCATAGTATTTCATACATAGACGATAAGGAGGTGTCAAGAGTTATTAATTAATAATTTGTATACATTTTTATTGTATTATTATTAATATATTTTGTAACATTTTGTTCATTCAATAAACTTATTACATAAATCCCGGCCGAACCTAATACCGTGCAAACCAGGTTCGACGAAAAAATCACACCATATTTAGCAGGTGACCTGAGGCGTCGGGGGTTTGAACCCATTACTCATGGTCACAAGTTCAACTCTTATACCGGACAATATTATTATTATTATTATTATTATTATTATTATGTGTTGGATCCCACATGAATAGTACTAGGTGGGTGGGTGCGCAATGTTGCCATGGCGCCTTATGGCTCCAATTTCCGATTCATGTTTCTTTGTTTTCGTCACCAAATCCACCAAATTTCTTGTGATCAATTAAGTCACTCTAAGAAATTTATTTATTTTATTTGATTTTATTTGATTTAGCAGATTAAAAAATAAAAGTAATTGCAATTATCTGTTTTGGTTTGATCTCACTATCATTCATTTATTTTATTTAAACTTTAATTCACATAGATAGAGCCTTGAAAGTGACTTTAGGGCTTTAGGCATGAATAAGACTATCAAAAGCCCAAAATGTTTTGGGCTAAAAATTACAAATACTAAAATATCAACCCAAAAGATTAGGCCCATTAAAGCCATACTGGACTATTTATTTTGGGTTGTCGGAAAAAACAGGAATATGGCATGACGTGGCGGATGGTGATTGGTGGAGAAAGCTGAGGGGGCCCGATAATGGCCGACATGGTTTGATGAGGTGGAGGATAAGTTGAAAATTTCATATATCGAAGAGATTGGGGAATTTGGGAAATTTTGCAGATTCCAAATCCTAAACCCTATCAAGTCAATCCTGAAAGGCTGTTCAAATTGATCGTTGCATTTCGTTTGCAATGGGTACTGCTTTGGTTTCGGTCAGTCAATTGCCTTTCGGTCTAGGAACGAAGCTGATTTCGAGCAATTTTACCGGTGGTTCGGTTTCGTCGATTGGATTTTCTGTCCCCGCCGGTAAATCTCCGGCTTATACACGGCGCGGCGGCGTTTTTTTTACGAGAGCTTCGGTTGCTACCGAGGAGAAGACTGAAACGAAAGCTGCGGTGATCAGAATCGGCACTAGGGGAAGGTACTGTTCCCTCTATTGTCATTTTGAGTTTGAGCTTGGTGCAAATGCATTTTGTGAGATTAAATTGTTATGTTGGAGCTGAAGAATCCATCCATTTCATTTTGGAATTTGGAAAGTTTGCTCGTCGCCTGAATTGATTGTGTATTAGTTTTGATAGCAACTAATAATCTGCATAATGTGTTAGCGCAGCCATTGCAAAGTTTCCTAGAGAAGCATCCGGAACAGTTTTTTATTCCTGAAAATTTTATCGTATATTTGTATTGTTAGCTGTCTTTGTAAAAATGTAGCATATAATCTCCACTCCTAACAAGTAAATTTTGACAATAGGTTTGAAGGTAAATGAATTTTGCATAGAATGTTATATGCTTTTATGGTAAATCATATGGATTATGTGTGTTTTGGGCTATCGAATGTAATTATATATCCAATCTAATCTGAACAAGTAAACATGGTCGAAGTTCATTGAAGTTTTGGAAGCTATTGCAGAATCCAGACTGTCTCATTAGGTTGGCTTTGGAGGCTTCTTGATTTGTTAGCTAATGTTTTAAACTTATTGCAAACTTGCGTAGGACAGCCCACTGGCTCTTGCGCAAGCCTATGAAACCCGAGACAAACTCATGGAGTCGCATCCCGAATTAGCTGAGGAGGGTGCAATACAGATTGTGATCATTAAAACCACAGGCGACAAAATTCTAAGTCAACCACTAGCAGATATTGGTGGGAAGGGATTGTTCACAAAAGAAATCGACGAGGCGCTCCTTAATAGTGAGATTGACATTGCTGTGCACTCTATGAAAGATGTTCCTACGTATCTACCGGATAAGATAATACTACCTTGCAATCTTCCCCGGGAGGATGTCCGGGATGCATTTATTTGTTTAACAGCAGCTTCTCTGGCTGAACTCCCCGGTGGGAGCATGGTGGGCACTGCCTCACTGAGAAGGAAGTCACAGCTACTTAATAGATATCCATCACTTAAGGTAAATGACTTGTGGAACTTTCAGCACATCGTAGGCTTCGTAAAATCTTTTAAGACCTTTAATTTTGCATTGTTCATGGTTAATCGTATGTTTACTTGTGGAGAAAAGCCCTTGGTTAGATTTAAGTTCTTGATTAATGCATTTAGATTATGGAATCATTAATCTGGATGGATAGGATTCATTCGTCGGCGTAACTTGTTCAAAGTGATTATAAGCCCGTGAAGCAACTTTTACAGCGTTCACTTAAGATATTGTATTCTGCAATGGTGCTCGGTAATTTTGTGTGTTTTGAGGAACCATGCTAAGGCAGTTACTTCCAACAGGTGCTCGAGAATTTTCGAGGCAATGTGCAGACAAGGCTAAGAAAATTGAACGAGGGGGTTGTCCAAGCAACATTACTGGCACTGGCAGGTCTGAAGCGTCTGAACATGACCGAGAACGTCACTTCGGTGCTGTCCATTGATGACATGCTCCCAGCTGTTGCTCAAGGAGCTATTGGGATTGCCTGTAGAAGCGATGACGATAAGATGGTAGGTGATTTTCAATTATGACTCTCGAAAAGACCGAGTAAATTTTCCTCATTGTGTGATTTCGGTTATTGTTGCATCAGGTTACCTACTTGGCTTCATTAAATCACGAGGATACACGATTAGCTGTTTCGTGCGAGAGGGCCTTCCTAGAGAAGCTTGAAGGATCGTGTCGCACGCCAATTGCTGGATATGCAAGCCGGGATGAGAATGGGAATTGCATTTTCAAGGCTTTGGTAGCCTCACCTGACGGGAAACAAGGTAAGGGATCGATGAAAGAAGCATCGTTAATCACGAACTAATTTGCATAGAGTAATCGATATTGGACTGATTTCTTGGTTGATTTGCAGTACTCGAAACCTCTAGAGGAGGTTCGTATGCATACGATGACATGATAAAGATGGGTGTGGATGCTGGTGAGGAGCTTCTGTCGCGGGCCGGCCAAGGTTTCTTCGATCGATGAGTAGCCGAGGGTTGGTGCCTGAATTTTGAAGTAAGTTCATTTTTGGTGTGTTGTAGGATGATGAATGTTAACTGAAGTTAGTTAGCTCCTTATTCTTTCCATCATGTGCATCTTCTACGACTGCCATTTCTTGGCTCTAAATTATCTGCCTTTTTTCTTAACGAAAACAATCATACACATTTTTCATAAAATATTAATTTATTATTTTTATATTTTCTATATAATTCTACGTATTTTTATATTGATTTGTTTAGAAATATTTTCATGTGTTTTATGTTGCTATAGATATAATGAAACATATTTAATATATAGTATAAACAACTAAGGGTTTGTTTGTTTTGTATTTTAATTTGAAAGAAAAGTTTTTTACAGTATTCAAAAGTATATTTTTTAAAAAGAAACTAATGTATTAATATTTTTAGAACAAATCATCGAATAGCACCAAATAAGTTAATAATGAAAAAATAAAAATAAAATTGTTATAATTTTTTCAAATGTAAAAGTTGATCGGTTAACATTATAAAAACAACAAATATACATAAACCAACTGTGTGTAGAAAATATATTAGAACTTATCTTAAACTTAAAAAACAATTTTTTTTTATTCATAATAATGTTTTAATTTTTTTCTTCTATAATAGTATGTTGTATCATATAAAATGAATAATGCAGAATAAAATTAATAAATATACAACAATGAAAACTAGCGAAATCATATAAGCAATCATCAAGAAAACAGAAATAGGTAATCAATAAAATGACTTGGCAGCAAATGCATAGAAGAAGTAAAAATAAAATATTGCTATTATAAGATACATAAGAATAGGGTTTGTTTTAAATGGTCTCCCACATTTTGCGACAGATTTTTTAAAATAAAATTGTTATATAATAATATTTATTTTTTATTTTAAATATATAAAAAAAATTATAATAATTAATTACATTTAACATATGTTATCAGATGTTTATTAATATTACAGTTATAAGATTCGCTTAAAATTTTTGTTATAGAATATGTTATCAGATGTTTATTTTTAATAGTTTTTAGTTTTAATTTTTTTATTTAAATATAGTGCTCCCTTTATGTTTGGGGTGGACACAATAGTGAGGTAAAAATATTTCTAGACCAAAATACATTATTGCGAAAAAATTGAGATAGTTTTGTAAATAGATAAGAAATTGATACTTAAAAATACGAAAATGATAAAAATGAAACTATTATTTTGGAACGAAAAAAATATTTAAAAATCAAAATCTAAAGTGGCATATTAATAGAATGAGATTAGAAATAAAAATTTATTTGTTTTGTTTGTTTGTGATTTCAGACGGAACAATACTTTTAATAAAAATATATATATATTGATTTTTTTTTTATAAAAACATAATATCAAAACACAATTTAAATAAATATTAATTTCAAATCACAATTTCTCTTTGTTTCCAATGATATGCCTTATAACAAATAAGCTGTAAATAAAAATAAATATGGACCCAAAAATGAATACAATGCAGTAGTATAATTTAGCCGAAGGCCCCAAATATGACAGATAGATAGTAGGGCTAAGAATACAAACAAGCCAAGCCAAGCCAAGCCATGCATGCTCTTACTCTGTTCTCTTTGCCACAATACTCTACTCTAATAACCAAAAAAATAAAAAGAAAAAGAAAAAGAAAAATTGAATCACCTTAAAAGAGAATTGGCTAATAAGCAAAGCTAGGTAAGCAACCATTCTGCAGTTCTTAGAGGCATATGATAATTAATTGTTTTATTTTGTCTTCTTGATCAAGGTGAGAGTTATGCACTGAGCATCATCCTTCACAAAGCTCCACCATATGTATATTAATGGGGCAGCCGACGCATGCCAGAGCGCGCATGCATCGATCAATCCGTTATAGGGAGGGAAGTCGAGCATCTGCAGGAGCAGCCTGAGCCCGAATCCTATAACTGCCACCCATAGCTTCATTGCAGCAGGGGGGCGGATGATGGCTGCCCAAAGGGCCCATATGAGGAGTTGTGCAACAGCCATGGCGCCGCAAACTTTTGCATTCCAATCTGCCGGAAATTTGGAAAACAAATATGTATGATACAAAGAGGATATAAAGGATAGGACATTCAAAGTGCAGACACAAGTAACCGATAATGTTATGACGGTGGTTGAAGATAAAAGAGTCGATGAAAATACCAGAATCCATCTGATAGTTGTTAAGGTAGAGAATGTGGGTAGCTGTGAATGAGAGTAATGGAGCAGCAACCATGACTCTAGCAGCATCGTCCCTTAAGTCGAAGCTTCTTATCAATGCCAGGGTAAGTGAAAATCCAAGTAAAGCAACCCCGGAGGAACATTCTAGAATTCTTGTCAAGTACATGTCGCTGCAAGTAATATGTTGATAAAAAAATAGCAATAAATCAGGCATAGCAAAACTGAAGCATACGACCATATCGGGAAGTCATGCTAATGCAAACAGGCAGACCACAAGCATTATTGTACACAGAGTGGGAGAAGATTAAATTCAATATACAAAGCATCTCAGTTATTGCTTAAACCGGATGAGATAATTGAAGGAAAATCTAACCGGCTGTGGTAGACTGCAGTCCAAAAACACGAACTCATGGACAAGAGCGCATAGATAGTCCATAGGCCCCTATAATCATAGAATGGCGTGTTATCACGTCTCTGCGGCAACTTGTAGTTAACGTGGAAGAGAAATTTATCCCATCCATGGTAATGCAAAGCAAGATTCAGCACGGAAAAGGCAACAGAAACTGGTTCCTAAATAAATCCAGGACCTTATATCAGATGTATGTTTCAAATGAGAGGGCAGAAACACATCAACATAGATCTTAAATGGTCAAGAAATGAGCAAAAAGAAGGCAACCAGCAAACCTGGAAGCAGTAAAATTGCTGAAAAGGCCATTTTCCATTATATTTAACAGGCCCTAAACCAAGTAGAGCTTTTTCCTTTTCTCTTTCAGCCATACATTGATGCTGGCACTCACTCTGGCAATACCATTGTTTCAACTGCAGATAAAAAGGCTTTTGCATATACCAAGGGCCATCAATAACGGAGGATGCGTTCGAAGATAACTTGCAGTGTGAGAAGCACCTTTCGCCAGCACAACCCGTTACCTCACATTGTTCTACGCACACCCTAGAATCCACACAAACTAAGATTAACATAATTAAAACTTAGGTTGCCTTTTCTGTGATTTTCGTGCTCAATGTTTAGAATTTGTTTAAGGACAAACAGAATATTCTATAATCTTGTCATATTCAGCCAAACAATTAACTTAGTATTTCAGTCCAGCAACATATGATAACTTTTAGGAAGCAGAAATCCTTGAATTAACCCAATTTATGAACAAATAAAAAATTTTTTACCTATATAATGGATCCGAATCACCATTGCTGGCTTCATATGCTCTAAATAGGGAAGAAAACAGCAGAAGGCAAATTATCAAGTAGTCAAGTGCCATCTGATCAGACAACTGTAAAGAACAGAGTCAGGTAACCGAAGCTTGGAAACAGAGAAGAATCGGAAGCATTGTTTGAACTCCCATAAACACAATGCAATGCGTTGCTATTACTCAACATAGAATGGAATTCCCCACAATACAGTCATGGATGCTGGCGATAGATGGAAGCAATACAATAATGCACATTTAACTTGGATATCCTGACTGAAAATAGAGAAATCGTATCTAAAGTTACCAAACTCTGCACAAGGTAATGCATTCCACTCGAGTATCATCAATACGACACGGCATTGCAGAATTTCTTCTACTATTTCCAACAGAATTACATCAAAACATCCAAAAACCTAGAAAAAAAAAATAAAAATTCTACATACGAAATATCGGTGATCGGTCACAAACACAGCGCGACAAACACTGAAAAAAACAGCAGATTACCGGTTTCAACATCCTTCTTTCACTTACCGATTTTCAGCGAGAAGCTGGTGACCTAATCATGAAAAGGGGGTTGTTTTATGTTGTTATACGATCCTCCGAAAGTACTCCGGCGAGCAGCCGCGTTGAGATCCTGAAGTGCGGCACGAATGACAGAGAAAGACGAAGAAGAAGACATAGAATCAGGGTCATCAAGTTTCCTCAGCGAAAGAAGGCTACAATTATGGAGGCACCGGACACCTCACGCACTCTACTTTTTCTTCTCCATCTCGTCAGTTACAAGTGTTCGTACCTTCCGGGCCTTATATATTGGGCCATTTTCAGAACTTCTTTAAATACTCCTTAACATATTTTGTAAAAATTTAATAAAAATGTATATATATTTATTTGAAATTTTATTTAATTTTCAAATGAGAGTTACTACTATTGTTGCCATGTCATTAAATAAATCCACATATAATTATTCCTGGGGGCAATCAAAAGGATACAGATACCTCTAATCCGTCGCAATTATTATAAATAAAAAGGATTAGTAATATTAATATGCTGAGCATGTGCAGCACAATCAACGACGGACCGAAGATCCTCCCAATCGCCGCCCTGTCTCAAGAATTCGCCGACGTCGCCGGCGGAAGCACACGCCGCCTGAGGCCCGCCGCCGGCGGCCGGAATGTCATCGCGATGATGACGAACACTCGTCATCAGCACCGCGTAGGGTCTGTCGAAACTTATGTAACTACCGCCGCCGCTGCTGCTGCTGCTACTGCTCGAATCCGCCGCCGCCGTTGTTCTTTTCGGAGCGCCGCCCGACTCCGGCGGCCAATGCGGCACGCACTTCCTGTACGTGACGTGCCTCTTGAATATTCGACACAGTGTCCAAATCTCCTGCGTTTTTAAAATTTGAAAATATAAATAAAATAAAAATAAAATGATGATCGGAGGAATATATAATAATGAGATTAAATTGAAGATACGGCTTGGTGAGGTGCGGCGGCGGCGGCGACGAGCGGCGGCGGTAGGCGGAACTCGTGCATCATCCAGTCGGTCTTGGTGCCTTTTCCGGCGGTTCCCCGGTAGTAGACGAGGGACTTCTTGAGGCCGATAATTGTGTCGTCGGCGGAAGAGTAAATGGGGCGGTCGATGCCGGTGGCCTTCCAGAAACCCGAACCCGAACCCGTGACCCTGTTGGGTCGGACGCTGTTCCGGTACTTCCTTCCTCTTTGGCAGAAGAAGTACCATTCCTTGTCCCCTTGATTGATGCTGCATTCTACACTCTCACCCCAATTAGTAACATATATTAGGGGCTCGTAGGGTTCGGATATTTGTAAATAATAAATACTCGAAACCGGAATCTTAATAGAATTTTCAATTGATCGAAAATATTTGCAAATAATTCAAATCGAACCTAAATTAAGAAAAAACATATTAAAAAATAATTAAGATTCTAATTAAATAAAAATATTTGCAAATACTTCAAATATTCGAACTAAAATCGAATCGAACCAAACAAATATCAAATATGCAGTATTTGTATACTAATCGAATTTGCTCAGTTAACCGAAAATTTAGTTCAGTTTGATGGTTCGATTCGGTTCTTTTGTCAACCCTTTACATACATATTTCTCTAGGCACGTAGTATTCAAGTTTATGTAAATTTACCATAGATACATTAATTCATTTTTATGACACTAGCTTATGCTATATGATGGTCAATATATAATATTGCTCGGCTACGATGTCCCATATTTGAAGTAAGTTATTAATAATAAATTGTGATGTTATTTTATTATTTTTTTATATGAATAATATTGTTGTATTTTATTTAAATAAAATTCAAACTGAAAAATTGTTTAACAACTGAAAATCACAATATTTTTATTTATTAAGTTCATTTTATTTTGTGAAAGAATATGATCTATGTTTAAATCATAGACAATCCAAATCCAGCGTTATTTATGTGAATCAATCCTTCATGATGTTCTAAATCACAAATCAACAAATCATCTATTTTATCTTAAATTCAAATTGAAAAACCCTAAAATAATAAAAGGATAAACTCCAAAACACCATATCCAGTTCAATTATTAGATTCAAAAAATAAAAGACAATCAATTCGAATAACTCTAAAAAAAAATTTAAAAAAATAGCACATACTTGGAAGATCCCATGGATCATGCTTGTAGATATCGGCTTGTTTTATAAGCTCGACACTAAAGTTTTTTTTCTCGACCTTTCTCTTAAGATAAAACCCGACGAGTTCTTCCTCGGTCGGATGGAATCTGAATCCGGGCATCGGAACATCCTCGGCCTCGTCGTCTTCGACTTCCCTAGACTTAGTGATTTTGGGTATATTTTCTACTTCCATGGCTTTGGAGAGGTAATATAATTCAGGACTATACTAAATACTAATTCTAGACTATAGATAGTCTTGTAATAAATAAATATTTTGATTATTGTGACTAAAAGGTTTGCCAGCTTTGAATCTAAGAACATTCTTAAATATACAAATTGATATATGAGGTGATGTCTGGACAAGTGTGGCCTGAGATAATTAATATATGCATATATATATATATATATATATTTTATAAGTGTTAATCAAAACGTATTCAACGAGTAGTGATTACAGATTTTTATGTTATAAAAAAACAGATATGTATAGAAAATTTGAATAGAAAAAGGGTATTGATGTGTTTGTTTACTCCCTCAGTCCCATAAATATAGTCTTAATTGGGTTGGACACGAGATTTAAGGAATATTGATATTATTTTGGTAGTTGGTAAAAAGTATTAGAGTAAAAAATAGTAGCAATTGTGTAATAGAAATGAAAAAATATGGATAGTTTTACGGTGATATAGTTATTTATGAAAATAAGACTATTATTTTGGGAGGGACAAAAATGGTAAACAAACACTATTGTATTTGGATGGAGGGAATATATTTTATGGCTGTTTTGAATTTTTAAAATGTTTAAATGTTATGATTTATATATAAATTAAATTTGTGTGTAATTTGTAACATTTTTAGTGGGAAATATTTTACACAACATATATTTGTTTTGCTTTGTTTATATGTTTAAATAGATATTTTTAAAAAGATTTATAGTACATGCATCAACAATAATTATTTTAAAAAATATCATATCAATTTTATTTTTGTTTGGAAAAATATAATTTTTTATTATTTTTAAAAAATTTCAAAATTAAAAAAATCTCTATCTAAACTAAGCCTAGTATTTTATTTGGTATATTATGCTTTTATTAATTTTATGAGATGATTTTTTGTATTTTTATTTCCATAATTCTTTATAAATCGCAATAAAAATACTCAAAATTATAAATACTAAAAAAATATGTTTCTATATTTCAAAACTTTCAAATTTTACTATTTAAATTTTGTGTTTTCTAAAAAAATTTTTTTTTTCTTATAAAATATTTCATCAAATATTATCTCAATATCAAATTTAAATCAATTCCAAGGAAACACTCAATACCATTTATTAAGAGTTTTTTCAAAATTTGTTGTTATATAATCCTTTCAATTTAATAAGATACTTACACATTTGATCAAATATTTATTGAACACAAAACCAAGGTAAATAAAGCCTAACATTTCAAATAAAACTTGCTAAGTAATAGTAATTTTGATTTAAATAATATTTTGATATAATATTTTATAGAAAAAAAATAGTATATTTTTATTAAAAATTATGTCAATTAAATAAAATTGGTTTCAATTTTAAATGATAAAAGAAATTTTAGTAAACATTTGAGATAGAGACATTTATTTATTGGGTAAATATGTTTATAGAGTGTGACTTGTTTTTAATATTGCGTGGCCAATGATGTTATTTAATCGGGTCAAGTCATGCATGTTGACTTCTTTGTTCTATAGGTGGGGTGGGTGGGTGTCCCCAAAGGGTCGCATGTCTTTATTAACTTTTTAATTGTTTTTCTTTTTTTTTTTTTTTTTTTTGAACAAGTCTTCAGTCATTTTTTCTTTTTAAAATGTAAATATATTTATCACTGTGATGTGGTTATGATTTCCTTAAGATTAGAAAAATATATATACACTGTCATATTGTGGAACGACACAAATGTGCAAATTCAGCCACGTTGCTGACGTGGACCGCAGCCATCCATTGAAGACAATTTATTATTATTATTATTATTATATTATTATTATTATTATTTATGATGTAAGATCCACAGTCGTAAAGTTGTGAGTAAATTTAGGGTGTGTTTGTTCGGATATTTGGATTTTGAGTTGAAATTTTTAAATAGTAAAAATTTTGAATTTGCATAGTTGTATAATGTGATATAAATAGGTGTTGATGTGATATTTTGAATGTAAAATTTATTTTTAATATAATATAAAAAATAAAAAATAGATGTTTAATTTGATATTTTTAGGAAAAAAATGAAATGAATAATAGATTGAAAATTCAATCCCCAAACAAACACACCCTTATAATGACACTTAATGATCTGCAAATCATCTTTAGCAAAATAATTTAAATGACACGAACAGATAAAATTCAGGGGTTTACAAAATAATATTATAATTTATTATTAATAATTTACTAATTTATCTGAACTAAATAACTATGTTCCGAATAAATGAGTCGTCTATTCAAAGAGAGAGAAAGGCCGTATTAGTCAAATGAGCAAGAAATAATTCAAAATAATTGGATAAACAATGATCACAAATGTAAACAGCCAAACAATGCCTAGTCAATTATGAACAACATATTTGACTTTCCATGTCCATCCATATCACATATATGTTTCATGAAATTTTAATTAATTTTGAAATCATGATATGTATTATTACTCCCTCCGATCCCAAAAAATTTGTCTTTGTTTTTTTATTTTTTTATTCTCAAAATAATTATCTTGTTTTCTTATTTGGTAACTATAGTCTTAACTCTATAACAAAATTATTTTTACTTTTTTAAATTACTCTTAATTATTGCTCTAACATACTATTTAAAATCCTTTAAAAAGTAAGGGCATTTTAGTGATTTACATTATACTTTATATTCACTTTCAATTAAATATTATTATTTATTAATTCTCGTGTCAACTCCCAATAAGACATTTCTTATGGGACGGAGGGAGTATTATATATATTTATATATAACGTGAGAATCCGTCGTCATTATTCGCCGAGTGCGCTTTGAGTAAATCTCAATTGAATCTAATAATTTGTAAACTAGGTTCAATAAAGCAAATTAGATTGAGCGAACTATATTTGGATATTTTAAATTTATTTGTTTACTGTTATTACATAAAATTAAGAAATATGGAATATATTATGTGTAATAAGTAGTGTGTAATAATGAATGGACTAAAATATCCTTAAAAATACTATATATTGTGAAATAATTAATATAATACTATTTAGGTGAATATACAAGTATTTTAGCAGATGAATATATTGATCCTAAACAACCAAAATGATAGAAATGAGTATTGTATACTTTATAATAATATTACGTAAACAAATTATGTTTAAACTATAAATATCATATTTATGAATTTAAAATAATATATATAATTGATTAAAAAAATACTTCATTCGTCACATAACAAAGTATCTATTTTTCTATTTTAGTCCGTCTCATAACAAAGTATTCATCTCTTTTTTTAAGTAACTGTATTTTTTACTTAACATTACAAATACTCTTACAACTTACAATATATTACACAAATATCATTACTTTTATATCACATATACTAATAAGGTTATTTTAGTCATTTCTACTTTATTCTTACTATATCTTAATATAATACTAATATTTCTAAAACTACGTGCAAAAAGCAAATGGATACTTAGTTTCGAGATGGGGGAATATAGCAATTAAAAAGCATGCCTGAGTCAAATTTACATGATTTAGTTGGACTATTTTTATCGATCAATTTTAAATAGAGGGGCAAACACATACCAAACAGACACCAAAAGCGATGTCATTTTATTACAAAATGTCATTTTCTCTGAAAAACGAATAATTTATATTCAAAATTGCCGTCAAATTTTGTACGAGTGTGTTTGATCGGAGGTTTGGAATTTTGTTTCAGTTTAAATAATAAAAATAAATAAATTTAAGTAATCGTACTATGTGATACCTTATTAAGAAACGAGGGAGTATTATTATTTTTTTATATAAAATATTATTTTCTTCGTCCCGCATTGGATGTTTGGATCAATGTAGACATGAGAATTTATGATAAGTATAATTAGTAGATAATTAAAAATGAATTAGTAAAAATAATTATCTTATAAAAATAATTATAGATTAAGATTAAGATAACTAATTAGTTTAATTAAAATTAAAAAAATTAAATTAAAAAGATTAAAATAAGATTAAAGTGTATAATCGTTTTTCAAAAAATGAAAGTGACATAGAATGTGGGACGGAATGTGACATGGTAGGTGGGACGGAGGGAGAGTATATCAAAATAATATTTATATCAAACTTTAAATTAAAATCAAACAAACTCAATAATTATGAATTTGCTTGGTTTTAGTTTTAGTTTTTATTTGAATTTGAATTTTTAGATTTAAATTATATTTTAATATGATATTTCATAATAATAATAATAATAATAATAATAATTCTATATTTTTTATTGTATATGTATGAGTAAATAATACTTCAACTATCTCATATCTTATATTCGTATTATCATTTTAATCGGTTTCACATTTTATCTCTCATCTTTTTAAAAATAATTAAACATTGTAATTACATTTTAAATTTCTTTAATTTAATTATTTATTAAAAAAATTAATTTAATTAATTAATTAATTTAATTTATATATATTAATTATATTTTTATTAATATATTTTTTAATTACTTATTAATTATTTGTCTTTTAATTTTCTATAATTACGGTGAAATGAGATATGAGGGAGAGAGTATTAATTTTGCTACAGTCAAAACCAAAAAAACATAAATAAAATAAAATAAAATAAAATAAAATAGAGAATAAATGCGAGTCAAAATTCCAGTCATCCAATTAAAGTTAAAATGGTAGGGTCATAGTCAATGGTCAACACACATGATTATTAATAAATAATGACTCTGATCCTCCAATGTTTTTAGATGAAATCATTTTAGTATGTAGTATAAAGAATTGTGTCAAAAATATAAAATATATTATTCAGATTGAATATTTAATTGTTTAACTTTTTGTAATGATGTTTTTATTTTTTTTAATGAATATTTGAAGTTTTTTTTTATATATATATTTTTGTTTAAAATTTTCATATTTTTTAATATTATTTCAAAAAATCGTAATTGAAATATGGTATTGAGTAAATAGAGCATATAAGTCACATTACTTTTAAATAATTATCAGTTATACTTTTCCATATGATATGTTCATTAGTCCCCTCTAAAACTAATGGTTAACTCTTAGGATAAATATTACTACATTTTAATAATAATTTGTGATATTTTTAATATGTAAACTAATGCAATAATATCAAAATAAATAGATATAAATTTGAAAGTATTTTAATGTGTAATGAGACCATATTTATTAAAAAAATAATTAATTTATTTTTAGATCATTGAAAATAACAAAACAAGTACCTTCAAAGTGAAAGTAGGAAGTGTGAATACATGTCGATATGTCATGCTGCCTTTGAAATTTATTTTTAACAAAACTTTACAAGATTTGAATTTATTTTTTTATATAAACATATATAATTAGGGTGCATTATTAAATATTAATATACGTTAAAAAAAAATACCTAATGTAAAAATATACAGTATATATATAATTCAAAAAATAATATGAAAGATTAAATAAGTTCAAAATAAGTTCTTACGTCTACAAAGAAAGTCAAAGATTTTACTAGTCAACATTGTAATCACAACCTCAAAATAATTATTTAGATGCATACATTATTAAGCATCATTACTTGGTTGTTTGATTATGTTTTGTATTTAAACAATAAATTTATATAATAATTTATAATATATATATATTTATAGAAAATATATTTGTGAGAATTTTAATATAAAAAAAAAAAACTTGGAACAAAAAAAAAAAAAAATCAAAGAAACAAAGCTAGTATACTTGGGTTATATAATTTTTCAATAGCAGTCGACAATTTTTTTCTTATTTTTTTAAAGAATACATCAAATATACTTTCTTTCATTACAATTATTATATAAAAATATATTTTATATTGAAAAGGTACTTATTTATATCATATTAAATTAAACATATATTTTTTATTCCAACAATTTACTAGTTTAAAAACTTAAAATTGCAGAAAACTTCTTAAAGGCAAATAAAATTTAAGCATAATCTTAGCCAATACAAAAATCAACTGGGCAATAAAATTTAAATAATACTATATTATATATTAATTAAAAAACGGTTGCATTCTAAGAATATATAATATTAAATGTTATATATCCTTAATTAAGCAAAATAAGGCATGGTGGATGCAAACCACTCTTCGTCTCCGTACATCATCATCTGCATTATATTCAACCAACACAACAATTAATTAACTTTAATTTATTTTGAATAATTAAGAAAAATACATATATAAATACTTGCTAATTTAATTAACAATAATATATATATATTACCTCGTTGTTGTTGTTGTTGTTGTTGTTGACGTGGTCGTAAAAGAAGGGATTAAGGACATTATTGTTGTTGTTATCAATGGTGTTATGGTTGTAAGAATTATGAATAATATTTGATGTGATGAAATGCATCTGAATCTGATCATCTTCAAATTGGCAATAAGAAGAAGACGATGAGGAGGGCGAAGGTAATTCGTTGTTTTTGGCAAATCTGCCTCGAATCCGGACCCGTTTATCTGCTAGGGTTTTCCGACAAGCATACTGCAATATATATATATATATAATTAATGTGAATTGTTAAATATTGAATTTATTTTAAAATTATACTATTGATGATTTATATAAAAATTATACAATATTTAGCTTGCAATACATGATTCAACTGAATTAAGCCAATTTTTTTATGATTTTTTTAGTATTAAAAATATTATTTTTTTATGTATTTATATATAATTTGTCCTTTTAAAACTATCTAAATTTTTATATAATTCTGTCATTATTATTTATTTAAATTTATTAGCTAAATATTAAATAAATTATAACATTTTGCCCCCCGGGATTTAGATGCAAGTTTCGTCACTGTATATATAAATAGGCATCAATTAATTGTTTATTAATTTAAGATATATAGGTAATTATTTTGGTAATTATTTATTAATAAATAAATAAAGAATGTAATTAATGAATTAATTAAAGGTGAAATTAGGTACCTTGATGGTCTTGTTGAAGTTTCTGTGGCTTCTTTTGTTCAAGTACCTCAGAATTTTGTTCTTCCTTTCTTGCCCCGAATATTTTCCAATTCTCACTTCTTCGTCCTTCTTCCCTACCTGCACCTTCTCCTCTACTTCTATGCCCTATTTATATATAAAATAAATAAATATTATTATTATTATTATTATTATTATTATTATAAAAATTAAATGTGATCGCCAAAAACATTAAGATAATTAATAAAAGTATATATATATATATATATATGTACCCAATTGTGGGGTGGTGTAGGGATGGTGCCAAGGTAGTTAAATTTGTGATCATCGTCACAATGATAATGATAATTGTAATAATATTGATCTGAAACATTCTGCAGATCATCGAATTCCGATGTCGTTGGCATCTTCTTCATCATAGTCGTCGTCGTCATGGCTTCAGACAATAGTGGCTCCACATTAGGCCACCCTGCCGACGACAAGTCATAACTCATGGTGTCGAACATGGCCGTGGTGTCGTAGTTAGGCATCCATGGGTGATCATCGGAGAATGTAAATGTAGGAATATTATTCTTGTAATAAGAATAATTGTTATAATCGGAATATTGGAGAAGGTGGTGGATTTGTTGGAATGGGATTGAAGCAGCCATTGATGAGCTAGCTAGCTAGCTCACTCGTTTCTTGATGATGGAATGAAATGAAATGAATTGAATTGAATTGAATTGTGTTTCTAATAGTGTGTATATACATATATATATATATATATATGTGTGTGTGTGTGTTGTTGGGGGGTGGGGGGGTGGGGGTTGTATTGTGGTGAAACATATCTGAACAAGAAGATATAACCACAACATTTCAGTATTTGGTTCCTATAAAAAAAAATAATAATAAATCAGTATTTGGCATCAATTTTAATTCAAGGAAATTAGAGAATTATACACTAAGATTGTTTAAAAATAATAATATTTATTTATTTTGAAATATTAATTTACCAATTATATGGGTTGTGTGAGATATCATATATTCGGCTTTCAAACATATTAATAATAATATAAATTTAATTAACATATATATATATTAAGCATGCATGTAAAGACAAGTATACAAAGATACACTATTGTCGTCCCTTATAAAAATTATGCCTCTGTTTACTTATATTTTCAATACTGTTTTAGCACCATTCATTAATTTTATTTTTTTAATATATATCACATGTATTGAACATATATTTTTCACTTTAAATATTACATAAAAATTTGATTTTTTTTTTTTTCAAAATAACATTTCAATACTCAAACACATATATTTTATGTCTAGTAAGAGATAATTAACACATATATTTTATGTCTAGTAAGAGATAATTTGATAGTATGAAGGTGGACTTGTGACTGTAGGTTGTGGATTTAATTCCCGAAAATTTAAAAATATATGTAATGGCACCAATATTTATGTAGGCATACACAAAAAGGGTTGGATGAAATTTACAAGTTGATATATATACATATGGATGGAATAGAATGTACCAATCAATATATTATAGATAGATTATATGGTGGGTGGCCCCTGTTGAATGAATGCCTTTTTATATTTTTTAGTGTTTTGATTTTTAACACATGTTACATTATATATATATATATATATGTAATAAAATATTATATCGTTGTATTACGAGGATTAGATAATCATTTAGAAGATATATATTCTTTGGATTGAAACAGATTGATCATTGAGAATATGCCAAGTTGCATGCATAAATATATATATTATATCACATTATATTAAAAGATTGAGTTAGCTGATCATTCACCTAATAAAAGTATAATTAATTAATGTATTAAGGTTGTCGATATCCTAAATACGATCGACGACTAGATAAAACTGCATATATATATATATATATATGGAGAGAGAGAGAGAGAGAGAGAGAGAGAGAGAGAGAGAGAGAGAGAGAGAGAGAGAGAGAGAGAGGGGGGGAGGGAGGGAGCTAGAGAATGCTTTCTTCGTTTTGAGAAACCGGAAAGCAGAAAGATAAATAATAATAATAATAATAATAATAATAATAATAATAATAATAATAATAATATAAAGTGACTTTAATTACAAAGAGTCATGTGCCACTATTCTCTAACTGTTTAAAGCTGTCGGCTTTTTTTCAGCTTCTTCTACTCGTGTGTAATAACCTATCTACATTCAAAAATTATATATAAAGTGTCTGTGTATGTGTATATATATATATAGATTATAGAGAGGGGTGGGGGAAGATCATTAATATTTCGCATGCACATATAGTTATTATAGTGGTTAATATATATGTATACATATGATTCTTGTGTGGATGAGATAGTGTTGGTCAAAGGTGGAAGATATATATGATAGATATGATTATATGCAAATTTTTACTATAAAGCAACATAACATGCATGATCATATCTGGAAAAGGGATTCCATTGTATTCATCTATTGATTCATATTTATATTTATATATATTATGAGATGATTCCATATTTATGTCTCCAACTGTTAATAATATTAAAAATGAAATCAAATTAAATGACATTTTCTTTATCCAACTAGAAAAGGTGACATACGGAATAAAATATATTGTGATCTCATTGCATGCAAACTTCTAAACCACTTCTCACGTTCTCTCTCTAAATCTATTATGCACTTAGCTATATTTAAGTCCTTCACAAAACAATCTATATAATTATTTATTTAATAAACAATAAATAAAAGACGATATTATTATTATTTTTAATGAATATGATTATGAACAAAAGATAACGTTACAATACATATTGTCCATAATTTAATATTTCTTAAAATTATTAAAACATGAACCTTAGCTTCAACCAAATTCATATGTTATTTAACTAATTTTTATAAATAATTTACAATTTGTTTCTTAAAGTTATACTCCATTTTTTCTCGTCCTATCAAATAAGTATTAGAATATAAAATCAAATTAAATAATAACATTGGAATTTGTTCTATTGTGAGAGTGACAATTTTCCGCAAAAAGACACGCACAAGAAAGCTTTTTTGGCGTAGAACAGAATAATATAAAGAAAAAGAGTGTGTCGTATCGATAGCTGTCAAAAGTTTCTTTACTTCGATTTAATTTATGGATCTCTTTACTCTAATCATTTAGTTAAGAAGAAAATTAAATTTACATAATCATGATGCCTAATGTTAAATGTATTAAAAGAATAAAATAAAAAATATAGGCAATCCTTGTCCAAAAACTCCTATGGAAAATATCTCGTACTTCTGCAATTTTTATTTTATATGGCAAAAGTAAAACAAAGCAAAATAACAAAATAAAATTGGCATTATGAAATTTATCAAAAATCTAGAAGGTAATCAATCAAGTTCAACTTGGCAACTAACCAATTCAAATGTAGTCACAATCCCAAAAGAAAACAGTATCCTGACTGAAATGAAATGCTATGCATGTGAACTGAAATATGATTCTTCTGTGAGATAATCTCCAAACCCCAATAATAATAAATTTTCACAAATTTTCAATTTCAAATCTGCTAATGTTGGGGGAGGGGAGGGGGGGCATGGCATCTCAGCCCTTCATGAACACTTAGGGGCACAGAATTCACAAATCCCTTTTTCTTAACTTGATCTGTTAGTACAAACACAGATCTTTCTCCATCTTCATTTGTCACCCCTTTCATCTACAAACATTATTCTTTCATTTTGAGATCTATATCTATATGATCATTCGAATTTTTTTTCATTCCTGTGGGAGATCGACTTCTCTCTGTGTCTGCCTATCTGTGGTTAAAACAATACTGCTACTTTCAAGAAAAGAATCAGGAAAGAAAGACATGATAGATACTTGTCCTAACAACATTTTTTGGGCCAACCCTAATCAACGACTAAAGATTAGAGCCATAGATCACTATAGTACTTCGAGTTTTGTATAGAATTACTATCGCATGCTTAGATTCTCTACATAGGATGACTTAGTAGCTAACAATCAATCGATCGTAAGTCTGAGTGCTAAAATATACATATGGAATTAAAAACATAGAAACCATACCTAATGTAAAAGGCCCATTGATGAGATTATCCTCAGACTCGACTATCAGCTCACTTTCGCCTTAACAAAGTGCTGCAAGTTAGGTCACCATGTAGTTTACATAATAAGAAAGTAAGTGTATAGCTCTTGCAAGGACAAACATTAACCATATAACCCAACCTAACAAATTCGTCAGCATATGAGCAACAAATGAATTCAAAGCATATTCATGAAGGTAAAGGTAGATGAATACAGTGTTAAAACTGAGTGTAATAACAACATATTTACCTCGACACCATGACCTAGGAAAGATAATGATGTGCAAAAATACCCTGTATGTGCCGCCAATCTGGTCTAAAACATCTGAATTATGCCACATGTAGAATAAAAGAACAAAATGTGAAAATCTATATGCAGAGAGTGATGCAAGGAAAACACATCCAAATGACGCGCTATGTTCGGCACTGCTTTGCAATGAACTTGCACAGGCACAGGCAAGACATCATCATGGAACTTAACCGCTAGTAAGCTTCGTCGTGAGATTTTTAAATCCAGTGTCCCCTTGGCATCGAGAAGCCCTATTAGCTTCTCTTGTTTCGGTTGCAATGGCTTTCAGATTCCAATAAGTACATTATAGCAAAGATCCAAGCAGGAGATTGAATGACACAATCCTTTCTGTCAAGAGCTTTGAACACTTTAAAAGTGTTCACAAAGCTGCTTGAGGTCTTCACAGCTATGCCACATTTTGGACATTATTTTACAGCCCTCACACCAACAGTTTTGACACGAAAACGGTACTGAGGTTGAGAGCCCACATCGTCATCATCGTCACTGTCATCTTCTTCCTCACTAGAGTCATCTTCAACACTGTTCCACCTTGAGTAATCAAGTTGAGAATGCCCCTTTGGTTTCGGAATTTTCTGCCATCCAGAGGACTGCTGATCAGTTTGCAGTCTGCCTTTATCTTGCGCGGGAGAGATGGTTTCGGATTCATTTTGTTCATTTTCTTCTGGTGCTGTATCAATTTCCGTTCCATACTCTTCTGTATCTACCTCATCTTGTTCACCTTCCAAATCATCATTGTTATCATCTATGTATTCATTCTCTTCATCAAACTCCGCATCATCTTCAGGTATTGTAGCAAGTGACTTTCCTTGAACAAAAGTATACCACACTTATTGCAAAAGCATAAGGATCATCCAGGGCATCAAATAGAATTACCAATTTCCAAAATATATCAAACTATGATCATGCAAAGCCAATATGAAATTAATACTATAAAAACTCCCCTTAAAGCATGCAAAATCTCTAGATAATTTTATATAGATTTTTTATCTCATGAGATATTGAGATTGTTTTAACCTAAACGTCTAAAATATTTTAACAAATAATATAATCATGCTTACAAACATAGTGAGTAAAAATATGTGAAAGTGGAGTGTGTACCAACTGCGTCTTGAGACGGGCATGGAGATTTCTATAAACTTCTGAAGTTGGGTTTAACTCAATAAGCCGGTTCACGTCGAAAAGTGCACAGTGGTACTCCTTGAGAGTGACCAGCGTCTGGGCCCGCAACATCAGAGCTCCAGTATGGTTGTAATCAAGCTCCAGAACTGAGGTGCATTCCTCCGCAGCCTGCAATGGTTGAAATATGGCAACTGAATTAAATTACAACCCATGATAAATGAATTATTGCCTCTTCGACGAGGCTGCATAATCTTAAGAAACTGTGTCTGCGATTGTAACTAGCAAGTTATAGAGCAACCACTCTACTGAAAGTGACTTTCATTTCCGTTAAGTTCAAGGAAAAAAATATAGCAGTAGCTCCACTCAAATTCAAGTCTTCAAAATACAATGATGAAACCTTGTTAATATTTTTGGCATAAATCCGAACATAATTCTCACTATTTACAGCAAGGGAATTCTAGAGCATCTACAACTTTTCCTCGGTTAGAAAAGTTCATGTTAATTTGAAAATTTTTCAACAAGTGGAATCAGAGTTGCTGAAAATTCAAGGTAATTTCAACCTACAATTATTTCAATTTATTATTTTATCATTGCTCTCAAGTTTATCCAGGCCAGATGCAGAAGATCAATCCAAAACGCCCATATCACAACGCTTAACTAAAAATAACTGGAGAACAGAAATGGAACCACCAAGCAGTTCAAAATATTGGCGAGGACCGAACCTTCTGGAAATCGTGAAGTTTGAGGTAGCACGCAGCACGATTGCTGTGCAGAGCGATCTTCGGCGGGTTGGTCTTCGCCACAGAAAGCGCCTCCGAGTAATAATTCAGCGCTTCGGCGTACCTCCCGTCCCTGTACAATTGGTGCGCCCTCTCGATCTTATTCATCGTCGGAGACCCCGATGCCATCTCCGATGGAGAAAATCTCTCAACCAACACGAAAATCCTCGCTAGCCTCGATTAAGTCAAACCAAAATTGACAACCGACACCAAATCCACGCGGAATCAGCGGGAAAACTGAATCCCCCAGAGCGGAATCAGCTAGCGAAGAATAAAACACAATCGAAAGATTACATAATTCAGAAACGGAATCGATGTTCGGAACACGAAACGAAAACGAATTAATTGGCGTGCAAGAAATTGAAGATCGAAGGATTGCCAGAGGAGGAAGTACCTAGACGAAGACAGCGCAGGAGCGGGAGAGCGATGGCACGGGCTCCGCATGGGACCTCCATCGCTATTGTTCAAATAATTCACGTCTAAAAGTACCCCATAAATATTTGGGCTCGGCCCAATTATGTGCCTTAACATACTTAAATGGGCTAAACATGGCCCACCTATTATTTTTTTTACATACAACCCTAAGCCCAGCACTCGGCCTACTGCTGCCATTATTAATTTATTATTAATTAAGGTTAAAACTTAATCTCAAATTTCGACCGTTGCAAATTTTGAAATTTCACATCCGACCGTTGGATACAAAAACCCGCTCCACGTTCACCCTTTATATGCAATTTCTATTTTGTACCCCCCAATACTTCTTCCAATTTCCATGGCAGATCCGACCTCCGCCGAGAATTCCAAACCGCCGTCGTCAGCAATAATGGAATCAAAGCCGCCGCCGCCGCACCCGCTCCACCAGATCGCGGAGGCGCCGACGCATCGCCTCCTGCTAAAGCAGTGGCTGAAGGAGGAGGAGCTCATCCTCAACCGGATCTCGCTCAAGGAAACGCAGATCGATTCCACTCGTAAGGAAATAACTCAGCTCTACTGCCTCTTCTTCCTCTTCCACTCCACCGCTCTCCTCCTCCTCTTCAACGCCGCCACCGCGCGCGGCGCCGCCGCCAATTTCTGCCGGAGATCGTGGATTCCGTCGCTCTGCTCTCTGGTCTGCTCGCTAGGGTTCATATGGGCGATCCGTTACAAAAACGACGTCGAATGCCACCTGGAGAAGCTTCTAGAACGGGAGGAGGAGGATTCTGCGCTGCTGGGGAAGTGCGTGGAGGAGCTGAGGAAGAAAGGCGTGGAGTTCGATTTGATGAAGGAGGTCGACGCCCTGAGAAGGGCTAAGAGCCTCCGGGTGGGGTCGAACCCGGTTCGGAAATGGTCCGGCCGGGACTTCGTTACCCTCTTTTTCTTCTCCGTCTCCTGCTTGGTGTTGGGCCTCACCAGGGTTATTTTGTGCAGTTAGTTCACTTTGCGCTGATCCTATATTTATTAATACTGCAGAATTCTTTGTTCTGCTTTTTGTGAAACCACATGTTCCAATAAAGGCAATCTATCTGCTCATTTTATATATACATATATACATATGATTTCTTACCTGCCTTCACCAATGATCTGATGAAGTATGGGCTTAGTAGGATCTAGATCTGTAGGGGGGTGTTGTGTTGGATTTGTGTTGCTCTCGATATAGCTAATTTCGGCGTTCGATGTCGAGCTGTCTGCATTCGATGACATGAACGTCGTCGTGTCGTTGAACTTCCAATCGGTTAGATACCCCGGCCGGGTGGTGACAGAAGCCACCTCGATGTCGCCGGAGAGCATAGCCACAACTCGGGACATTGCAGGGCGCAGGGCCGGGGATGCCTGCGTGCATAGGAGAGCTACGCCGATGATCCTCGTCGCTTCATCCGAGTTGTATTCGTGCAGCGAAGGGTCGACCAGATCGAGTACCCGGTTGTTCTCTTGAAGGTGCCATGCCTGAAAAACGACACCAGGATATACGTCATTTGAACAAACCGAATCGAAACAGATCAGAATCGATTTGAATCATGCGCACCCATTCGAGGAGGTACATCATGTCGTCTTGCAAGCTCGAGTTAGAATTCGGCCTTCCGCTGATGATCTCGAGGGCCACGACTCCGAAGCTGAATGTGTCGGCCTTCTCTGTAAGATGGCCGCGCATAGCGTATTCCGGCGCGAGATATCCACTGCAAAACAACTCTATTGATTAGTTACAAAAAGAAATGTAGGGGTGTGATGAAACCTTAAATCTTGTTGATATCCTTACATTGTCCCGGCAACTCGGGTGCTTATATGTGTCTTCTTGTCGTCGTACAATTTCGCCAATCCAAAATCCGAGATCTTAGGAGTGAGCTCGGAATCGAGCAGAATGTTGCTCGCCTTCACATCTCTGTGCACAATTCGAAGCCTCGACTCCTCGTGGAGATAAGCGAGGCCCCTGGCGACGCCCAAGCATATGTCGTAGCGCTTTCCCCAGTCGAGAAACAGCGGTCTGCTACCTGCTCGATCAAATCAAACGATGTAAGAACCATACAAACAAAACGAGGATCAGGATCAGAGAACTCTCAGTTTTTTTTTCACTTACCAGTTTCGAACAATAGTTTGTCGAGACTCTTGTTCTCGAGAAACTCGTAAACGAGCAATCGTTGATCTCCCTCGATGCAGCAACCGTATAGTTTGACAAGGTTACGGTGTTGCACAGCCGAAATAGTCGCGATCTCAGCGACGAACTGGCTCTTTCCTTGATGAGAAGCCACAGACAGCTGCTTAACTGCAATTGCTCTTCCATCTCCAAGCTTTCCCTGTCAGTGAAAACAGACATCAAACATGCTTCCTATTTCATACATAGACAGCAATGGATATGAAATTATTACTACATTCTTTTTTACCTTGTAAACAGGCCCAAATCCACCCTCTCCAAGTTTATTACCAGGATCAAAGTCATCTGTCGCAGCTCTAAGCTCAGCGTAACTGAACGTGTAGGGTCGAGCATCAATACCCAATAGCTCTGTAAAATTTGATTCCACAGACAAGAACATAAGTATAAGCTAAAACTAAACATTTGAAATTGGATGAAAGATATTTACCTTCATCCTCAAAGTCTTTCTGCTTCTTCCTCCTGCGGAGAACAAAAAACAGTGCAATTACACAAAGAAAAGCTGCGGCAGCAACGCCAACAACAATCCCTACAATCAGGCCAGTCCGATTTGAATTTCCTCCCGGAGGATTGTTCGAAACAGTCGGAGTAAAATCTGAACAAAAAAAAAAAACATGTGAATCAATCAAAATATCATGCCATTGGAGAGAAAAAAGCAAAAGAAGCATCGATTTTTCTTGTCTAAACATACCTGCCGGCGCAGCGCTTATGGCCGAAATAAGAGGACCGTATGTACCTTGAGCCGGCACACAACAAGTCCCTTTCCCGGCCCAAAACAGATGCACGTCGATATGATTTTGCAGCACCTGAGCTCTGTATTGCCTCACAACACCTCGTAAAGAGCCCCCAGCTTCTCTGGTTATGTCGAAATCTTTCGCCACCAGAAGTCCCTGAACCTCATTACAGTTTAGTTCACATGTAAGAAAAGAACATGTATAGAATACATTTCTGACAGAGGTTAAGGTTATAGGTTTTGGCAGCCACCTGGACATAAATGTCAAAAACACGGCGGCCAACGCTCCTCCATGTCCTTGTTCCTACGATTACTGACTCTGCAAACTGGAGGGTCACAGTGTAATTACCGTTCTCCAATCCTAAGCCGTAATATCTCAACGATCCAGGCGAAGTTCGAGCAGTTTGGAAGAGCTCCGAGTCGAGAGTGTTTGTAAATTGCGAAGAGGTGAAGGTTGTGTATCTTGGATTGTTGTTGTCTCCAAGCAGACCAACATTGCTAACTGCCCATCTGCCTGTGCCAGTCATGTAATGAGTTGCTGGACCGAGTGTCTCATTGTCCCATTCGTATACGACTTGATCCGATGATGTGATCTGTGGCCCGCCGCATTTAACCGCAAAGCTCGAATCTGCAGGTCATCATCCAGAAAGAATCCTGTCAAGTTCATAAATACTGACAGCAGCTGTTGTAGTGTTTCAGACAAGAATGCAATCGCCTTTTAGCTTCCTTGTCTGAAAACATGGTTTCGAAAAGGTTGTAACAGAATGGTGGCTTACAAATAGGCGATCCTCGGTTGCAAGGAAAGTTCCTTTGGAGACAATTCAATCCAGAAGGCAAAGAACTGAAAACAGTAAAAAGATTAGTGTTGATCCAAAGGAAGCTAAGAATGTACAAATTATGTCAAAACTTACCTGCCGTTAGAGTTGTCGATGGTGAAGTTGTTGGAAACCAAATTACTACACCAAAAACATCGATCATAAAAATAAAAAATGGCAAATGTTAGAAAGTAAATAGGACAAAATACGTTTCAAAACAAATTAAGAATGTAGAAAGATTAAGGATTGTATGATGTATACATTTGTAAGTTTGGCTGGCTAAGCCAAGAGGGAAAGCTTCCTGATAATTCATTGTATGATAAGTCTCTAAAAGCAAATAATAGAACGTTAGTTGCATTCGAAGGGCATTGAAACACCTTAATTTTCGATAAAAAATATTCATGGAAAATAAGGATCGTTCTCTCAAATCTTCGTAAATAAATCACAATGGAATCAAAGCAACTCACATAGTTCGGAGAGAAGGACTCTTTTGGGATGGCAGTGAACCATTTAGCTTGTTAGTACCGAGAAACCTGAAAGTCAAAGAATGGAAAATGTTTATATTATTTGTTTTTCTTAGACATAAATTCTCAAATCATAGGTAGTTTTTGTGTATTACAAGTGAGTGAGAGAACTGAGATTGAAAAGTGGATCAGGAAGTGTTCCTGTCAAGTTGTTGAAGCTCAAATCCCTGAAACAAAACTTATAAGCGTTCGAATGATTTATAAAAGATTTTATCCTTTTAAACTGTGAATACTTACAGGAGTGTCATATTCTGAAATGTGCCGAAATACTGAGGAATGGTCCCGGAAATATTATTGTTTTGTAAAACTCTGCAAAACAGGTATTCAGTTACCTTAAGCTTTGCTAATCAGAAAGGTGTGTTGTGTTGTGTTGTTCATTTCCTTACAAGGTAGAAAGAGAAGCCATATTTCGTAGGAAGTCCAGTGAAGTGCTGCTCCCATTGGATAGCCCACTTATTCTCCTAAACAAATCATTTTCGATGAAAAGACTGGATTAGATTCTGCAAAGGATTGAAAAAATAAATGAAAGACAAAAGAATCTTGTCACTTACAAGTCTGTAAGAGAGGTTAGATTGGAAAAAGATTGTGGTATTGGACCTTGAAATGAGTTTCCTTCAAGCCTCCTGTAAATGCATATTGAGAAAGGAAATGATATATTAAGAAGAAGATGAATCTAAACTATAAACTATAAATGGTTTGTGTTTTTCTTACAGCTGTACAAGGCTTGTCCAATTTCCAATAAACTCAGGTATCTGTCCTGAGAGTTCATTGTCTGAAGCCCATCTGAAATCACAAAATGGTTAATTTGATGAAATTAAAGGAAATGATCTATATATATATATATATAACTCAATGCCCTTACACTTTCTCTAATCTCTGTAGACCAGCAAATGTATCAGGTATGGGACCGCTGACTCCAGCGCTATCGAAGTATCTGCCACGATGAAAAGAAAATCTCTAATCTTCCACAGGCAGTTGGCTTTGTCTGTAAACAACATCAAATGAATGAAAGGTGCATCGTTTCTTACATTTGAGTTAATCTCGATAGGTTCCCTAGCTCGGACGGTAAAGGCCCAGTGAAATTGTTTGTGCCAAATGCCCTGAATGTATAAACCAATTATTACATGGATAACACTGAATTTCCAATTTCCTAAAATCACTTGTTGTGTGCAACTTCAATAAACTTTCTATGGAGGAGAGATTATCATGAATGCAAGCTAAACAACTCACAATGATAGTAGACCATTCAGCATTCCAAGCTCTCTGGGAACCTCCCCTGATAGTGCATTAATCCCAATTGTCCTAAAATCATTAAACCACACACAAAAAACAGAAACATGGTTAATGTCTGTTCTGGGCAGCAAAACAGGTAGTATCAAAAGTAATAAAGAACCATACAAGTACTGCATTCGAGTAAGACGTCCAATGGATGCAGGAAATGGACCTGTCAGATAATTCTGCCCCAAATTTCTGAAACAAACAAAACCAGAAGAACTTCAAATTATTATTACTATGTAGGTCAAAACAATTACACTGCAGTCTACACAGAAAGCCTACGTACAAATTCTCAAGAAACGTGAGATTCCAAAGCTCGTCTGGAAGTGGCCCGGAAACGTCAAGTGCATAAACCCTCCTGTAAGAGAATTAATTACAAAAGAGGATAAATACATAATGCTTCATGACCAGCAGATCCCTTACAACATGTAAAATATTTGATTTGATGAGTTATTACAGAGCAGTGATGTGGCAAATGGTGCTGCTATTGAAGTTGCAGCTGCATTTGATGCCCGGATTGATAATGTCGATTGGAGTTAAAGAATCGATGGCGACGCCGCTGCATAATTCCCCGCTAATGTTCCATGTGTCTAAGGCCTGAATGCCCCATCGTGCAAACATGGCGTTCAAAGCTCTTTCTGTATTTCAAATTGGAATATATAAGTTGGATTTGTTTTTATTGCAATCCAAATCAGTTTCTTCACTGTGAAAACATTTCAATGGAAGAATTTTTTAAAATATAAATTACTAAATTTAATAAATAAAAATACTAGATAATTTAAATTTGTTCAACATAGTTAATAATAATAATAATAATACTTATATCTAGTAAGAAGAGCATTTGTTTGTTTATAGATTTTGAATATTGGTTATTAAATGAATAATGATTTCTTCCTTACGAAGGGAAGGAGGTAGTATAATAAATATAAAAATATAATAAAAAAAATATGCTCTCTCCATCTAATTTGGTAGATATAATAGTGTAAATGCTAAATTGGTATTTTTGATAGTTCAAAATACTTTCAATTTATCTAAATATTTTTTTTTCAAAATTAACTTTATACAAATTTATTAAAATATAAAATCAAATTTGTTTGTATTTTTTAACTTCTACTTGTTTTTTAAACCGGCTAAGTATAATAAATAATAAGACACGAAACACCCTTGAAAACTACAGGAGTACCTTGTTATTCATTGATGTTGTAAATTGGAAGTGACCAAATCCCTAATTTTTCGTTAAAAAAATTCAACCACAAATCCAAACTAACCGTAGCCTTCTAAAAGCATTTAAAAGGATCAGAGGTTCATCATCAAACGGAGAAGATTAATAGCCAAGACAGTTGTTAATCTCTTCTGTTGGATCTATCAATTTCAGATTTACTCGCGTAAACAATCAACACCGTTTACAAACATTTCTAAAACTACCAACACATCGTCAGTCCAAAAAACCAGCAACAAAAACGAAAACGTTGAGAGATCAATCAATCAATCAAGTGCGAAATTCAATCCAGAAACAAAAATTAAGAAATCGCACCTTCAGCAGGATCTATGGTGGCATTAACGGTTCTGTTCTGAGCTCGAGCGACATCGATTGCGAATCCAAAAGCTAACGAAAACCACAGGATCAGCCATCGCCGTGGAGGTGCCATCGCAATATCAAGTTGCTATACTCACCGAAGAGATGAAATTGTTTTCGGTAGAAAGGAAAGGAAGCGCCAATTTGAAGGATGATAGAGAGAAGGACCGAGCAACAGCGGCGGCAGGAGATGGACATGAAAGTTGTTGATATAGTCATTGGCGCGTAATGACGAAAGATATGAGGTCAGAGACATACGGTACGAAATATCTTAATATAATACTAGTACTGTTCAGTGGAGAAGTTTCAAAATTGGGAGCAGCGCGCCTATGCGAGTGGACCACTATCTATCTATATATGGTATGTTTGATTTTTTTTATTTTTTTTTCCTGGGACACTAAAAAAATAATAATAAAATTTTAATATAAATTTAGATAAATAAAAAAATAAAAATATTACAAGAAAAATTATTAAAAATAATAATAATAATAATAATAATAATTAAAATATAGAAAAAATAATAATAATTTCATATTATATATTAGAATATAAATAATAAAATTATAAATAAATTATGAATAATTTTAACTGACAATAAATATATATATATATACTATAATTTTTTGGAATGGAAAGTATATTTATTTTTTTATTAAATTTTTACATAATTTATTTATAATAAAAAATTTAATTATTTAAAATTTTATTACTTTTATTTTAAAGAATTATAATTTATTTACTTTTTATTTATTTCAAGTGCATATTAAAAATATTTTTTTTTAACTTACGGAGTCAATCAAACAAATACTCCCTCCGTCTATTTAGAAGAGTTATATTTACTTTTGGTGCGGTGTTACAGAAATAATAGTATTTTAATTATAGTGAGTAGTGAGTGTAATAACATTTTTGTCCTTACTTTTTTGTGTAAAAGTAACGATGTGATGTAAAGTAAAGGTATTTGTGGAAAAAAATAGGGTATTTAATGAAATATAAACTTTGTAATTGGACGTCCCAAAATATAAACATGTAAACTTTGTAAGCGGACGGAGGGAGTATAAATTTTGTGGATGAGATGAGTATTTTTAAAAAAATAAAAGACAAATTTAATTACTCCCTCCGTTCCATAACAAAATATCCATTTTATCATTCTAGTCCGTCTCATAACAAAGTATTCATTTTTTTTAGGAACTGTATTATATACTTAATATTATAAATACCTTTACAACTTACAATATATTACACAAATGTCATTACCTTTATATCACACATACTAATAAGGTATTTTAGTCATTTTTACTTTATTCCTACTACATCCTAATATAATATTAATATTTCTAAAATTATATGCAAAAAGCAAATGAATATTTAATTATAAAACATGAGTATTACTTTTTTTAAAACTATATTTAAAATTATATTAAAATATTGTATTAACATATAATTATTGGAATTTAATTTTCCTTTTTTTTAACTCAAAGTCAAAGCCACCAAATTAACCCACCCCGTATAATCAACCATTATAATATTTTAAATATATATACATCCAATTTAAGAATTAGAAATATACATATATATATATATATATATTGAGAGAGAGAGAGAGGCACGTTCTCTTTATATTCAATTTGAGTTTTGAAATTAAATATGAAAAAATAAAAAATATTTTATAGTCTCTCATTTCCATAATAAAGTATTTATTTTTTCATTTTAATCCGTCTCATAACAAAGTATCTATTTATTTTTTTATTAATTATACTATCTATCTAACATTAGAAATATTCTTACAACTTACAATATATTACACAAATGTCATTATCTTTATATCACACATACTAATAATGTTATTTTAGTCATTTTTACTTTATTCCTATTACATATAATACTAATATTTTTAAAATTACGTGCAAAAAATAAGTTGATACTTACTTATGGAATGAGGGGAATATAATATTTTTTAAAAAAATTACTCCAAATAAACATTATCAAAAGTTTTACTAGATAATTGTTACGTACGAAATTTAGAATTAGGTTAAAAGCCCAAGGTAAAACGAGGAATGGGCCTGGCAATAGGGTTGATTGAACTGGCTGAAGGACACCGTGAGGAAATCAAGGAAAATAAATTTATTTATTTATTTCTAAGAAAAATTCAGGACGGACGGTCTTCAGGTCGGGAGGTCCGTAAGACGGAAAGACCTCAAGTCGGAAGGTCTTCAGGTCGAGAGGTCCGCAAGACGGAAAGACCTCAAGTCGGAAGGTCTTCAGGTCGGGAGGCCCTCAAGATGAAAGACCTCAAGTCGGACGGTCTTCAGGTCGGGAGATCCGCAAGACGGAAAGACCTCAAGTCGGAAGGTCTTCCGGTCGGGAGGTCCGCAAGACGGAAAGACCTCAAGTCGGAAGGTTTTCAGGTCGGGAGGTCCGCAAGACGGAAAGACGATGAGTCGGAAGGTTTTCAAGTCGGGAGGTCCTCGAGACGGAAAGTCGTTGAGATGGGATATCCGCAGGTCGGGTAAACTGTAGGTCGGATAGAAGGAGGAGTCGGACAAACACGGAGGCCTTTGATCAAAGACAGGGGGCGGTTGATATGGAGGTCGGCCCAAGTGGGGTCGGGCGAAGAAGTAGGTCGGACGAAGGACGAAGTCGGGCCAAAAGAGCGGAAGGTCTGTGGTCGGCTCAAGGAGTGAAATATAGGGAATTTTGGTCTGCTGGGGACACGTGTCAGCATAAGAAAGGTTGGAAGACGGTTGAGAAGGAGACGTTGTAACCGTTCGGGTGACGGTTTTCAGTACGGTTTCCCAGGGAATATTTAAGGATTTGGATCATCATTTGGCAAGGGATCTTCAATCAACTTCAACAAAGCAAAGTCAGATTTGGGGATCACCACTTTAAATTTCAGTCTTTTAATTTCCAGTTTAGTTTCTGTACGTTACAGTGTTTAGAGATTCCTAATCTCAGGCACTAATTAATCAAGTTTAAGGATATTTTCTATATCTTTGAATTTTACTTTATTTTTGTTGAAAAAATTACATCAACAAATTGGCGACCACAGTGGGAGCAAGACAAAATTGCTCATTCCAATTCCGGCGATAATTTCATACGTCTTAGATCCGGCCGAATCATCGGAAGGGTCCATATGGCAGGGTCACAACCGCAAGCATCTTCGACACCGGTGGGAGAATCCGTTCCACCACCCATTGTGCCAAATGCCGGGGAAATCCCACAACCACCAACTGATTGGTGGTCTTATGTTCAACAAATGAACAACCAGCATACCTTGGTTATGCAGAATATGTTGCGTGAGCAACAAACGAACATGTTGCGTGAGCAACAGAGTCAGTTGCAGAACATGATAGATCAAGCATTGTCAAGGGTTAGTCTTCAACCCACTCAAACGCCACCAGGAGTGTCACCGTCCAGACCACAGGCAAATTTCGCAGGGCCATTATTCGTGGATAGTACATTCCCAAGTGCCACAAATCCCAACCGAATGGATCGGGGAAAAACTCCTTTGACTTTTCCCAACAATGTTCCACTGGGACCAAGGGTTACCAGTTCGCAGCCGAACAATACAAGGGAGGACAGGCCTGAAGGATATATACATGATCCGATTCATATTCCTGTGCAGGATCCGTTCCAGGTTCCTGATCATCAACGCTTTCATGTAGATCCTGATGAGATTGCACATATATTAAGGGATCAGTATGGATTAACTCCTCAGATGGCTAACCGCCCTGCATATCAAAGACCTTTCCCAGAAAGGATCATTCATGAACACCCTCTCCCAAGGAATTTTCGACCACCCGACTTTCATGCATTCTCAGGGGAGGACGGATCTTCCACCATAGAACATGTTGGTCGGTTCACAGCACAATTAGGAGAGGTTGGCAATAACCCTTTTTATAAGTTACAGCTGTTTGGTTTGTCTCTTACCAGAACGGCGTTTTCATGGTTTGTAAGTCTACCTCCTGGACAAATTCAGACATGGGAAGGATTGGAGATGGCATTTCACGCTAGATTCTTTAATCCTTTACCAGTTGTTTCTTTAACTGATTTACTTGAATTGAGACAGTATCCAGAAGAAACTGCTTCACAGTTTATAGAAAGGGTGCGATTGATGAAGGGACGATGTCCTACGGTAATCAGTGAGAAAGAGATGACCAATTTAGTGGTCCGGAATATGCATAATCGTTTAAGAAAGGCACTCACTGCCCTGGATGTTGAGGATTTGGCAAATCTTGCATCCAAGGCAGGACGTCTAGAGTCTTTGTTCAGAGAGGAAGATCAGCATAACAGGCGTAATAGAGGCCAACATATGGCGAGTATGGGAACAGAAACATGCGACTTTGATTTTAATCAGTCAGAAGAGATGGCAGCCGAAATCCTTTCTGGAAAACCGTACGTATGTCCTAAATTGAAGCCAGTACCAGGATCTGAAGGAAAGGAGCAACCGACCTTTGATAGTTCGAAAGCTGATGAAATCTTTGATATCCTACTGACTGATGGGCAGATCCGTATTCCAAAGGGCCAAAGACTTGCCACTAAAGAAGAAATCAAAGGGAGACCATATTGTAAGTGGCATAATTCTTTCACACACACTACAAGTCAGTGTACTCATTTTAGGAAGGAAATTCAAAAAGCCATCAAGACAGGTCGGCTCAAATACATCACTTTAGGTGTAGACCAGCAACCATTTCCGAAAGTAACAACTGCAATGGTTGACATCCAACCAAGTTCGGAAACAAGGAAAAGTTCGGTCAATAGTGGACAAACAGGGGAGCAAACTCAGGCAAGTCCCGGAAAAAAGAAAGGGAATCAGCCAAATAGCAGCCGACCGGAAGAACGACTCAAGGTTGTTGAAAGGCCAGTCGCTGAAAAATGGGACCGTCCAGACGGTTCTTTTAACGTGGAAGTGAAGGAAAAGGTTTTAGTGAGAGACCACCCGACCAGAAAAACGGGTTTAGTCGGGAACGATTGGGCTCGAAATAAAAAGCCTTTACCCGTTGATATAGATCCTCGTTTCCCAGGTATGAATCGTACACAGATTCGCAATGCCAAACGCAGGTATGCTGCAAAGTATGGGAAACGAGTTCCTGCAGTGCAACAAAGAACCGACGAACAAAATGCGGCCGACCACTTGACAGGAGATCAGTCCATTAGAGTCTTTACAGAACAAACGACCGACGAGCAGGGAGCGGCCATTCAGTCTCCAATAAGTCGGTCCA